TGCCCAACATGTCCACTGCAAGTCAAGTCGCCTAGTTCGTGCCTTGGCCGCCACGACTTCGGGGCGCTGACGTAGACGTGGTGGGGAGAAGCCGAGACCAGCGGACAGTGGTCATTTCTTGAGACAGTCAGTGGCGAGCGCTTGTTCGCCAAACACCCTTCGAGTAGGCAGTCGGCGGCGAGCGTTAGGTTCGCGCACACCAACCTTCCTTAGGCTGTGCGAGCGAACAAAGTATCCGGACGAAGGCGTGCGAAACATAAGTATATACGTAAGTACACTGGTTATAACAATCGTATACGTTATACCTCTACTCGTATCCCCTTTAGTGAGGGAAATTACGATATTTATTAGGCGATTCTAGGCCGTTTATCGTAGTTTATAGAAAATCGTAATTTAACGACCGACGCTGCGAGTGTAGTGTCGCAGTCACCTACGCCTACTTTTAGTTATCCAAAGTGGTTTTGTTTTATCTTAATCAAGAGTTTTATTTATTTTCCTTAAAGCCAAGAAGAATTGGCATATGCGCCTTCGACGTTTTATTTTATTTCATTATTTACTTATCGCGAGTTAACGTTGTTTTCTTTTAATTCCGAGAAGATTATTTTTAGTTTTATTTTGAGAAGTGAGACCTTTCGTTAAGCCTAGGAGCTGGGTATTTATTTTATTTCCTAATCTTCGCCTATTTATCTATCGGCCCCTAGTAGTCAACTTAGACTTGGCCTTGTCAGCGCGTCGCTGTGCTGACACCAAGTTATAGGAGTAACTATAGTTAGTGTATTCCTTAATAGCAACTCGTGTACGGTGCGTCGACGTGCCGATGTACACAGTGTGTACTTGTGTACTAGTAGATCGACGCAACAGTAAATCCACGAGGACCGAGGAGCAGTGAGCGAGTGACGAAGACTGTTAGCGAGACCCTGGACTACTCGAGCTGTCCGAGCAAATCGGAGGTAAGTTTACGATAGGTGCCCTACCCGACATAAACACCTCACAAACAATATACAATTTTCATAAAAATTAAAACTAATAAATGCAAGACCTTACAACTAAACCACTACCTGAAAACGTAAGAGTTGCGTTGATATGAATAACCAATAATGAACTAAGTTAACTGTTTAATACTGAAATTTTGATTGAAGAGATGTTGTTAGGGTGTATAAATTACTCGGATTGACAGTAGAATAATTCAACAATTTAGAACCATGTGATTTTATTACATTGTTTCAATAAGTTGGATGTCGGTTTCTCTTAAGGAGAAATCGACATTTTAAACTCCAAAACTACATCCTAAAGCCACTGGTTTCTCCCCGGCAACCCATGACTAAAAATTAAACTACCTATATCATATACTAATTTGGCAACCTAATAATTAAACTCCACATATTAAGTACTTATTGAGGTTATTAAAACGTGCTAAAAAGGCTGAGGCTGGGGTAACGGCTGCAGTGGACGAGAGTGCAAGAGTAGGTTAAGCCCTTTTGTCATTTTGTTTTGCAGCACTTGACGGCTGATATTGGCTGTAGCCAGACTGAAAGGGATTTCGGCCAGTACGCTCTGCTTGCGTGCCAGGTACATATACATAAAACGGTGACGCACACGGCACTTTCAACGAAGCTGCCCACCGCTTATTTAAAATGGGCCTCTTCCAACTTTGTTGGACCAGTGAACTTCTTGTGAGTTACACATCAGACCTTACCTAAGCAAGATTCTAATCCTAAATCTACAGTGTTGTCTCATGACCGGAAGAGACAATGTCTTTGACCATTTGAAAAATCTGCCATCAACTGGTTGTTCAATAACTGCCACTAACTGGTAAACTGTTTAAGTTAGGCCTACTAACAACACTGGTAAACCAAAAGCTTGATCACAATAGCTTAGTTATAAACTTGACAACCAGGTTGCAGCATGTCTTGTAGACCTATTTAGTTCTAAGCCATTTTCTTTTATTTTTTTATCATACCCTTACTAACACAGAGTTTCAAGCAGTGGAATTTGGATTAGATTACTCATATGTGTCTAATATATATTGTATAGTGTATATGTCAGAAACATAAATTTCTAAGAAATTGAAAGAGGTTTCCACAGAAAAGTCGAATGATGACCACACAGTCTTATTTGCGACTACCAGATTCTGGTTTGTAATTCTTCCGCATTTCCGGACGTGAGTCACCTTAAGGAAAATCACCAGCGTTAACTAAAAGCGGATATATTTATTCTAACCATCAATAAAGTAGCATATATTAATTTAAAACATTAGGACCTACCTGGAATTTTTTAGGCCTAGATGAAAAATTGTAGGCTGTTAAAAACCTAGTTAAACACACATGAGTTTGAGAACTATAGCCCTTCTAAGCATCTTCCGGAGATGGATTTAAACAACAGAAGCCTCTCTTTTCTCAATGTCATCATTCCAGTCGAACAAGCTGGATTTCAACCAGGATACACTGCTGCCTTCAGATTGAGTCCAAATGTATTAAATTTTATTTGATAGAATGATAACCAATTTAAGTTTGTATGTATTAGTATTTACATTTAGGCAACTCAAGGATGGCTTGGCTTGCTGCAGAGGATATGAAGCTACAATAGCCCTTTTATGTTTGAAGCAAATACATAAATTGATAGGTAAATTAGTTTAATAAAATAGAACTGAACTTATTCATGTGTCAAAATTAGTAAAACAAAAACAATAATAATAATAATAACTTAAAAGTCAGCTGCAATTAAACAATGTTAAAACATATCACTTCTTTCCACCAAGTTTAGGCTTCTTCAATTAACCTCCTCTGTGGCCTGAAGGTCCTTGTTGATCTTCGCAGCTGAGGAGGTACATTCGGGTGGGGTAAAGCTTCTGCAGTGGATGTTCTAGATCGTAGCTGAGGAGGGACATTCGGATGTTGTGAAGCTACTGCAGGGATTGCTCTAGGGCTAGGAAATACAGCTGGTGATCCATGGTTTTCTGGATTTTGTACTTGGAAATCTGAAGAAGACAGTAGCTGTGGTAATCGTTTAATGCAGGGGTCGTCTTCCTCTTCCGATTCATTGTCTTGGTAGCATTTCTGAATTTGACTTGTATGTCTTTTAGTGTGTCCATTAGAATCAATCAATCATGTGTTCCTACCTAACTGTCTAAGTATGGTTCCTATTTTCCATTTTACTTTCCCTTCAACAAAAGTACGAATGTACACTTTACTCACAATGGAAAAGCCTCTGGATTTATTATATCGCAGCACTTCAGAAGGTTTATATCTCTTGAGTTTATCTCTTGTGATGGTTTGATAAAATCTAATTTAGTTCGCAGATTACGACCCAAGAACAAAAATGCAGGTGTTTTCCAGTTGCAGTGTGAGGTGTAGCTCGATAGCGAAATAAAAATGTCCTCAAGTTGTCTGTAAACAAGCTATGCTCTTTATTGTACTGTAATTTGTTCAGAGCTCTTTTAAAGGTACCGGTATCTACATTTTTCTCCACTTGTCCATTAGAACTTCCGGGTGAGCTACTGGAGTCGTAATATGTTTTATATTATTGCGCAGGCAGAAATCTTTAAAACCTTGCGAAGTAAATGAAGTTCCATTGTCTGAGACGATTGTTCTAGGTATTCCATATTTACAAAAACAATAATAATAATAACTTAACAGTCAGCTGCAATTAAACAATGTTAAAACATATCAAGCCCAATCGCTGTTTAAAAGGTAATTGCCAAAATCTTAAAGGCCTACTATGTAAGAAGTCTGCCAACACAAACGGCTTTGCCCTTAGTTAAGTTATGATACAAAAGTACTTCAGTCAGTTAGAAAACCACCAATGTTTAGTCAAAAAATACTTTAGAACCTAAACACTAAATCCTAATTCAACATGGTATTAGTTTAACACGGAAACCTAATGTTGTTTTAGCAAGTATATATAGAGCTAAATCACAACTATGACCGAGAATATATTAAAGTGATCTTATTACTGTATAATTCAGAGCTGAACTCAACAGTAGGCCTACAAGAGCCACACCCTGACTGCAGCTGCAGCTGAAGTAAGAACCAGGATCAATGTTTTAGCCTGAATCATCTTGCCTGGATATTCATAAGGCACTAACTTAACACAGCAGTTCTGCATACAACCCGCTCATCCCTGAATCATTCTGGAGCTGAATAAGTTACTGTGCTTCTATATGCCTATAATAGCAGTTGTGTTAAAAGGGCACTGGACTAAATAGGCCTAGGGCCATGGGAGTAATTAGTAGAACTTAAATACCAACCCCTCATATTTGGTACTGTAAAGTAGGTATCCAGTTTTGTACAGCTAAGTTAAGCAGTTCTAGCTCGTAGTAAGTTAATAGACTTTTTTAAGATGAAATCAATAGGTACCGAACTTAAGTTCAGTTACACTTTTCATTAACTTAGTGGCCGGGGAAAGAAGACACTATTACGGCCACACTTACAGTGGAGTATATATTAACTAAGTAACTTACGCCGAGGTTTACCAATAAATAGCCTATGTTTTTAAGTTTGTGTTAAAAGCTAAGGCTACATCTCATTTATTTATTTTATTTTGATTACTAAAGCTTCACTAGTATTAGCGCTTAGTTGAACAGGCTGTTATATTGTTCCTAAATACCAGTTAGGCCTAGGCCTAGCCAAAACAAGCCTAAAATCTTATAGGCCCTAGGCTATGAATGATAAAGCTATTTTCGAAAAGACCTAGGCCTAACCTCAATTTTAATTTTGAATGTTAGGAAACTTATCTTTAAATTTTAGTAAAAATAATCAACTCTGAATCGATATAGAGGTCATCAAAAGTACATCAAAATGAAAAATTATTGAAATTACTGTAACCTTTCACAACAAAAATCACCTTCAAAGGACCAGCTGATTCGATAGCCATATTGGTCAAGGATAGGTTATTAATAGTTACCTTAACATTATACAACTTTTAACTAAGTAGTGGAAGATTTGAAATAGTGAATGGGAAAGATGTATTACCTAAGTTATATTTACAAGGGTTTCACTCACCTTAACGCAATTTTTCCTAGAAATCGATTCAGCTAGAGTAAGACCTCTGCTCAACATGGTCGCCATGTTACCAGACAACTCACTAAAAGGGTCAAACTACAAGCTGAATATAAACAGTTTTGTATAAAAACAAATACAAATTGTTAGCTGACAGTATTATATTTTTAAATTTATGAGTAAGTTTGATACAAAACACGTAAAAAATACCAACGAAAGGTTTTTATACAATTAAGTCAGAACTCCCTTTGAGCTTTTGGCTTGTTTTGTTGTGCTACCTCCAAAAACATGAAGCTTTGTTGTTGCTATAGAAAAATGCCAAGCTTATTTTACTTTATTTACAAACGGCATCATAGGCACTATCCATTTTGTTTTTAGTAATAATATTGAGCGGAGCGAGCGAAGAAGCTCTTACACGTCAACTCTTATGCATTTCGTAAAACGCAAACTACTCCTAGACGGCTGAACCAATCGTTTTAAAATTTTGCATGGTAATAATACTATATCGGTGAGTGCCAACATCTATATGGCGTTAAAAAAAGTCTTTCAGGAATCCGCCCCACTGGGTCTCAAAGTTTCAATGTAATCCTTTATGGAAGCAGTAAGGCCTATTTGACACATAAACAAAGACATGAGATCAGCTGTTGACTTTTGAATGCAGTAGATAAAGAAATAGCTGCTGATAGCTCATTCCACAGATATTAGAACAGAAACGGTATGGGTCAAAAATACAATCAAATGACGACACTAGCTTAAAGTCCGTGACGTAGAAAGTGGTGAAGGAAGTAGAGGTGAGCAGTCTGGAGTATGGAAACTGTTTATGTCGATTAGATTATGGTATATCTACTATCCTAAAATGCTATGGGAAGGGAGGAAAACAGGTCCGCGATGTAGGAAGTGGTGGAGGAAGTAGTCAAGGGTGAGCTGTCCGGAGTGTGGGAACTGTTTATGACGATTAGATCAAGGTATCTACAATCCTAAAATGCTATGGGAAGGGAGGAAAAAAGCTCCGCGACGTAGGAAGTAGTGAAGGAAGTAGTAAAGGCAAGCTGTTCAGGGTATGGGAACTGTTAATGACCAATAGATTAAGGTATTTGCAATCCAATAATGCTAAAGGAAGATAGGTAAACAGGTCCGTGACGTAGGAAGTGGTGAAGGAAGTAGTCAAGACGAGCTGTCCGGAGTGTAGAAACTGTTTAGGACGATTAGATTAAGGTATCTGCAATTCTAAAATGCTATTCAAGGGAAGGAAACAGGTTCGCGACCTAGGAAGTAGTGAAGGAAGTAATAAAAGCAAGCTGTTCGGGGTATTGGATCTGTTTATGACGATTAGATTAAGGTATTTGCAATCCAATAATGCTAAGGTAAGTAAGGTAAGCAGGTCCGCGACGTAGGAAGTAGTAAAGGCAAGCTGTTCGGGGTATGGGATCTGTTTATGACCATTAGATTAAGGTATTTGCAATCCTATGATGCTAAGGGAAGGGAGGGAAAAAGGTCCGTGACGTAGGAAGTGGTGAAGGAAGTAGTAAAGGCAAGCAGTCCGGAGTGTTGAAACTGTTTATGACGATTAGATTATGGTATCTACAATCCTAAAATGCTATGGGAAGGGAGGAAAACAGGTCCGCGATGTAGGAAGTGGTGAAGGAAGTAGTAAAGGCGAGCAGTCCGGAGTATAGGAACTTATTATGACGATTAGATTAAGGTATCTGCAATCCTAAAATGCCATCGGAAGGGGGGGAACAGGTCCGTGACGTAGGGGGTGGTGAAGGAAGTAGTCAAGGTGTGCTGTCCGGAGTGTGGGAACTGTTTATGAGGATTAGATTAAGGTATCTACAGTCTAAAAATTCTATGGGAAGAGATGGAAACAGGTCCGCGACGTAACAAGAGGTGAAGGAAGTAGTAAGTTGAGCTGTGTGGAGTGTGGGAACTGTAAACCATTTGTAGCAGTTAGATTAATGTATCTGTATTGCTAATACATAGAAAGCGACATAGAAAATAATGAAAGAAGTAGTAAAGGCTAGCAGTGCAGATTGCGGGGAATTGTGGCAATTAGATTAACGAATCTAAAATCCTTGCTGTGGAAAGTGATGAAAACAGGTCCACGATGTAGGAAAAAGTGGCTTAGGAACTAGTAAAGTATGAGCATAGTGTGAGAACCGTCTGTGGCAGTTAGATTAATGTATCTTTAATCCTAAAATGCTATGAAAAGAGAAGGAAACAGGCCCCACGACGTAGGAAGTGGTGAAGGAAGTAGTAAAGGCTGGCAGTGCAGAGTGGGGGAACCGTTTGGGCAGTTAGATAAATGTATCTAATACTTAAAAAATGCTATGAGAAGTCAATGAAACAAGTCTATGACATAGGAAATAGTGAAGGAAGTAGTAAGGCTTGCAGTGCAGAGTGTGGGAAAAGTTTCATAAAATGTCCATGGTAACGCAATATCTTTGGTAGTTTCTTTTTAAAAGAGCATCTTTAGTGGAAAAACACAAAATCCTGTCACGACCATAACGGACGTTTAAATGAATATTAAAAATAGTTAATATTATTTTTATAACTATGTTTTGCTATAAACTAATTTACTTTAATGACCATTATACAATAAAAAGGTCACTGAGCTTTTGGTATATTTGGTCTTTCTAAAAAAAATAAAAACACTCAAAAAATTGAAAAAAAGGCAATAAAATCTTTTTAAGTTTGCATAACTCCGAAAAAACTTACCTGAGACCCGAAAAATCGTTATGTGTGTATAGAGGTGTGCTTCTTTTGTGTATAAAACATTGAAATATGACGATATTTTAATTTTTGAAATCTTTATGATAGAAATCATAAACGTGATGGTCAGGGACAAGCGGTACGGTCGTGAATTGTCTGGAATAATCTAAATATTTCTAAACAATCCTTCAATTATCCTGTTAGTTATAATAAAAATATGTGTTTCAATTGAACTAAACTGTTCAATTTACAATTATATTAAAGTTATTGTCACGACCAAACACTCTATAATCCATAAGGCTGGATTGGTCGTGAAAAAAACCGCGATGGTCGTGAAACTTTGGTCGTGAAATTACGTGTTATTTGGCTCTGTTCTGGCGGTAGCCCTTCACCTCATGTTCGAGGATACAAAGTGGACTTCTAGGTTAATCTATCAATTGAAATATCTTATAAACAAAAATTAACACCACGTGTCTACTTCATCGAATGACTACGTACGGTCATGGACACACCAAAATTACAAAAAACACAATCTTTCCTTTATTAATCTTGTAATTCTTCCTTTCAACTCGAAACGACCGGCACTACAATCCTGACGTACACCCCGAACTAGTCTCTAAACCCAACTGACTCCATCGACGCCAGGCTTGCCACTGTCGTACTCCAAAGTTGAAAATTTTTCCTAAATGGTCGTGACGCCAAATCGAGGGACAGACTTATTTTGTCATGGTAGTCAGTTTGTAATGACAATAAAATTATAATATGCTCCTTTTTTGTAAGTTTAATAACCATTGATAACATAAAAATATGGCTTTATATATTTCGGCATGAATAATTAGTCTAAAAACAGCGTGAAACTTGGAAAATGTACCCTTGGGACACGTCATGGTCGTGAATTTCGAGACTTTAAAAATACGAAAAAAATACCTACAACCTATTTAAAACCAAATAAATGTGTGTAACATGTTGCCCCCGTCCCAAAAAATATTAAAACACATAATAATAAACTACAAATCTAGTATCTACGAAGTAAAAGGCCAGGGACATGAAAACGTACGTTTTTAAATTTTCACTCATCTGCAATCCTAAAATGCTATGGGAAGAGAGGGAAACAGGTCCACGACCTAGGGGGTGGTGAGTGAAGTAGTAAAGGTGAGCAGTGTTGAGTGTAGGAATGGAATGTATCTGCAATGCTAAAATTCTATCGGAAGAGACTGTAGAATGTAGGTTGAAATTATTACGAAGCACGAATCGATACATATTTCGATACATGAAATCGTTTACAATAGAAATTTACAACTTAGTTGACAACAGCTGATTCTGATCATATAATAAAACCTAAAGGGAAAGTAACTGTCTCAGTCTCTTACAATACAAAATCACTAAATACTGATTTATTTATAGTACCTGCTGGTCATTCTGCTTTGTTAGGACGAATTTGGATTCGTGGACTTGGAATTGAACTCAGTGAGGTAGACAACAGAGAGCAATCACCGATTAATACAATTGATGTTAATTTAGTACCGTCTCTAGAGGATATATTCGAATAATACTCAGCAATTTTCGAAGAAAGAATCGGATGTGTTCCCAATGTTGCAGTCAAACTCCAACTCAGAGATAATGAAAAACCAGTATTTACTAGGGAACGTGATGTCCCTTTCGCATTACGAGAGAGAGTAGAAAAGGAACTTACAGCCCTCGAGTCTCAAGGAATCATAACTCCAGTCGCATCAAGTGATTGGGGGTCACCATTGGTTGTTATCCCAAAGCCAGATGGAGGAGTCAGACTATGCGTGGATTACAAGTGTGGGGTTAATTCAAAACTTGTCTCATGTAACCACCCCATTCGACGCATTGATGATGTCCTACATAGTCTCCGTGGATCAAGATACTTTTGTAAGTTGGATCTTCAGTTGGTCCTATGGCTTATTTGCATCTAAAAGTCGATGAAGAGGGAAGTATGATTCAAACAATATCAACCCATAAAGGAATGTTCAACATGAATCGTCTCAGTTTTGGAATAAAAACAGCCCCTTCTGAGTTTAATAGAATTTTGTCACAACTGTTAAACGGATTATCAAAGGTAGAAGCATACTTTGATGATATCATTTGTCACGGAGAAACTCTCGAAGAGTAAGAACCTTATTGCATGTTTGGAATGTCTCTAGAAGAATGATCTACATCTTAACAGAACAAAATGTGTTTTCTTCAAGGAAAGTATTAATTACCTTGGACGTGGTGTCATTCAATAAGATTCAAAAATGCCCTAAAAAGGTTGAAGCAGTTACTCAGATGCCTCGCCCTCGAAATGTTGATGAGTTAAGACGCTTTCTTGGCTTAGTTACATACTATGCAAAATTCATTCCTGACTTCTCTTCAAAAACACATCCGCTACGATGTTTGCTTCGAAAAAAAGAAAAATTCTTTTGGTCAGCTGCTGCTGAAGCCTCACTTCTGAATCTGAAATCTGAACTTTGTAGTGATACAGTTCTTATTCCTTTCGACCCATCAAAACCAGTTATTCTCACAACAGATGCTAGCCCAACTGGAATTGCTGCAATACTCAGTCATGATATCGATGGTCAAGAAAGACCAATTGCATATGCATCCAGAGCATTGACTCAGGCTGAAACCAATTACAGCCAACTTGATAGAGAAGCTCTAGCAATCATCTACGCAGTCACCCATTTTTACAATTACGTTTTTGATAAAAGATTCACTCTCGTCACCGATAATGAACCATTGTCACATATTTTTCATCCAGGACGTGCTCTGCCACGAATTACATCATCTCGCTTATTACCTTATTCTTCATTCCTCAGTGGTCTTGACTATACAGTTTGATGCAAGAAAGGGAAAGACAATGAAAACGTGGATTGTTTGTCTCGAAGCCCAGTTCAATCATCAATTTCATCTGAACTAACATTCGACAAAGAAATATTCCACTCAAAAGTCAACGAAACATACAAACCTTAAAGAAGACTTATTGCTGCTGCCGATGATCCAACCCCAATTACCACAAAGCTACAAAACATTATGTTCAGATATCGAGCAACACCTTTGGCATCAGGCAAGACTCCAGCAGAGTTGTATTTGAACAGGAAGATTCGGATTAGACTTGACACACTTCTCCCTAACCAAAAGGCAAAACTTCCATCAAAATCAATTGCACCTCTTTGCGTCCGCTCTCTTAAAGTGGGGGAGAATGTTATGAACATATGAATCAGTTGTTACCATAGCAACCAAAAATTTAATCATCAAATGCTGTTTACTTTTCTATTCTGATTTTTAAATATTACACAGTTACTTCTTTTTCAACACTCTGTCTTTTTATATTCTAATATTCCACTCGAAAGTCATCTCATACAGCGAATGAAAAAAACACTAAGTACTAACCACACCATTGCAAGCAATGTTCAAAAACTGTTCTACTCAGCTACCCAGCCAGTTTTTATAGAATGAAAGGGTGAGAGATCAGTGTTTAAGGTGCGTTTAATAAATGCACACCTACACAAATAAAACTCACAGGAAACGAGACCACACGTGAAAATCAGTATGCCAATCATTCTTCTAAGAAATATCACCAACCACGATTAAGTGTCAGAACAAAAGTGTTACAGTGAAGTTTCTAAGGAAGTAATTGAAACTTCAATCCGAAATGGAAGTTTCAAGGGAGAAGATGCTCTCTTGCATGAGTTTTGATAATCCCCACAGTTATGCCCTTCCAGTTGACAAGCTTACAGCTTCTAGTTTGACTCACGATTGCAATGACAAACAAATCTCAAAGGCAATCATTGAAAGTATCTGAGCTGACCTATGAGGCCAACTGTATGTGGCCTGCTCCTGTGTAGGAAATTTATATAGTTTGTTTGTATCAGACCCCTCTGACCCACATAAAACTACAATGAAACAGTAAAGTATGTAGAGAGAGAAAAACTGACTACTTGATCCTGCATCCAGTAGTGTGACAAACAGTTCATTTTTAGTTAACTTAAGCAAAATATTGTTATGACTATGACCTACACAAAAATAGTGGATTCATTTTTTTTTTAGCAAAAAAGATTTTTGCAGAATAATCCATTCAATTTAAAGAACAAACCTTATTTTCAAACAGCTTAAACATCCCAAAATAACTAGCAACCCAAGACAAGTAAGTTAGGGCTGAACAATAATGCTTAGTCATTCAAACACAATTAATTTAAAAATAATATTCTATCTTGAGTCCTAGAAATTTTTTCAATTAAATTTCATTATTTAAAACAGAAAACACTTGTCATATTTTAATTGCTTGAATGAGACTAGGTCCTGAGATGCCCGTGGATTTATTTATTTTAAACCTAATTTGTAAATTTAATGTGTCTTAGCAACACTATTTCAACAGAGAAAAATAAATATTTAACCATGGAAACCAAAAATTCTGTTTCTCAATAACTTTCGCACTGTAAACACGTAACTTACTTTGTGGCAGTATGTTGAGGAACCCGTTCGCTGTAAACGTAAGGGAAGGGTTGCCTTTACCTGATGAGGTTGCTCTGGAAGCGCTTGACTGTTGTGACGTTCTTGACCCCTCGGTGGAGGACGCGGAGGAGGCTCAAGAAACACCACAGCCAAGACTTCGAGAGTTGACCGAACCGGGCTCAACCTATACGCTCAAGTTTGTTCGATTTAAATTGTCAGCGTCTTACGCTAAACGGTATTATCATACCACTTTTATTGAGTAGATTTGGGCTATGGGTTGTGGACCCCCTTCCGCCAAGTGACGTACGAGCACTTGGCCAAACGGCCCTTTTCAGGGCCAACACATTTTTAACTCCGCTACACCGGTCCCCAGCCCGGGACCTCTCCTGACAGTAAAATTAACATTTTTCTAATAGTTACCTGGAGTTCAAAAGAAAAGAAATTGTTATTTTTACTATTGGAGAGGGAGGAGGAGGGAAAATGTGGATATGGTCATTAAACTAGAAGTGCAATTAAAATTACAAAATGGAAGAAATAAATATTACAAGATGCCAAGTAAAGAATGCCATTTGAAGCAGATTAAAGTTTTGACAAACAGATTATGCAGGAAATCGGGTATTACTTGAGTAATTTTAACCATTTTTACCGCTATTTAAAAAAATAACAAAATTTTGTAAACATACTGGTGACAATGGTGCATGCAGGCTACAGTATCTTAATGAATAAGATAACAAGGAAAACTTTGTACGGGTATGGGTAAATGGGGAAAAACTTTTATAAAACACTAAAAAAACATTTACAAGAAATTTTTATTATATATTAAACTGTTATGAACAGCGTGAGTTTTTTCATTAGTTACATAAGCTTTTAGTTGAGAAAGAGTAAAAAATGATGACTGTTTTCAGTTTTAAAATTACTCTTATAATACCAGTAGGTACTTAATAATTGCTTGATTTTGAGCAACGGTACACTAGTAGTAATACATAAACATAAAATATAATACAAGAACTAAATAAATGTTATTCAAGGCAAAGTCGCAGTTGAAGTTAGGGTTTGTTGGTTATATGTAAAGTCGAACTCTCTAATACAGAGCTTAACCTTTTACTCCATAGAGGCTAAAAACGATTTTTACTCCCTTTAGAGTAAAAATGCTATTAGACCCGCAACGCATGCATTAAAAACGACCGTTTTTACTGCAGTATGACAAAAACAATATAATTAATATAATATGAACCCTTGATGACTCCGCTCAATTTTTGGCGATGGTTAGACCCGCACTCTACGTCACACTATAGAATTGGCAAGTCGCAAGTAGTGCTGTTTAGCGCCACACGTCCCATAAGCTAACATGGCAGACAGGCGACACCCGCTCATTCAATCGCGTATTATTCATTTAAATTTATGAATCTAAATTTACTAAAAGATTGAATATACTGTATAAAAGAAAATAGTTCTAAAGCAAAACAATATAAATTGAAAATATATTTATGTAGGACATTTAAACTGGAGTAAATATTTTCATAGCCCAGTAACCAAGTTTTCATATTCTAAAAAAATACACAAACAGCAAACACAAACAGCAAACAGCTGTAACAGCGCCACTGTCACTGTCAGTGGAGTGTTGCCACTTCAAATGCCATGGCCTGGAGTTAAAGGTGGCGGTGCCGTGGTGTGGGGGTACCGTACATCAAAAAAGGTTGTTAAGAATAGTTTTCTTTTACAAAAATAAGTTTGTTGTTTTAAAGTCAATATTATTAAAAATACTATTTATAGGTTTATTATACTTTTGGTACCTATATGAGCTAAAGACAATGTAAAGGGACGTGGTTTTTCCATTTTTGTTTAAAGCCTGTGGCATTTTTATAAGGGGTATTGTACAGACACAAAGGCTTCTACGGCAAGCGGTGTGGACAATTATGTTTAGTGGTAATCAAATCCGTCTGAAGATACCTCTAACCAAAGCCTGATACACTACCCGCTAGGCTAGCAACACACCCCTTAGTTTTGGACTCATTTTATGTAAAGGGCACTTTATAGTTTATTAATCAGTTCCAGTTGTCATCAATTTCAGACTCATCTTGCATTCATATTCAGTATTAAACACATAGCTAAGCTAGATGGCTTGATGCCTGAAATGTAGCGATAATTATTGTCATTTAGCAAACTTTATGACCATTTTAACTAAATAGAACAATAAATTCAAAAATCATTGCTTGCCCTCTTGAATCAAAAAAATACGAGAACATTTTTGTTTAATAAACCATAACATAAAAAATAGATTTATATGGACAACATAAGTAGGGCACTCAAAACATGAAACACATAAAAAACAAACTTCAGATTTTACAATAGGATAAAAATCCTACTAGAGACTAGAATCTACGCAGAATGTACTTTGGACCATACATTCATGCATGCCAAATATTAGAGGCTACTTTAGCATCATATACAACTAAATATTATTGCACTGGATTATTTAAACTGAGCATCCTTATATATAATACGTGAAGGCGATTTCTACGAAACACTACTCCTCCATTAATAATGCACGGATTTTTACAAACGAGGTGTCAAAATTAAGTAATTGTTGTGTAGACGCCCCCTTTCACCAATTCCTGTAGTAAAAGTTGTCTGGCTTTGCCCCACAGGCCATCAAATCCCAATGTATTTCTTATGAAGAAAAGATTTTGCTTACTTAAACAGACGAATGATTTGTATTAATTGCATACTAAAACAGCTATTCATAGTAAACACATGATACACACAAGAGAGTTTGTTTTCAGTTTCAATAACTGGAGTGGAGTGATTGATTACATTATCTTTGAGTTGACTCTTAGGTCGGAAATTATGACTGTTATTGGTTTTGAAATAACACCTGTAATACTTAGCAATTGCTCGAATTCGAGCAACAGGTGCACTAGTTTTTTTTTAAATATCTGGGAAGCAATAAATTTACATCCATGTTTTTAATAAAATGTATTTATTCTAATAATATTTACACACACGTTCATATATACTTGTCATAACAACAAAATAATATTTATACAATATCTCATAATGCATGTTAAAAAAACAGTATAGGCGGTAAACCTCACTAACTTTTACTTGACATTTTATACAAACAGCCCTAAGAGCTTGTAATATGACATATACAAGATTTGTTTTTGTATGGAATTCGAGGGAACTGAGGAAATAACTTATTTTAACAATTTTATTTAACATTTTTGAGGTATTGTTTAATTTTTTAACCACCTTTTGGATTACTGTTGGATTGGTAATTCTGTAGAGTTACAGAGTTAACCCCAATTAAAGAGGGAGGGTCCGGGTGTAAGTTCATACCCGGAACTTTTGAGATACTGTACAAAATGGTTCGTTTTAATACCTTTTTTTAGGTAATATTTGCTTTGCCAATTTACTGTTTTTGAAATTGTTTTTTGGCAAAATCCGAATATAATCCATATTGATAGAGGCCCATGTATTGCTTCTGAAAATCTCTTTCTAAAGTGGAAGAACTTTTGTTTGTTAACATAGCCAAATATAGTTCATTAATTGTTTATATTGACAATGCCTATTTCATATACTTGCCTAACGAATAACAAACATTTTGATTTTCACTTTATCAAATTAAAACTGATTCATTAGGATTGTGGAAACGAACTATGTGAGGTGTAGAGGTGATAGGGAGCAGAAATTAGATAAATATCATTCTCTCCTGATAAGTAACACAATATCACAATTATAATACAAAAGAGAGGCCATCTCCTCATGAAAGGCAACACCACATCGACTTCACTAATAGCCAACAATTACATAGATTACATTAGGCCCTTGATTAACTGCCTTAATAGTGGTGAGTTAGTTGTCTGAAGTGGCTGTTAAGTTCTCCACAAGACATCGCAGTAGTTGTTGTTGTAGACTGTCCAGATGGCAGCACAGGTCAGCCTCCACGGCCAGTAGACTCTCCACGTCTTTAGACTGGCATGACATCACTAAAGACTGGAGAGTCATGAACAGTTCTTCACTCATCCATGGAACTGGAAATGTACAAGATTATTAATACACCTTACTGTAGGCCTATATCAGCAAAATATGGGCTAAGAAAATTTTAAAATATGACAAGGGTATTTTAAGATGGGATTCCCTAGTTATACTAGAACAATAGAAGACTTTGAGAAGAATCTATCAAATTTTTGAATCCACTGTACACCTTCTCTAGAAGTAACAAATAACAAAAGCTCTTAGGGTGTATCTAAATGAGTAAATTTAAATAAAAAAACTGTACGAGCCAGTTATATTTGTAAGTTTGTCAGTAAACATTACCAGGACAGTCAGTGGAGTCGCCCAGCCAACTGTATCTTTCCAAGACAGCAGTGAGGTGAGGAGACAACAGTTGAGGTGGAGGTCTCAGCAACAGTAGTAGCAACACTCTACTGATCTCACAACTGTAACAAACATCAGCAACATTCACAAGGAATCATAGATGACTGGTCGCCCAAAATAATAGGTTGTGATAAAAATGTAGTAACATTGAATGGGAAAAAATAAACCAATGTGCTACAATGTACCACTGTAGGCCACGAACAGACTCAGATCGTCTCCTACAATCATGGCAACACCGTGATCATCTTCTGTGATTGGGTCTAGCTATTGTCTATCACGATCTAGGCAACACACTTGTTCATCTCACAAGGTCACGTTCTTCTTATGATGAGACAACCTTAAAAGAGAACCAACAGAATGCAGTCATACAATGGATGGTCAGTTACTTGGGATTGTTTCAAGTTTATTGGTTCAATAATAATGTTCACATAAAATTCACTGACTTTTTCCAAAACACTTGGACAATTCTTGGTTTCCAGATCGGCTGGACGTCTTGATTAGTATTCCACGAATGAGAACACCTTTCCAATGAATTCCTCATCTATTTAAATTCTAGTTTAACTGACTCTTAACATTTTGAAGATAAATATTTCACTTTAAAACCTTGAAATATTATGTTAAATAATCATTTAAGTCATATTCTGAGCAGCTTTTCTGGAAATATTGGAGATCCCATAATGCAACACACACACCAACATTATTTTATTTTTGAGGAATAAAAATAAAACTATAGAATTTCTGTAGGATGTAGACTATCAAGATTCAATTTATTACTTTTTATTAAGGCTTTAATTTTTATTAAGCTTTGTTACCTGAGTAAAATATCGGAATAAACTCCAAAAGGAGGGTCAGCAATCGTCTCAACAACCACAACTGTTTGGCTCAGTACTGAGAGAGCTCCGTCCAAATCACCTGAAAAGAGAGATGTTTTAGAATATACCAAAATAGAGACTATTAGATTGAACAGGCACTGGCCTGTAAAAACTGATACTGGCGACACAATTAATCAAATAAGCCTACCACTTATTTTTGATAAAACTATATTGTATAATATGTGTAGTTTATTGGATAGTAAACAAAAGTAAACATTCCAACAAGTATCAAACTGTTTTCTATAGGCTTATTCTTAGTAATTAGTATTAATAGCATTAGACAAATACGAAACTGGATGAGTTTGGTTGAACAGTCACTACGGCTTCAGTTCAAGCTAACTTTAACTCCTAAAATTCCTTTTATTAATTTGTAAATATCATGTTATAAACAAGTCGGTCACAGTTAATCTTAATCAAGTATATAGCCAAATCAAGGCAAACAGAAAGTTCTTGTGTTTAATTTTGTACCATTATTTTATTTTTATTACCCCCGTATACCAAGCAACAACAAGTCCATATAGATTAAATGACTTTTTGTAAGGTAATGTAACGTTTTAACTTTGACTATTGATACAACTAGACATTCTCATCTTAAAGTCCTTGCCAGTTCTTTAATCAAAATCTTCATAGTTGATGTAAACCACCGATAGGTTGTGCTGATGTATATTAGGCACCGATTTCTGTCGAATACACCAACTTTTTTACTAAGTCAAACAGATGGTACGACTTATTGTGAACTATAGCTGCCGTCAACTATGTCAGCAACAAAAAATAATGTAGGATATAGAATTTTCTATACTACGCTAGCGTATTCTGTGACTGCTTTACTTATATTCTTTTTTATATAAACAATTGGCGACAGCTGGTCCATATAGACGTGATATCTACTTCAGTATCCAGTATTCATTAGTTATACTTACCCATGCGTATCCTGGTGTCGGCTAGTCGGGCGAGTGCGTGCAGCTGCAGTGGGGGATGATCGGCCAACAGTGTGGCTGCATTGAGGTAGGAAGCTGCCGCTTGATGGGGCCAGTCCCCCAGCTCCAGCCCCATCTCCAAGGCCAGGCCTCCGCCAAGGAACTTCTCAGGCTCAGCACCTGAGCACAGCAATCCTGCGTGGCCTAGAGTGCTCACTGTTGCCTGACACAACAATAGTTTGTGAGTAAACCTCAATGAAGCCAGGCCATTAACTCTTAAAATACAGCTTGTATAGCACTAAAGCATACATAACACTCTGTCAAGCGAAGCAACTAAGCTATAAATAAGAAATAACTAAGACCAAATTCACTTTGTTTAACATAACATTATTGAACGTCTGTTGTAAAAATATCTTCTTTGTTATACTTTAGACAGTCAGAAATAATGACAGCAAGCCATTTATTGCAAAAACGTACTTAAAAAACAGATAAGTTCTTTGTCAAAGAACATTTTACCAAACGAGCCAGAAGGCAGAACCACCAAGTACACCTAATTTGAAATGGTGGCATCAACTGGAAAAGACTTACGTCTGGGAAGAGTAGAAGATAAACACATCATCTGGAAGCACAGTGTTAGTGAGGCAAAGTAAAATCAGGGATAGCTTGTAGAAGGCAGTATGTGAGAAATAAGTTTGATGAACACATAGTATCAAGACCACAGTGTTGATTTATCAAATAAAATGTCAAACAACAACTAGTTGAAACAATGGAATCAACTTAGCATTCTCATATAACATAAAAAAGCACTTGAACACTTTTCTTCAACCTGCTCTCTGAAGAACTCGTAAAGGACAAAATATCAGTGTTCTTTTTCATAACCTTTTATTGTGTAATAGGCCCATTTCTTAGCCTATGTAGGTTACTCTAATTTTCACAGGTAAGCTAGTTAAACTCTACCCCTTTAAAAACAAAACTAACTACTTGGCTTTTCTATCAAGTATCCTGTAGGTTGGTATGTGATTTAAGAGTTCAAAATTAGATTTGACCTACTTCCATGAATTCACAGTTGGGCGACACCAGTCCACACTCTGCTGGCTGTTTATGCGCCTTGAGGAACTGTCGGCCTGCCTTGACCAACGCCCAGGTCTCTCCCGCGGGGTTGTTGAGAGCTGCCTCACACCGGGACACAGCCAGATAGCACAGTCCTGCATACTGTGGCATCTCATCTCGCTCACACTGCACTCCCAACGACCCTGTAACACAGTAGACAAATTTGGAATAATGAAATGAAATTATTTCGTGTTCCTGGGGCCGACTCTGATTATAGTCATGAACACGTTTGTGTGCGCCCAGGGGTTTTACCTGGGTCTTAACTCCTTAGCTAGCTATAGTTCACAGTTGAGCTGGCTACTCCCTTAAGACTGTCTGCTTGACTGAACAAACACAAAAGGGGTCTAGGGAGCCCAATAGCAACAAGTTTTTTTATCCAATGTTAAAAATAAAAATAAAACATCAGCAATAGTTTGGTTTCAATAAAAATGTCTGTTAATATGATAACAACATTTCACACAAATCTGTCAACGTTTACGTATATTTATTTACAACCAGAACTAGATTACATTAATTTGTTTAAGCTCCCTAGTCTCTTTTAAAGTGAGTTCAGTCCAGCGGCAGTAATAAGGAAGCAGCCTGCACACTAATGAACAATAGGTGGCTTACCATAAGACACAGCTGCCCAACCTCTGGGTCCTTGTTCTGCATGACTATAATTGTTATACTAAAATGTCAAAAGTCATCTGGCATCAAACCAGCATTTTAAGACAAGCATTATAACTCCTCAACTACCCATACAGTCGAGGATCTAAAAGTTACCCAACAGTCGTCAAACTCCTCTGTTTGAGGGGCCTTGTGTCACCAGGCCCCAGGCTATCGCTTGATTTTGATTTAGACATTTATTCACTTTGTGTGAATATTTACATGTAACAAGAAGAAATCCAGGGAAAGTGAAGAAACCCACGGCTGCCTTTAACTCCAGGCCGCGGCCTGGTAGAATTCGCAAAGTTGCAAGTGGTGTTGTCTAGTGCTAGACGTCCCATAAGATAACATGGCATACTACAGGTGACACCAGCTCATTAATTCGTGTATTATTAATTTAAATTTATGAACAAATATGTATTAAAAGATTGAAAGTAAAATATATAGAATTGCAACCAAAACAATGTTTAAATTGAAAATCTATTTTTGTACATTAAATTGGAGCCAATATTTTCATAGCCCAGTAAACAATTAAGATTTTGTATTCTTAAAATATGCACAAATTACCATTAGCTGCCTCCAAACAAAACAGCTGTTACAACCCTAATTGCGATGTTGCCACTTCGAAGGCCGCGGCCTGTAGTTGAAGGTGGCCGTGAGAAAGCAGATAGATAATCTGTGTTGCTTGGTTACTGACTAAAATCAGGTGTTTCTTAATTTAAGACCATCAAAAGCTCTATGACCAGGAAAATCTGGGACTTTTATTAATACAATGAAAATAATGCTCTTTTGCAATGTTAACTTTGTTTATATGATTTAACACACTCACTCCCGTGTGGAGAGAAGCCATACATACAGAGGAGTGTGACGGCTGGGACTGAACCTGTTAATAGTTTACTATTGACATATAATAATAAACTTTCATACTTATTTAGACATGACAAAATTACAGATTAAAAAGACATTTCTTTAGAAATATATCACTCATAATTAACATTAATTACATGTAGTGTCTAAATATTATACATAGGCTAATAAAACTTATAAAAATATTTATGACGTTTATGGCTGTTGGCTGTACAACAATTTTCAAAGAAACTTTTCCATAGCAACTAATGGTTCCATAACAGACAGATAAATTTCAGTTATTGAAATTCAAAAACTGATGATCGTAATCGGCACTTTTGTGTTTGGTATTCTCGTCGGCTGTTTCATCGAGAGACACAGACTAGGAATGACCTCGTGGAGTTACGACCCTAATTGTGAGCCTACAGGGTGTCCGTCCGCTTGTCCCCCTTCTACAAGGAATTTTACCTGCGACAGTGTGGCTTCAAAGCGCTGGCATAGAAGACGCAGGCGACCACGGGCAGAGCCATTAGAAAGTGAGCTTATTATTCCTCCACCTCGACAAATAAGACGAACTCGCTCTAGGAGCAGGGATCGTATAATCTCATGGGACAGAGCTAGTTCAAGGTACTGTAAATTGTTAAATTTTAAAGTTGCTAAAATCAGTGAAAGTTTTATGGATTAGTCAAGATTGAACAATTACCAAAAATTACATGTCCATGCAAATTATTAATAGTGTTTGTAAATGTTACCAAAGTTTTTTACTGTTTTAAAGCAACGACTGATTAGCCTATATGGGATTGGTTATTACAAAACAAAAATACTGTTATCACGTGATATAGGTACAATAACAATTATTGTTGCCAATTATTATTGTTACCAGTTATAGTCTATTAATCGCCAAGCATGTTACTTAATTATTATGATTAGGCTACCTAGTTAATTCAATTATCACTCCTGATAGTTATTAAGAAATGTTATTAATCATGTCAAATGGTGCGCCTTTAATAATATACCAGAACCATATGCAGTAACATGATGACTATATGCAGTTCCATGATGCAGTAACTTATTATGCACTTTGTTTAGAATTGTTATTATAACCGCACGTCATTTTCATTGAAAATTCATCTTTGCATGTATCACTGTAGGCTATGTAACTGCACAATATTTAACAGCATGCAAAAAAAGCATCTTGTCGCATATATCACGATGTAAAATTTATTGTAAATAATATATAAATAAAAAACTTTTTTAAATCAAAACTTTTTAAATGCTCTAAAAAGTAGAAAATAATTTATAAATATGTGGAGAGTATAAATACTTGTAATATTTAAAACTAAAAACGTGGGGTGCATGCAATAGATAATTTACAATTACCCACACCTATTGAACTAATGTATTATTATCAATTGCATGTACCCCACGTTTTTCGTTTTAAATCTTACAAGTATTTATACTCTCCACATATTTATAAATTATTTTCTACTTTTTAGAGCATTTAAAAACGTTTTGATTTAAAAAAGTTTTTTATTTATATATTATTTTCTACTTTTTAGTTTTTAATGTGTGTGGATGTTAAATCTTTTTCATGCATCTATATCAGATTAAGACAGAGGCATGTGGGAAATCTAAGGTTTATTTGAGTTTCTTTTCATATAATTATGTATTAGATTGAATGTATGGCCTAACTGCTAACTATAAATATATCAATCTATTTAATTTATTGTTTACTTTATAGAATACTTCATTCCGGTATGTTTTTTCCTTCGTGATGGCATTATTAATGTTATTCTTAGGTTGTCGGTTACTCACCACTAAAATAAATTAATCACAATTTACTAAAAAATGTCGAGGTATATTTCAAGTTTACATCAAAACTCATCTTCAGCCTCTAGTAACAATATATCCTATATATATACATATATATGTTGTTACTAGAGGCTGAAGATGAGTTTTGATGTAAACTTGAAATATACCTCGACATTTTTTAGTAAATTGTGATTAATTTATTTTAGTGATGAGTAACCGTCAACCTAAGAATAACATTTATAGAATACTAAATAAATAACAAATGACATTATTAACAAACACCTTTATATCTGCAATCAGATTGTTTATCTATATTCTGAAATGTTTGTTTGTATAAAGAATCTCTTGGGAGCAGAACCTGTACCTCTTAACCTCTGCTTTTTGAACTGTCAAATTTAAGTATTTACAGCTGACTTTAATTAATTGACATATTTACATTCTTTCAAAATGTAAACATGGAAAATTTGGAAGCCAGTGGGGCGTAGCCCAAGGGAAATATGAAAATTAAATGCTATAATATTGCATTGTCATCCACTTGTGAGCTATGTTTCAAATTTCAAGTCTCTAGGTAATCGGGAACTTCGTTTAAAATTGATATCAAAATTTGTAGGAAAGTGACTAATAAAAACAAGCCCATGGGGCGTAGCCCAAGGGAAGTATGAAAATTAAATGATATAATATTGCATTGTTATCCATTTGTGAGCTATGTTTCAAGTTTCAAGTCTCTAGCTCATCGGGAAGTATCAAAATTTTCAAGAAAGCGAGTTAATAAAAACAAGCCCGTAGGGCGTAGCCCAAGGGAAATATGAAAATTAAATTAATATTGCATTGTCTTCCATTTGTGAGCTATGTTTCAAGTTTCAAGTCTCTAGCTTATCGGGAAGTTAGTATAAAATTGATAGCAAAATTTGTACCGGACAAGAAAGCGAGCTAATAAAAACGTTTTAAAATGGTGTTTACCGTCAAATTAAATAAATAAATAAACATAATTTCATTGTAAACTCCAAGAAAAGGTTTTTGGAAAGGGATAAGTGTTCAACTTAATCCAAAACGATTTTAGAGTCGAGTGTCTTTGAAGTAACAAACAAAATTTACATACATTTACTGGCATTTCTCTTGATGGGGTGGGGGGACTTCTTTAAAAAAAGATGTAGCCTATTTACTATTGTGTTTCAAAGCCGTGAACTCTAATTTAACCACCTAAGCTATTTCAACTCTACCTGTTAAAACCCTCATAAAAAATTACCTTTTTAGATCTGATTAAGGGGTGAATAAGTACATTTTGACTAAAAAATTTAATTAAACCCTCCTTATTACTATCTTCAGTATTTATTAGCCAGTATTTAATATCTTGATTTTCAACCAGCATCCTTAAGTTGTGATAGTGTTAAATTGTAACGTTCTTTCTAGGTCACCGAGCAGGAGACTGAATCCTATTCCAAGACGAAACGTACAACTACCAGAACAGATAATCGACATTGGTGGAGGTCGCAGAAATGCCGTAGGTGGCTATTATCCTGGACCTTCAACTCCTCGTGGAAGGCGAAACCCAATCATTCCAGGCTCTCTCCCAAACACTACAATTCAAACACCAGCACAGGTGACCAACCTGGGAGGTGGTAGACCTGGCCACCGATGGACTGAAGGAATGTTGTATCGTAGACGCGGCCCAATAGGGGGGCGTTGGCCAATATCGCGATAATTTTTAAAATTAAAATTCTGTAGACTGTGACTGTCTAACAAGTTGTGTTTATTCCATTGCTTTAAAAACTAATGTCACTATTCATGGCAGATAGTTAGTATGATAAAAAACTTACCAAATTGGTCACTGGGCTCAGCAACATTTGGTTTCCGTAAAAACCGTCTGGAAAACAAAACACTTTGTGATTCAAAACATAGCTTAAACATAAATTAGATGGATAAAAATTTACAGTTAATGTGTTCGCTGCGGGCCACTAACCGCTGAGTGCTCTAGTTCCTTTCTGCTACGCTGAACGCTAGGAATGGGTGCTTTGTTGTGGTGTTGGTTGGTAGTAAATTTCCCCGTATAATCCCCTTTTGGTAAGATTAGAAATCAACTTGTCCCGTTTTTTCTCCCTCCTATTGGCAATACAATGGGACCGGCTGGTTCCAGACAGTGCTGATGTCTGTGAGTTTTTCAGCAAACTAAGTCAACACTCGTCGTAATACAGAACATCACCGCACATCATTTGCTATTCGTCGGACCGAAATACTTGAAAGCCAAACGGATCCGCTCGACGCTGCGCAGCTTCGACAGCTATTTGGTGGGCCGCAGTGAACGTGTTAAGGAATAGGCCTACTATACATGGGCCGAGAAACTGGGCATGCTCATGAAATGAGCCATGACAGTCATACTCATACAGTACTAAAAGAGTACCGGTAGTGTAGTTACAACTGTTTAGGCATCTATCATCAAACATATGAAGATAGCTAATAGATAAGACACGCCAAAAGGTTATTTTGAAAACGAATAAGAAACAAACAGGCCTGTCATACACACACCTTAAACAGTTAACATTGCAAAAATCTGAGCAATGATACATACCTACCCTAGTTAGCATTGGTTCCGTACAGTGTGTGTTATGTATTTTAACTTTGACACTTCTTCAGCCGAGGTAATAACAAGGTACAGTAATAAACATGCCAATGGTAATAACTTTCGAGAAATAATGGCAAAAGTAAAGCATATCTTTTAGTAAACGTCTCTTTAACTTATTTTATATAGTTACCTTTACAACACTTTTTTTTACTTTGACATTTACATTTCTTTTGTAAGGTAATGGCCCAAACCTTGGTAGTTTTTTTTTCAACATGAGAATCACTAAGTTAACACCTTGACCATTCAGAGGCATCTGGGGTAGGAAGGTGAACATATTAACTTGTCTAGGAATACTTACTTTTTTAACTTATTTGAGATAGACTTGTATTGAAATAAAAAGTCATTTATGCCACTTTCACACATTATGATCAATGCTATATAATTTTAATAATCTGCAGGGTCCTAGGCTATTATATTTACAGCACTAACACTAACAGTACAGGGTTAGCTTTGCATGGTATTCATGGTAAAAAGAATAGGTGGAAGATAAACTTTAAGGTTAAAAAACATTGTTTTTGGATGGGTGGGACTTTCTCCCCAACTAACTGTCAACGTCAACGAACACAGACAGAATCACAACACGAGCACAGAACAGAAAAGGAAATTATGTAGAACCACTGTAGAACAGAACAGTCAGGTCCAGATCTCTGTCGTCTGCCACTTTAAGGTCGATTCACACACATCAGTTACGGCACGTCACAGTAAAGTCACTTCAGGCCACTTCAGGCACGTCACAGTTAACAAAAATATTCTTTAATGGATTTTCTATTGCGCTATCTACACTTATCCGTTGCAGTCCCGTCAGTCGCTCTACCGGCATCCGTCAGTCAATTTCAGATTTCTTTCCAACGATACTTTTTGATTGGTCGGACGCCTGACGGAACTGTTTGAGGTTAGAAAATAGTGTTATTGTTATTTAAATGGTTGCGTTTGTATTTTGAGTACTGTTTGTAACAATCAACAAGATGGACGATGATAATTTGATAGAATATAGGTTTATAAATTTAAAATTTGGACTATAAATTACTGTGAATTTTAGAGACGGAAGACTGACTGAAACCAACTGACAGACAATTGACTGAGAAATTGCGGATGCAACTGTGACTGGACTGTAACCATCGATATATAACTACTACTGGATTGCTGGCTGAGCGCGCTAGCCCGAGCCGAAATCAGTGGTTGCGTTCTGCACTTGAAGGCGTCGGGTAGGGGCAAGAAAGGGGCAAGAAACCCGCACGGTGCTTGGGTTTTACATCGCACTGACTCTGTGATAGCATTTGTTTACCCTAATTTAACTATTGATTCACGAAAAATGTTCATCGGGGGATATTTTGACTCACTTATATAGTTATATTAAAAACCGAAAGTATATAAGTTAGTTATCTATTACAGTAATTGCTATACAGTACAACGTGTATTTACATTGTTGTAAAGTTGAGCGACAACATAGTAGTTGTATTTAAAAAATTGCTTGGATGGTTTGGGTTATGGGTTTTATAAAAAGGTTGATAAATTAAACAATAAAAATACAGCGCAGTTGTATAAAAACCATTTACTGTACAGTATTTGAATACAGTACCACACAGAGTAGCCTACATTTCACGCATGATTAAAAAGTACTAATTTTGTTAGCTTTTGACGAATACCAACTTTTGACAATGCAATGGTTTGCTCTTTAGCATGACTGTAGCAAATAAAAAAAAAAAACAAATTTCCGATTTTATCAGCTTAATTTCGTGTGTGTCCTCTGCAAAGTCAACGTTAGACATATGGGTGTAGCTACTTAAATTGCATTCGTCAGCTGTCAAAAGACTAACACATTCTTCACATGTTACTGCAAGGATGTTACTGTACCTAATATTTTTCTAACAATAAAACCAGGCATATAATATTGATACATTATTCTTATAGTATGATCCAGTTTCCGCAGATATCGCTCTTTGAAAGTCAATTACATCGTTTTCTTCACAGTCATCAATATCGCAATTAATAATTGCCTTTGTCTCTGTATTTGTATGCCTTAGGACTGTAAAAATAGACAGTGAGAGCAAATTCTTTCATTTTTTCTGAATACACGGTCCTGAATTTACTGGTGTTACTATTTTTCATAGAATGGGCAATTAAATCTAACGGAAATCCTGACAACTTTTCCTCTAAAACCTCTATTAACCAGGTGCTTTAAGTTTTTTCTTAAACACTACAATCATTTCACGCATGGATTTTATCCTAGCATCTCTTCTGTTTAGCCGCGGTTGAAGAATTTCGATCTTCCGTCTCAGAAGAGAGATAGCTCCTATCTATTATTTGTCCATTTAAAAATACTTCCAATTCAACACCTGCTAGCTCTTTTATAAAGTTTTAAGACTTTATATATTTATATATATATATATGTGTGTGTCCGTCAGCACGATAACTCGAGCAAAAATTATCCGATTTTGATGAAATTTGGTACAAACGTGTAAACGTACGTTTATTCGAACGAGTTCGCAATCCAGCATGATCGGACCATGGAAACGGGGGTTTACGGGGGGTTTTATGGGGTAAAAATAGGTTTTCCCATTTTTGACCAAAAAACATAAAATTTAGCAATTTCTTTCTAAACTATTTTGTAGAGCTTAAAAAAACAAATAATTTAGTATATTGAAGCGTTATTATGCGCCTAATGGTTACGGAGAAAATTCCAAAAAATTGTAAATTAAAAATTCCTATGTTATTCTTATGGAGAATAAGTAAACTGTTGTAGTTTGCTTGTTTGTGAACATATTTTGATCAAATTTGGAAAATGTTTTTATTTCTTACTAACTATTCACATTTTACAAAAAAAAAAAAAATAACAGTTTTACCCTCCCTGATGCAGCAAACCTAAGTACTTGTTAAACTAATTCTATTTAAATCAAGAATAAATGTTATATTTTTAAGTAGACATTTCAGTGTAAATCCAATCAGTCAAATGGAAATTCGCTTAGTCTGCAGGTTTGCTGCGGCGGGGGTATTTAATATATTTTTATTGTAAATATCTATTATTGTAATAATATTGTTATTTTGTTTAATTTAACAACTGTCATCAAGACGCCACAGAGAGCGGCAAGGTGTTTTTCATGTGTGGACTGGACTGAAAGTTTATAGAATGTACTTTATATTGTTAATTTTTATTGAACGTTGTCACATTAACTGGATGCTGTGGCAACGTAATTCCAAGTTTTTATTTGATTTGTATGTAATGTAATTATGGTGGAATAAATCATTATTTCATATTTCATTAATTCATACATTGCTAACCAAACTACCACGTGAAAGTGCTATCTGTCCACTAATAACTGGCAGGATGATTCATTCACAGGTGGTTTACTTTTGCTTCTTCATACATGACCTAGAATTGTTAAAAAAACTATTATAGATTTGGTGGGGTTGCTAGTGGCGGAATAATTTTTTGGCGGGATAGTTCGTTAGCGGGAAAGCAGCAGGTGGCGGCGCGAGTTGCTGTTTTGCCCCTACCGGGCGCCTGCAACACCGCGATACGTCTCGCCACACACACCTGTACGCGACCGAATTTCTCTACACAGCTCTTATGGACAGCGCGCAATCCAGTAGTAGTTATATATCGATGACTGTAACTGGACTGCAACTGGACTGTAACGGAACTGTGACTGGACTGATGTGTGTGAATCGACCTTTATGTCAACGTCAAGTCAGTCAACAGTCAACTGTCAGAGGCTGACGTCAGTACGAGTACAGTTGTTAGTAAGTGGTGTCATGATCATGAATAAGAATACGACAGCAAACGAATGTTGCATAAAATAATACTACATAAAGTTGTTCTAAAAGTATGCTATATGAGTTGTATATCGTTTTACAAAAAGAAAAACAAAATAATAAATTGCAGCATCATTAAGCCATTCTACTCCAATACAGTCTATGCCAATACCCAGCAACCACAATACGTCATAATCTTGTGGGTTAGGTTTTGACGCTTTTGGATATTTACGTTATATTAATGGTTGTCGACCTTGTGCCTTTTGGGACCTCGTGCCTCGACCCCCGTTTACAAAATACTATCATAGATAAAACCCCAAAGTAGATTTCTCATCCTTATGGAACAGAGCTGAAGCCAATTTGAATTTTACTGTTAGATCGGTCTGATGCACTTAGATGTCGTGTTTTGTTTATAATTTGTTTCTTGATATTTCATTCATTTAATTTTTCAATAAATTAATTAGTACATCAAATTAATGTTATTTTTCATACTTTTTTCTAGTACATACTTGTAAAGTTTAGTTGAACCAGCTATTAAGATTCTTTAATTCCATTTAAATATGAGTACAGTACTAATAAGGTTAACATGGGAAACTCCAGAGCCACTGCGGCGGAGCCTTTTTGACGGATCTGCACCAAACTTCACACAAACCATCCTTGAATAATGCTTAATAATGCCTGAAAGTTTCATTACAATCTGTTGAGCGGTTTCGGACTCCATAAAGGACAAACAAACAAACAAACAAGCATACATTGGATTTTATATATATACTAGCTGGCCCGACAGACGTTGTCCTGTCCTAATGTGGTTTTATGTCAATTATGCTCGTTCATTTTCAAGATGAGCTTGTTCGCATGGCTCAATCACGTCCTGGTTGAAGTTCGTTCGCTACGCTCACTCACCTTTAGGTTGGAGCTCGTTCGCTACGCTAACTCACCTCCAGGTTGAAGTTCGTTCGCCACGCTCACTCACCTTTTGATTGCAAATTAGCTGTTGTCATAAATAAAAAAAATAATGCTGCACCCTGTTGGTAAACCTATTAAATTTTTAATGCTACAGTATTGAACATCATGGAATCAAATTCTTTAGTTGAACCAGCTGTTAAGATTCTTTAATTCCATTTAAATATGAGTACTCATAAGGTTAACATGGGAAACTCGAGAGCCACTGGGGCGGAGCCCTTTTGACGGATCTGCACCAAACTTCACACAAACCATCCTTGAATAACGCTTAATAATACCTGAAAGTTTCATTACAATCTGTCGAACGATTTCGGAGTCCATAAAGGACAAACAAACAAACATACATACAAGCAAACATGCATACAAACAAACATACATTGGATTTTACATATATAGATAGATGGGCGTATGGTAATAATTATGTTTTGCAGATTTATCCATTAAGTGTATTTGATCTTTTGCTGCCATGCCTTTTTGTACCTTTTGTTTTGTTTTTGTTTCTGTGTCGGATATTTTCTTCAGCCTTACATTTGTTGTATCCGCTAGTGGGTGGGGTGTCCAGAATAAATACTCGGGCGTAAATTAATTGGGTTCATTTATTAAGCGGATAAGCAAGAAATACAAATTATAATATCTTACTAATACATGACTACGCTAATATCACAGAGAAATCCCCATTATAAAATGGTATAATTTAGAGGGAGGGCTACCTACTACTGAACCAAGGGTCGGGCAATGTAAATCTCCTATTAGCCTATCACCACATACCTGCTAATATCAGCGGGAGAATCATGACCAGCTAGTTGTTGTCTGGTCCACGCCTTTACGGATTCTAACTGTAAGTTGGTGGTTCACAAGGACCGACCATATCTAACCTCAAGAGTGGTGGGGGCTTGTGACGCAAATGCTGGTTTCCAGAATTACCTCAAACCATATTTGGCACTGGATACAGTGTTACAAAATCTCAAAATTAAAAACTATTAACTTTTGGCTGAGCTCCCTGCTCCAAATATAAACGGAATCAAACTGTAAACTAATAAATTAACCCATGTGAATACACAACACATTCATAGTAGGGGCCTAGTTTACTTCACTTTTCACTACACCAAGCCACTTCACTTCGCGCTTCGCTTCGCAGCACTTCGCAGTCTTCCTTCGCACCATCATTTTACTTTTTAGCGAATTTCCCATATAGGGAATAAGCTATTACCGCAGGCCTCATTGTAAGACCTAGACCCGGGACCGATTTTTTTTTGAGGTCCCCAGAGGCCAAAAACACCATCCATTCAAATTCATATCCTACTAATATTATATATATATATATATATATATATATATATATATATATATATTATATGTCCGTGAACGCGATAACTTGAGCAAAAATTATCCGATTTTGATTAAATTTGGCAGAAACGTGTAAACCTACATTTATTCGAACGAGTTCGTGAACTAGTATGATCGGACTATGGGAACCGGGGTTTATTGGGGGGTTTATGGGGTAAAAATTGATTTTTCCCATTTTTCATCTTAAAAACACAAAGTTTCATAATTTCCCTCCAAACCATTTTGTAGAGCTGAAAAAAAAAAATTTTGTATATTGAAGCGTTGTTGTATTGTATGCCTGCAGATAATTAAAAAAATGTAAATTTAAAATTTCCACGTTATTCTTATGCACTGAGCTCATGGTGGAAGGAATCCTTCCACAATGCACTGAGCTACATAAGTTTTAACTCAGTGTTCTTATGGAGAATAAATAAACTGTTGTAGTTGGCTTGTTCATAGATATATTTTTACCAAATTTGGAAATTTGATTTATTTTATACTAAGCTATCATCATTGCAATAAAAACATAAAACTTAATTTTTTCCCTGTAGCAGCAAAGCTAAGTACTTCATAAGATTAAAGTTATTTAAATAAGAAATAAGTCTGAAAATTTTTAGGGAATATTTTAGTAGAAATCTATAAATAAATAAGTAAATATAAGTAAATGGAAATTCGCTTTGTCTGCAGGTTTGCTGCATCGGGGGTATTTACTACTCTCTTTACTTTATCGTTTGGACTGGTTTGGACTCGGATTCTGATTCTCCTGTTCTGTTCTGTTGTTTTGTTTGCCTTTGCTGTTGCTCGCTCGCTCATTGACTCACGAATTATTATAGTGGTTTTATCTGTGTCTTTTTTGTTTAATAACAAATTTTCGAGAATAGAATAGTATGCAGTAAGTATTAATTAGTCACTAGTCATAAGACTCCTAAGTATAATTAAATTCTAGAAGTTCTTTAAACTACTTTGTCTACTGTGTCTACTTTCAGCAAGTAGAAGGCCAGAAGGGGATAGCCCAACATAGGCTTAGTTCAATCCCTAAATTAGGCCTAATTCCTGCAATAGGGTGGATGGTGGTAGCCTAAGCCCAGCCTAAAATTATGTTTTGAATTATGCATGTTCTATATTACTGTTATAAGTTATTATGAAGGCTTGCCTATCATTTACACTAGCCTAACTTAGGCCTAGTTACCATTATTAGGTACTAGGCTTAGGGAAGTTAAGTACGATTGAAGAATACTTAGTGAACTTACTTAGGCCTATCTAGTTTTTATCCGATGTGATTTATCTGCATGCAACTTATAAATTAGTTCATAGATTAGGTTTAATACCACCTCTAGTAGGCTACCTGTGACTGTGATAGCTTTTACTGTTCTGTGATTTTTGTTTATTAACCCTCCGAGTGTTATGTGTCGATTTTTCGACTCACAAACACTGTTTACGGCGAAGGCTCTATGACTGACTGAATCGGATTGAACTGGAGCGAGTTAGGTATCTTTCTTTTCGTTAGATTCTAAGCTTTCTCCAGGTCTGTCTCTAAGCGCTGAATGGTCTCCGAGCCGATCGTAATTGTAGCAGACAGCTGACGTGCGTATTTGTAAACAGCTAGGTTACCCTCGGACCGATGACCGATGTGTTTTATTACGTTTATCATAGTTTTAGTGTTAAAAATCAAAAGTAGTGATATACGTGGTGCATTATAAGAAGATTTAAGTGATTTTGAAGTGCTGGTTGATGATCCTGAAGAAGTAGGTAGTGATATTGATGTAAATTATCAGCCAGATTCCTAGCTATGGTTAGGCTATGCATTCTTAGCTAAACGCTATGTACCGAAATCTGTTTTTTGACCATAACTTATTTAATTGCAAATCTACTTCCTTATATGATTATATATTTGTAATCCTCATAAAATTTAGAACAAAGTGGCTATTTTCAAATATTTATAGGCCTATAATTTATACAATTTCATTGAGTGCGAACTTATTTTTTTTTTTGAAATTTTTCCAAAAAAATTTTTTTTTTACCTAAAAATTTTTTTTGAAACAAATGTTCCTTATGTTTTATGTAGCCTATAATATTGAAGCCCATGATTTTCCAAACAAAATGGTATATAGAACAGTATAATTAACATTGTTTTTAAGCTTCTAAGATCTGTTTTAATAAAACCTTGCAAATGCGCAAAAAATAGGCAAACATTAAGGCCAAAACTAGGGACACTCGGAGGGTTAAGCCGCGTTTACACCACTCGACTAGTTTCGTCGACTAGACGTCGACTAGTTTCGGAAACTGCTTTTTCTACAAAATGTAGCAACTTTTTCCTTCGTCAACTAGTGGAGCAACAAGTTTTCCACTGAATTTTGGTTTCCCCCGGAGAGTCGGTAAGATCAAAGAAAGTTGACAGCAAAAACTTGAAGACTTGTTGATATGCGCTTTGCGCAAGCAACTTGTTGAAAACTAGTGGAGAACTAGGGTCTATTCCCCTTCCCATATTGTAGGCTACACATAAGTTATTGTAAATGTGTAGGCCTATTATTGAATTATTTTAATTATTATAATAGGGTAAATGTTACGGTAGCTATCTTTCTAACTTATTTAAATATCTTAATTATGCCTAATAACTCTGGATGTGTACAGAGCTACAGACTAGGCCTGTGGTCTGATTTTGATTGAAATTTGTATGTAGGTACTAAGTAATCCATAATATCTCTACAGGTAGGCCTATTTTAGAATTTTTTAGAGATTTTGATTTTAATGGTGATTTTCCCATAAAAAGACGGACAATTTGATTTTTTCAAATGAATGGAAATGGCAGAAACGACTTTAATAAAGATTTAGTATGTTGTAGCCACCCTTGAATTAATTACTACCTTTGAGCAGGGTGTCTACCAACCGGGAAAACCGGGAATTGTACTTAATTTTTTACTGGCCATGAAATGTACGGGAATTGTCCTTAAATGCCAGACTATGTCCTTAAATTTTTAATGGGCCATAATTTTATCGATCGCTAGTTGGTTAGGAGCACATAAAAGGTTTATCAGATGTTTGTTTACATTTTCATAATTTATTACTAGAGTAATAAAAACCCCAATAAAAACCAAATATGCAATAAAAACCCCATTAGCATTCTCAAACCCATTAATATTTTGACAATCAAGTGTCAAATCAAGTACTTCCAAGAACTGTTGACTCAGTAGTAGTTTAGCTCATAAAAGCTGTATCACTTTTATTCCCTTACAACATTTATTTATTACTAGGGTAATCATTATTAGATCCCAAACATATTTTATCATGGAAATAATAGTTTTATAATGGCTGTTAAGTTTCGCTTCTTACTTGTACTTCAATTTGCCGCTGGCCATTGCCTAGTGCCATAAAACTGTTTATGGTTTCATATAAAACATGTAACTAATCTTAAACATAACTAAGTTAAACCCTTTTTCTATGGTTATTTTATTTTTCAATTGCAAAACCAAAAGCATCGGTTGTTTGCATTAAATTTTTATCACTACGTAGGCCTACTTGGTTTCAAATGATGTCATAGCATTTTCTGTATCTTTGTACATTGTTGGCAGTCAGGTTTCAATTTTTTTTATTTCCCATATTTATTTATTGAGTTGTATGCTTTAAGCAATCTAAATCTTATTAACTAGAATGATGATATTGTAGTGACTTTGCTGATATTATAACCTCATTGTTTGTTACTCAGTTAATATAGGCCCTCCTAAATAGTTAGGTCTAGGCCTGGGTATTTTGATTCTTTGAAAGTGCTGTAAAATATACTAAGAAAATGTAATTGAGCCTAAGATAAAGTAATGATTGCTATGTGTCGATATTAACTTTGCAGATGAAAAGACAATAATCTTACTCTGTGCTTACTGGTAGCCGCTTACCATACCGATTTTGTACCTAGAACCGAGTTACAATATATTCATTATGCATTAAAGATTTTTTTTTTTTCAAATGTAGTCGAGAACCTAACGTTGTGCCAGGGCGAATAATGCCAAATTAATCCGCCTGGATCGGATAAGCTATGTTATGATGTTTCCGTGACTGAAGGAGATATTTAGGATTTTGTCGCTATTGCAGGAGACAATGATTGCATTTTCTGTTACACTATAAAAGCTGTACCTAAAGTATATGTTTGTTTACTTTCAATAAGTTTCTATTTTGAAATTTAATTCTTGTCTATTATTATTTACTTTTCTCTCTGGAACAACTACGAAGAACAAGATTAATACAGTTTGACAAATCAGGAATATTATTCTGTAATCACACCGACAAAGGTCCTTTAATGTACGGGAATTGTCCATGAATTTTTTATCCAGAATGTAGTAGACACCCTGTTTGAGGTCCTTGTAGTTCTAAACAATATAGGCTACAGTTGTGCAGCCCCCCACTTTTGCTGCAACCTGATTGCTGTAAAAGTTACGATTCCAAAGTTAATGTGACTTTTGTAATTTTACCTAATATCATAGTAACATAGTTACTAAATACCTATTAAATATCATTACTACACTAATCACTTATCCATGATAATGGTTGTTGACAAGCTAATGGGAGATGTGTCAGATTGCTGATTCAATAATAAGAAATAATAATAATATAACTACAGTAAAGTAAACATTATTTTCTGTTTAGGAATAATTGCGTCTTCTTCGTCCAACGACATCCTTGACGCACTGTACTGATTATTACACGCATATTCTTTGGCAACAAGTTTTCCACTAGTTGCTCTAAATTAGTGAGGAGCAACATTTAGTTGTCAACTTTTAGTTGTCAACTTTTGGTTGTCAACTTTGGTGTAAACGCGGCTTTAGCCTAATTTCAACAATAGTTTTATCATTCATACTTTGCATGTTGCAATGCTTCAACAATGAGTTCAGTACTCGAATACTGACTTGAGTCGATGAGGAATCGTGGTTATACAAGTGAGTTAAAACTTATTATAGGCCCAACTTAAAGGCTTTGCAGTAAGATTTTCCAGAAACTTATTAATTAAAAGTTGGGAAGATTTTACTTGTTACGTTGGGAGAAAACTTTGTAATATTGTAATTTAATGTTTTATTTTCAGGGAACAAAAGAGGCAGTAAGACAGTTCAAAATTAGAATGTCGTACCAAATGCAGCAAGCATCCAGACCAAGTAAGTGGAAATAGGCTATTCTTTGGAACAGAGATTTTGACCCCATTTCAGCGAATTTCCCATATAGGGAATAAGCTATTACCGTAGGTCTCATGGTAAGACCTAGACCCAGGACCAATTTACTTCTTCATCTTGAGGTCCCCAGAGGCCACAAACACCCTCCATTCAAATTCATATAGATGTGGAGGAGCTTATTACCCCACCGCAGGGGTAGGTAATACCAAATCGATGGCTAAAAGCTCAATCATGTCCATTTTTGTAAAATATTTCTTATAATTATTTCTAAAAATAGTTGAATTTTATTAAAAACTACTTCATAATCATACTTACCTTCAATTAAATTCATAACTTACCTTCAACAGTTTTTCATTGCAAGCAATGAGGAGCTCTAGGAACTAGCAACATCGTTTGGATGTTGCTTGTATTCCAATAACAAATCACAATTGGCACTAAGGCGATGAAAATGGAGGGAGAATAAGATGTTCATTGGAGGGAATCTTAATATATCACCAGCTGATCATAAATATTGACAAAAATAAATTATCATGAAATTAGGTACGGTACAAACGTGTAAACCTACGTTTATTTGAACGAGTTCGCGAACCAGCATGATCGTACTGTGGGAACGGGGGTTTATGAGGTAAAAATTGTTTTTTCCCATTTTCGACTCTAAAATCCTAAAATTTTACAATTTCTTTCCATACTATTTTGTAGAGCTTAAACAAACCAATAATTTAGTATATTAGCGTTATCATGCGCCTAATTGTTACGTAGAAAATTTAAAAAAAAATGTAAATTAAAAATTTCTTTGTTATTCTTAATAAGGAATAAGTACCTAAACCGTTGTAATTTGCTTGTTTATGAACATATTTTGATCAATTTGGAAAATGTATTTATTTCATACTAGGCCTAAACTATTAGGCCTAACATAAAAAAAAAATTTTAGACCAATTTGTAGAGCTTAAAAAAATAAATTGTATAGCCTATTGAAGCGTTGTTGTATGCCTAACGGTTACGGAGGTATCTAATAAAAAAAACTTTAAATTTAAAATTCCCATGTTATTCTTATGGAGGATTAATAAACTGTTGTAGTTTGCTTGTTTATGGGCATATTTGAATCAAATTTGGCAATTTTGTTTATTTCAAATAAGCTATCAACATTTAAATCAAAAACACACCTCAAAACCTTCCCTGTAGCAACAAACCTAGGTACCGTACTTATTAAAATAATGTTATTTAAATAAATAGGAAATAAATCTGAAAATTTTCAAGAAATATTTTAGTATAAATCCAGCCAGGTTAATGGAAATTCGTTTAGTCTGAAGGTTTGCCGCGGCAGGGGTATTTACTTATGAATTTCTGTCTTCTTGCCTGGCATGAAGTTCATCTTCTATATTATTACGTTATGGTTTTGTTTACACAGCAAAGTAATTATCATGCAGTAGAATTTACGTAATTCAAACGCCGAAGGTCCTCCAGTTAAAAGTTAGTTTCACAAATTAAAAAATTAGATGAGCTTCGTAATAAATTACTTGTAATGAGAAAGCCACCTTTTTGTTTGGATGGATTGTACCATTGACTATAGGATACTAAAATAGATATATCCCATATATATGTACCTCAGCTGTCGCTAATTTTTTGGTAAAAAACAAGTATGTTGAGCCAGTCTCAGAGTGTGCTACAGTGTCTAAAATTATATTTTCTACCTTATTTTCTGTTGCTGACATAGTTGATGGGTCATAACAGTTTCAATAGGCTAGCTCACATTGTTCTCAATAAGTAGTTCGATTAGTTTGACTTGGTAAAAACATTGTGTGTGCAATAGAAATTAGTAATTGAGATCAGCTCAATCTGTCGGTGGCTTGCATCAACTACGACGGTTTTGATTGAAAAACTGGCGACAACTTAAACATGGGAATGGATTTTGTCTAGTTGTATCAAAATAGTATATATTTTCAGGAAGAGTCAAAGATTTTGTGGTTGGTCTGACATCATTGATTTTACTAGCGTAAAGAATGTTTAATAAGCGAAATAATAAAAGCCAGAGTACCCTGATATTATTTTTTTATTAAACTTAAGCTATATGTATTTCGGCACTAAGGCCATGATCACAGTATTAGATATAAAAGTTATAAAAATGTTCATAATAAAAAAAAAATGTGTAAAGCCTATATGTTTTTATTGATAACTCTCATGAGCTGTAATGCAATCTATCCAACAGTATGGGTCAAGAATAAAGACAAGTGGCGACATATGTGTTGATTCTTGATTGTCCTATATTGTGTTGTTTGAAGTGAACTACCAAGGAGGTGGTGGAGGAGGCGACATGACCAAGACACTCATGTGGCAGCAGAACTCCTACCTGGGTGACTCTGGGATACATTCCGGAGCCACGACCACGGCTCCGTCTCTCTCCGGGAAGGAGGAGGAAATGGAGGGAGACCCGCTCATATTCGACCTGGACACGGGCTTCCAGCAGGGCTTCACACAGGATCAAGTTGACGGTTGGTTAAACACATGAATTTGTTACAAGTTAGCTCTAATCGGATTAACTGATAGTAAAGGTGCTTCCTTTGTAAATCAGAGAAATTTAGAGTATTAAACGATGCAATATTTTAATGGTTGGTTCCATTTAGCAATCACCAGTTGTTTTCAGGTATTCTGAAACGATTTTTCTATTCAGAAAATCTAATCTATCATTTTCGTTTTTAGATACGTTTGAACACACATTTTAAGCTAAAGGTCGATTCACATTCACACATTTCAGTCCAGTCACAGTTCCCTTACAGTTCAGTCTCAGTTGTATCCATATTTTCTCAGTCAAACTGTCAGTCATTTGGTTTCAGTCAGTCTTCGGTCACTTTATTTACAGTGATGTTACATTCAAAAATTTGTAATTAAAACACAATATTCAATCGAATTTTCATAGTCCATTTTGTTGATTGTTACAAACAGTACTTAAAATACTAACACAACCATTTAAATGAAAAAAACACACTATTTTCTAAACTCAAACGCGTCAGTCAGGCGTCCGAACAATACATACCGGTGAGAAGAAATCTGAAATTGACTGACGGATGCCGGCAGAGCGACTAACTGACCTGCACCGAATGAGTATAGACAACGCAATAGAAAATCCATTAAAGAATATTTAGGTTGACTGTGATTTGCCAGTCAACCTCATAAAAAAAATTCTTGTGATGAAGACAAACGTCGCCAAATGTTCGGTTGTACCATGAAAGTTGCACAACTTACGTTTCACACATTTAAGATATCACTGAAAATAACTCTGTGAGGCATACCTATTTAAAAACCCCCAAAACATCTGGTTTTTGTAATGCAGATACTGTAAACACTGATAAGGGGCTATAAAACTCATTCATTTACCTAAAATTTCAGAGATGAACCAGCAGCTGTCACATACAAGGTCACAGCGTGTGAGGGCCGCCATGTTCCCGGAAACATTGGAAGAAGGGATTGAGATTCCATCAACACAGTTTGACCAGACTCAGCCCACTGCTGTGCAACGTCTGTCCGAGCCAAGTCAGATGTTGAAGCATGCCGTTCAACATCTGATCAACTATCAGGTAGGTTTCAGATTGGATTTCAACTGTCAAAATCCATTCTTTTACTTTTATTGTTGTCTTCAGTTTAGGAAATGTAAATTTTTAATTGACTTTTGATTTCTCTGAAAGTGGCTTCTTTTTTTAAGGGATCGGTGGTTCAATCCCTAATGTTTTGACTAATCTTCCAAGGGTTTTAAAACTTTACTCCTAAATGTGCAAGTTAGTTGATGTAATCTTTCCACTATATGTCTTTCATGATTACATTCCTTGTGATATTTACTGTTCTTATGATTGGAATATGTTCAAATCTTATAGTTGATCGAATTTCAAATTGTTGCAACAAAAGTGAAATAGAATTGACTTGAGTGGGTAGTTTAACTAGTTCAGGCCTACCTGAGAAAATTCACACCCAGGGGCTAATTCTCAATACACGTTCACAAAATACTTTACGCCACACTACACTATTTTGACGAACTTCCCACGCAAGGATTTAGTCCAGAAAACAGCTGTTTGCCGCCAGCTTAATCAAATGCATTGCGTACTACTGTACTGCAATGAGTTTTACCGGACACCAATCAGCTGATTATACTGTATTTAGGTGGCAATGAGTAGTTATAAACAAAAACATAACCTCTCTTAGAGGTTATGACTAGTGATTTTTAGTCCTTTAGTTGGTGGTAATATATAAGGATCTGTACAGATTTAGTAGTATGGCGTAAACTATCGTACGTCACTCGTCCAAAATGTGTTTACTGAACTCGTATGGTAATCCCGTAAACGACCACACTCGTCCGGCAAACACTTATTTTCAGGACTAGTAACGTAATATACTATTTCAATCTACTCTTGGAAGAAGCTCTTCATTAGGACGAAATATTGGTGGTTTTTGAGCTTTTATTGTGCAGTTAGCCCTTGAGTTCTAATTTTCTTTAATGAATTAGCTTACCTTAATCCATATTTATTATTTAAAATTTTTAATTTGTCTCTTGGCGTAACATTGTAATATAATGAATGTGAATTGTTGTAAAAGAAGCTTAATCTAGAAGTAAGAAATCACTATTCATTCACTAATGGGGGCCGAACCGTTGCTGACTTTGACCTAATGTTTCAGGACGATGCTGATCTAGCGACCAGAGCCATTCCTGAGCTGATCAAACTGCTGAATGACGAGGACCAGGTCGTAGTCAGTCAGGCGGCCATGATGGTGCATCAACTGAGCAAGAAGGAGGCGTCACGTCACGCCATCATGAACAGTCCTCAGGTGATTGTAACAATGCGTCTGGCAAAGATTGTTTTATCTGGGAGAATGGTGATTGTAAAGTTTAAGTACATGGGGAGTGCATTAATTTTACTTCCATGGCCAGGAGCACCCTAGTTGACACTTGGGCTTGTTAACAAACTGTGTCCATTGACTTATCTCTTACCTGATATTATTTTGCTCTCAGTTTGACAATATGCATACCGGTACTGGCTGGGTCCTTTCAATGGAATCTTGGCCTTCCACTGATGTGTCGGTACCTTTCAAAGCTGAGACTGGCACCAGCATCGATTATTGATTCTCATTACCGACATCATCAGTAGGCCTACCCAAATAAAAATCTCATTTTCAAAGTATCTTTTATTGACTATTAAAATGGTATACCGTTCAAGCCGTTCAAGAAGTGATCCTGGACCAAATAACATCAATATGACTTTTATTGACATTTTTATTAACAGTAAATTTACATTTTCATGTTATGAATATGATGGTTGCTTACAAATAGCCATTTAACTTTGTGATTACGATTGCAATTTAACAGTGTAGGGAGTAATTAATTTCAAAAGTATTGATGAGAAATCTTCTTCAAGTACTAAGGTTCAGTCTTAATAGTCAGGCAATTTTGCACAATCCCTTTAGGTAATTTCATCAAGTAAAATTAAGAATATTACCTAAATGCGTACTGTGACGAGACAGATGGTGGCGGCCCTGGTGAGAGCTATATCCAACAGCAATGACCTGGAGACCACCAAGGGAGCTGTGGGTACCCTACACAACCTCTCCCATCACCGCCAGGGACTACTGGCCATCTTCAAGAGTGGAGGCATCCCTGCACTGGTCAAACTGCTCAGGTAAACAACAAATATTCTATGTCAAATCTAAGCTTTATTCATCATTAAATAACATGCAATATGTTTCGTAAAATTATAATAATCACCATAAAAATAACTCAAATAACATGACTCCCTACAGCAAGAATACCATTAAACATTCTTTTCATAGGTTTCCAGACATTAAATAACTGATGTATATTTTTAAACAAGCAGGTATATAAATAATTTAAAAAGATTATTCATAATGGCTCGGGGAAAAAGACTAACCTAATGTCAATAAATATAATTTGATTGCATTTACTTCAAGTGTAAAAGGGTATGGCTAATCCAAACAGGGTCTGGTCCCAATTAGTTCAGATCAATGGGACACAAGTGTACAGAGTTTTTTTCCAAATAACCCATTAAGTAAAAATAAAGTGATACACAAAAATAATGAATCCAAAACTAGTAATCTAAATCCATGTAATACCTACAAGCTTTAAATCTAATTATTTACAACTCTGTTTTGTAAACATTCATTACAATGTGATGGCTGGTAGGGAATATCTTAATAATGCATAATTACTCCACACAAATCTAGTGAAATAGTTACATCTTAACAGTTCATTAATCGTTTTCTACTCACCCCCCAGCTCTCCAGTGGAGTCGGTGCTGTTCTATGCCATCACTACCCTTCACAACTTGCTGTTGCATCAAGAAGGTTCCAAGATGGCCGTCCGACTGGCCGGAGGTCTGCAGAAGATGGTCGCTTTGTTGCAACGCAACAATGTCAAGTTCCTGGCGATCGTAACAGACTGTCTACAGATACTGGCTTACGGCAACCAAGAGAGCAAGCTGATCATCCTAGCGTCCCAGGGCCCTGTGGAGCTTGTACGGATAATGCGATCTTATGATTACGAGAAGCTGTTGTGGACCACCTCACGAGTGCTGAAAGGTAGGGAACCGAATGTTGAGTGTCCAAGGTTGTGGTTCCTCTTATTAGATGGAATATCTGATTTCTTTTGATTGCACTATACTCTGGTACACACCTTAGAGCTGGGAATTTCGTAATAGAGTCATTAGAATTTTTGCATTTTTATTTTAAGTGTTCTAGGTATTGCAATTTCTTATACATATTTTGGCTAGGCTATAAATATTATATTTTATTTTCTCAAAATGAGTTTGGTTTTCCCTACCTATTTTATTTCTTTTCTGCAGGGTCTAATTTCTGTGTGCAGACCTAGAAATTTAAACAGATTCTGTTGATTTGCAGTGCTGTCAGTGTGCTCGAGCAACAAGCCAGCTATTGTAGAGGCCGGAGGTATGCAGGCTCTTGCCATGCATCTTGGTCACCCGACCAGCCAGAGACTAGTACAGAACTGTTTGTGGACTCTGCGTAACCTGTCTGACGCTGGCACCAAGGTAAACGTGGTTGATGTTCTACAGAAATAACATTTTGGGTAGATAGATTATGTATATATTTTATACAAAGTCAAAATAAATCCTTTATGTTGACAACACCATTGAGCTTTAGGTCGATCCCTTTACAACTGCAAACCTTTTGCACAGATCTTTCCATCAATTTGTTGTTCACGCTAAATGTTTAGACATGGTTTACACTTGTTAAATCAAGCAAGACTTTGTCATCAAGTCAAACCAATCTAAAAATCTTATATTTTGAATTCTATGATTTTTATTTCTATTTAGCATTCAACTTATTACTAAATTTGGATATAGTAATTTTACGACAATTGTATTCAATTTGCTTAAAACGGGTTTGTTTCTTTCCTGATGCGTTTTGGTCCTTTCTACAAACTCTTATCTTTTTTTACAGATTTTTACAAATTTAAACTGATAGTTTTACAAATCAGCTGATAAATTTCTGTATATATGTTTCCAGTTCCTGGTCAAATAGTTTTCCTAATCCCCTGGTATTCCAACTATCCAGTTTCCACTGTATCAATGTCTTATCATGTCTATCACAGGTGGATGGTATGGAGAACCTGCTGCAGTCACTGGTCAATCTTCTGTCTCTGGAAGATCTCAACATAGTGACATGTGCGGCTGGCATACTGTCCAACCTGACTTGCAACAACCAACGCAACAAAGTGACCGTGTGTCAGGTAGGAGGGGTGGACGCTCTGGTGCGGACCATTGTCAACGCTGGCGACCGCGAAGAGATCTCCGAACCTGCTGTAAGACCATCTTTCCACTTACTACAGTAGCACTCATTCATTACGCACAGTAATATTACCATAGTACTTATTTTTAAAGTTTCATCCAGACATTAAACATACTCTGTAGATTTATAATCTCACAGATCAACTGAGGAAAGTTAAAAGGTTAGTTCTGTCCGGTACATATAGATAGTGTATTTTTACTTTTTTCTTGCTATTTAACCAACTTTGTTAAACAACTAATGACTAGGTAGTTTAGGGGATATTTTACTCCCTGTATCTTTAGTAATTTTCCGTCAGTCAGCTGTGAATCTCATTGACCTTAACAAAAAAGTCCAATCGTGTTTCTCCTTAAAATTTTGCAAAGTAGTGAACATTTGTTGTATGCGGCAGGTGTGTGCTCTGCGTCACCTGACATGTCGCCACATTGAGAGTGAGATGGCGCAGAACAGCGTCAGACTCAACTACGGCATACAGGTGATAGTGAAGTTGCTGCAGCCTCCGTCGCGCTGGCCACTCATCAAGGCTGTGATCGGATTGATCCGCAACTTGGCTCTGAGTCAAGCCAATCACACTCCATTGAGGGACACTGGCGCTATACACCATCTGGTCAGACTACTGATGAGAGCCTTCCAGGACACTCAGAGGGTAAGTTTAGTCAGTACGAAGGGTAACGTAACCTTCTTACAACTATATTTGGAGTATAATTGATAAAAACGGCAAGATGTACGTGACATGTACTGCAGCCTTTGAGTCACAATATCAGATGACAATGTGGCAAAAGAAGAGGCGGTGCCCTTTTCTCCAATGTTAAACTGTTATAATAGTGTCTGTAAGGTGGCATTTATCAGCAACCAAATCAATCTGGAACATTAGAAAGGTTGTGAGTAATAGGTGTGATCAAAGCAACATTGTGTTTTATTTTTACTTAAATAATTATTTTTTTTAACAGAATGCCTTTCATGAATAGTTGCTCGGCGTGAAAGAATGCAGTGATTATTAAAAATTTAATTGTTTAAGACTATTTGTTGACTGAATTCTTGTACAATTCTTGTATCTTTTCTTCCCAATCATGAAAATGCATGTACTCAGTGCCGGATTTACCACTAGGCCGACTAGGCTGCGGCCTAGGGCCGCAAGCAAAAGGGGGCCGCAGCGGGAGCGGTAAAAAAAAAAAAAATTATAAGTGCCACAATGTCACACAGAGCGCAAAAGGAGCGGTTAAAATTTTTTTTATAAAATTATTTTTTTCTTAAGCGCTACGAAGTCACACAGAGCAACGACGTAGTGATGTATATGTGTATGGTCAATGGTACTACTGTACGTAGTTTGTAGTTGTCGCCGTTGGCGTCAGTCAGTGTGACTGCGACGTTGGCCCGTCGGATGTAGAGAGATAGTCACTTCCTTTCCCACGAAAACGAGGAATTCGCGAAAACGGAAGCGGCCCCTCCATATCCATATTCACTGTTTTTATTACTCAGTTTGTCTTATACTTTGCTAGTGACAAGTGCAGTTTTTCTTGCTGGTAATTTATTATTGTGTTTTATACGATTTCTGAATGATGGATAGTTTAGTTTAAATATGTTGTAAACAATTATTGTGAATTGTAATTGTGGATTCGGTGAACTATTTCACAGTGAGCTATGGACTAACAGGTAACATCTTTTGCTCTTATAATGAATGACAACAATAAAAACATTCATACGGCTAGTGGAGCCTATAAACGCAAATTGAAAAAACTTAAAGAAGAACAAAGTTTAAAACTGTTAAACCTAATTCTAAAATAGAAAGTTTTTTTAAAAGTACGCCAGGGAATAGCAGTCAGAATAATCCAAATGAAATATATGTTACTGATGTTCAAATTCCCAATACTTCTGCTGCCAAAGAAGACACCACAACCGTTTTGACAGTATCAAGCGATCAAAATGAATCTATAAATCCAGCTTCCAGTCCTGAATCGGCCCTGCCTCTAACTCAAACCACCTTAAATATTCTAGATCCTAGTTCATGGGGCAGTTTGTCTGATGATACAACAGACTTTGTTATAAGAAATCTCCCCAAACACTTAGTAGAGATTAAAGATTGTGATTTTTCTAAATCCAAACGTCAATATCCTGACAAAGTGAGGACATTAAAACAACACATGTTTTTTTGTCGTTTGCCAAACGGCGAAATTAAGAAAAGAGAGTGGCTTATGTACTCCAATACTACCGGCTGCCTGTATTGTGTCCCTTGCAAATTATTCCACTCTAATATTGAAAGTTCTTTTTGCAAGGGATTCAATGACTGGAAGAATTCTAATCGACTTAAAGAACACGAGAAAAGTGCGGAACATAGGTTGAATACAAAAACTTTTGTCTTACGAGGCAATGTTTTAGGAAAAATTGATTCGGCACTACATAAAGTCTACCTTAAGGAAGTCGAGTATTGGCATCGAGTACTACAACGAGTAGTAGATGTTACCAAGTTTCTCGGCACCCGTGGCCTAGCTTTTCGTGGGAGCAAAGAAATATTTGGTTTTCTAGGAAACGGCAATTTTATGGGAGCATTAGAGCTGGTCGCAGAGTATGATGATTTTTAAAAAACCCACATTGAAAACAAAGGAAATCCAGGATCTGGCAATGTAAGCTATCTTTCTAAAACTATCTGTAACCAATTCATTGATTTTCATTGATTTTGATGTACAAAAGGGTAGTTTCTGTTATTGTAGATGAGTTGAAGAAAAGTAAATACTATTCGCTCAGTGTTGATTCCACACCAGACATCACTCATTTAGACCAGTTGACAGTGATCCTACGTTATGTTTTAAGTGATGGATTGCCCGTGGAAAGATTTGTTGCTTTCATTAAACTCCAAGGTCATACTGGAGCACACATGGCGGAAGTTATTTTAAATACCCTGTCAGAGTTGGATGTTCCAATATGCGATATGAGAGGCCAGTCATATGATAATGCCTCGAATATGTCAGGCAAATACAAAGGTTTGCAAGCTCTAATAAAAGAACGTAACAATTTAGCTGAGTACGTTCCATGCTCCGCTCATTCATTAAATCTAGTAGGCACACATGCGGCTGATTGTTGTTTGGCAGTTACAAAACTATTCATGTTCATTCAAGAATTTTACGTTTTCATGAGTGCATCTACTTCAAGATGGGCAGTATTAGAAACAATTGTCAAAAATAGCAGTAGCGATAAGAAACTCCTTCCAAAAAGGGTTAACGTGACAAGATGGGCTGCCAAATGGCATGCTGTGAAAGCCCTTTTGCTCAACTATTGGAGCTACTACGATGCTATAAAACAACTATCTGATGATACGGGGGAAACAAATGTGAGCCGAGCTGAAGCTAAAGGAATCAGCAAACAATTTCTGAAGCTTGAGAATGCTATTTTATTAAACATGTGGTACGATATTTTAGAACGTTTTGACAAGAGTAGCAAAACATTGCAAAACCCTGCTACAGACTTGAATTTGACCTGTAACATATATAAATCTCTAAAAGAGTTCTAAAAGAGTACGTATTGAGCCTGAGAGACAACTTTGAATCATTCGAAAAAAGAGGAAAAGAGTTGTCTAAAAATGATGTCTACATTCTTGACGATGTTGAAATAAAAAGACGCCCTAAAAGGAAAGCTCTCTCTATTGACGATAAAGAAGAGATGGGCCCCACCTAAATTTTGATGGCAAGGCAGACTTAAAGATCAACACATTCAATGTTGTAATTGACAGGCTGTATTCAGAACTGAATAAAAGATCCGAAGTTTATTTCAATCTCAATGAAGAATTCGGATTTTTAAACAACTTATCGTCAATTTCGAATGAGGACATCAGGGGAAAAGCTTCAATTTTGGCCAAAAAGTATCACACTGATATAGATGATGACTTTGCAGAAGAATGTGTGCAGTTTAAAAATTTTGTTGGAGGTATGTTTGATGACGGAAGAGAACCCCATGATAACAAGACTAACAAGCATTCGAGAAATCCACTTTTGGATTATCTGCAACTCATTCGTGAAAAACAGTTGACAACACTTTTTCCAAATCTGGACACAGCTCTGCGCATCATACTATGCATGATGACATCTAATGCATCAGGAGAACGATCATTTAGCGTCTTGAAAAGAATCAAGAACTTCTTGAGGAACTCAATTTCTGACGACGAATCTAGATTGTCTAGTTTAGCTAGTTCTGTTGCAAATGCTGAACTTTTTAAATCCTTAGACTTTAAAGATTTGATTAAAGATTTTTCATCCGAAAAAGCTAGAAAGGTTAGTGTTTAGTATGAGATTTATCATACCATACGTATGGAACTTGACATTTATGTTATGAGAATTTGACATTGAACTAAGTAGAAGTTAGTTTGTTGTGTTATCATTCCTTATCATAATTTACTTTTTACGTGCTGAAGCCTATTACAGTTCAAATTATTTTGATTTTACTCTTAATGTCTGTCCAGTTAAATATTTGTTTGGTCTTTTGGTGTCATCTATACATTTTTTTCCTAAATGAAACAAGCACTATTTCGTTTCAACAATTGTGCTTTAACACTTATATTTAAATATGTGTTTAAATCAAAGATATGTGGCATTACTACTATTAATTTATGTTACGCGTTTTACGTTTTAAGATAAAAAAAAAACTGTATGTATTAAAATTTATTATTATTGTATTATTTATTGTAAAAAATATGCTTTGTGCTTCAATTCCATAATCATTAGGTTAAAGAAAACAACGTACAGTAATTGCTAGACAATAGACAATAGACAATAGACAAAATCTTTATTGAAATATTCCTAGAGAACATTCATGCGTCAGGTACATAAAATGTACAGTATGTACGTAAACTATTACAGTAATTTGCAATTACAATTAGAATTTTTTTCTTATTTTTCTTTTTTTTTTCATGGTAGCTTATTGTTTAAGAATTCATCCTCAGAGTAGAACGGCCGGTCCAAAAGCCATGTTGTCAGGTGCTTCTTGAGCAGATTGGGTTGTTCTCTCTTGAGGTGCTCTGGTAGGTTGTTAAAGTACAGAGCACCTTTGTAGGATGGTTTCTTCTCGTACAGACTCAGATGGTGTTGTGGGAGGGAAAAATTGGCGGCATGTCGTGTGTTGTGCTGGTGTATGTCTCTGTGTCTTGGCTGGGCTGTTTTAGTGGTGTGGATAATGACTTCTCTTATGTAGAGCGCCAATCAATGTTTACAAATTTTTTATTTTTATCTTCAAGGAATTCATACTACTACATTATTTAAGAGATTTTAATAAAAAATAATAGGATTTTACAATTCAATTTGAGTTTTTATTTTAATTGCTATTCTTTGTAATGTAAATTTAAATAATTAAAAATACGTTATGTATTTTTGTGAAAAAAAGTTTTAATTCTATAATTGCTAGGTTAAAGAATACAATGTAATTGCTAGCATTCATCTATGTTGTCTAATTCGTATGTTTATGTATGTATATGTTTACGACATCATATCCGTACTACTAAGAGATTTATATAAATAAAGAGATTGTACAGTTCATTTTCAATTTTAATTTTAATCGTTATGTTTATACGATTTGATAGTAAAAAAATGTTTTGTTATATACTATTGTGAAGAATATGCTTTGTGCTTTTAGTTCCATAATTATTGTTATATTAAGGAAGGTTAAAGAATACAATTTTATTTTCCAATAGGAATTTTATGTTTATCTTTTGATGCTACTCACTTGTTAATGAGATTGAAATAAATAAGAGATTGCACAATTCATTTTGAATTTTTGACTCGTCATTGCCGACCGGTCCTTCACGATACTTTTATTAGTGTTGCTTCCGTGTAAGCCTCAGTTCACTTAAAATAAATTAAATTTTAATTTGACATAGCACTTATTTACCAGCTTATACTAAAATTATTGTTTAATCCTATTTGAAATGGCCGAAACGGGCAATTTTTAAATGCTATAAACATAAACTATTAACACTATAACACTTAGTGTTTTCTTAATTTTTATAAATCGTAAAAATGCGTTTATTATTGGAGAATAGGCAACAGTAATGTTTATTAAATATTATTTTTAAATAGGTGAGTGTGTGTTTTAGGGCGTTCATGAAAAAGTGACACTGAAGTATAGTTGGATAGTAGAAGTAGAAGAGGTTCGCGAGTGAACAGCAAATAATAATTAGCCTCTCACTAGGTTGGTAAGACCAAGAACTATAGTAGGCCTATGTGGGATGTTCCACCTATGAAGGGGGGCCTCATGAGGTTTTTGGCCTAGGGCCGCTAGTAACCTAAATCCGGCACTGCATGTACTATCTCAGGCTACCCAGTTGGCTAGACACCATGGCTAACAATATTAAGACTAAATCAATGCCTAGACTCTGAAACAACAGGAGAGAAGAAAATAAATGTTTAAAGACACCTGACTAGTTTTGACCTATAATGGACATAAAGGTTGTGACAGCTCTGTTGATGTGTTTCAGAGAGCAAGTGTAGCGTCCAGTGGTAGCCAGCCTGCTGCTTATGCGGAGGGTGTGCGGATGGAGGAGATTGTCGAAGGTAAACATTGTAATTTTTATTTTGTAATGTTTAATTTTTTAAATCAGCCCGAGTTCACATACTATTGTGATTTTACTGTTTGTTTAGAAATTAACAACACATTGGTAAATTCTGTATGAGATAACATATTTGTAGCAACATAAATTCAAAAGTTCAGATAGTTAATGCACTATTCAGTCTATAAATTTACATGGGAGAAGTAGGTAGGCCTACACCAAATTATTAAAAATGATTTTTGTCACCAGGTACTGTTGGAGCGTTGCACATCCTCGCGCGTGAACCAAACAACCGAGCGATGATTCGACAGCAGAATGTGATCCCGATCTTTGTGCAACTGTTGTTCCACGAGATAGAGAACATCCAACGAGTGGCGGCCGGAGTGTTGTGTGAGCTGGCCACTGACAAGGAGGGTGCAGAGATGATAGAACACGAGGGAGCCACGGCACCTCTCACAGAACTGTTGCACTCAAGGAACGAAGGAGTTGGTATGTTCTAGCCTGTAGATGTTTGAGCTATTATTAGACACATTTTTAACTTTGGCTCAAACTAAATTACTAGGCTATCTGTTTCATCTAATTATGGATAATTTTTTATAGTTTAAGGATGTTGCATGAAAGCAAGTATAGTATTGTTCAAAATATAGCCTTTGTTGTATCGTGTTGTAATTGGTATTATATTGAGTTTGAATAGTTTTGTAGAGCAACTTTAGAGAAAATTCTGTGATTTAACAGGGCATTGATAACTCACAGATTTTTATCCAAGAGAACAAGTAGACTGTTAAAGAGATCAATTATTGCCAAATCTAACTAAAGAAGTACTTTTATTAAACAGTGTGTTGATTCATTGACGTTTACAGCCACTTATGCGGCCGCAGTGCTGTTCCGCATGTCGGAGGACAAGCCGCAGGACTACAAGAAGCGATTGTCCATGGAGCTGACTAACTCCCTGTTCAAAGAAGACCAGAACCTGTGGGCCAATGGGGAGCTGGGCATGCTTCCAGACTTGCCGGTAAGTTTAAGTTTCTCTCTTGTGTGATACTCCTTGAAGTTGGATATAAAATAACTTGATGAAGACAGCAACACACTGAATGTGCATATCTACCTAAATATGAATGCAAGGATTGGAATGGAGTAGATGACTTGTATATGAATTCCTTAATACCAAGATCACATGTTTCTGTTGGTGGGACTATAATATTACACGACCAATTAATCAGCTGGGTCCAGTTTACAAAATATCCAGAGTCAATATTTTGATGTAGTAGGGGAATATTATTTTGTTGACAAGGGATATAGTTCAGCTGGCCAACAAGAAAAAAAGTGAAGCTAAGTCCAGGTGGTAGTAAATACACATTAAAAGGTCAAAAACAAAACACTGGCCTAAACCAAGGCCACACTAAAAAAACAGGCCGTAATGCTTTTCTAGCATGACGTCACAATAGAAGATGGCAATGACGTAATGTTTACCGTTTGTGATCAGCTGCTTGTTTTAATCTTTTCATGGAAAACAAAAATATAACCTTAATTACGTCATTGCCGTCTTCTATCGTGACGTCATAATTGACGGAGCATTACAGCCTGTTTTTTTAGTGTGGCCTTGCCTAAACTAAATGGTACACCCATAAAAACACCTGTAAAATTAATGGATAAACAGTTATTACAACTTTTCTGATTTTCCCCATAAAATATCATAATTACTCCCACCGTTTGGCCATGATAAGGGTTATGTCATTGTATGAGTCAGATAGCTGATACCGTTTAGTTTACATTAGATGAGATATAAGTGTTTGTACAAGTTACAAGTAAACATTGTTGCCAGGACATGCTGGAGCCAGACCAGATGTTAGAAGGGATGTACTCCCAGGGGCCACCCAGTGTACATAGCAGTCATGGTGGCCGACCCTACTCCCAAACTGGTGAGCGCATTTCTACATTTACTATGATTAAAAATTAAACAAACAGCTGTTTGTTCGAAGATGTGCTGCATTATGTGGGAATAGCAAGTAATTTACAAATCCAATAACATCAAGAAATGGATTCATGTTGAAAATGCATTTTTTCATTATAGTAGGCCCAAGAACTCAACAATTTGATGGTGAATGATCAACGATGTAACATAGAGCACAAGCAATGGAGGGCATGACCCCCTCCGAGAGCTGAAGAAAAGTAATACATTTATTATAAGTTAAAACGTTGTGATCTTGTAAAAGAAATTCAGTTTCCCAATTTTTTTGTTTTTTTATATTCTTTTCTATATTTTAAAAATAGTTGTTTAGCCTCCGGATTACTGTATTATACTTAAAATGGTTTAAAATACCTGCATATAGTAATCCTTTGTTGCTGATTTAGGCAACTAGTTTCGGTTCTTGTTTAGAACCATCTTCAGGCCTCAAGGTGTCAAGTGATCACTTCATTCGAAGGTCGTTAACAGAGTTCAATAAATAAAACATATACAAAACACATATGTTTCTTTCTATGTTCTTTTCTATGTGCAACCATAAAAGGATAATGCTGACTTGTGATAAGGTTTGATTAGAAAGGGCGTATTGCCTGAGAATCAAGGAGACAAAGGACAGGATAAGCAGGCTTTCCTTAAAAGTTGTAGTTATCACACTTCACTTGAAGTAAAGTAAAGTGCCTACAATTTTTAAGGTTCTAATTAAGGATAAGTTAGGATTTAAAACAAATCACAGTTTTGTTAAAGATTAAAGATTTGATTAGATTAAAGATCAAGGAATGTAATATCTTTGAACCGTATTTTTTTATAGACTTGCACTTTTAGTTTCTCTGATACATTTCTTCAACGATCATCTCTTACATGAAGTATCCTCCTCAATAGTTTTGTGTCTTCCTAAAATCACTCTCTTTTGGAAGATGGTATAAATAAGATAGTACTTGCAAACATTTTTACCCCAATCTCTATACTGGTATTATTATGGCTGGTTTCTGAAGAGGTAACTGGATTATTTAAGCATCTAAAAACATTAACATGCTGAAATCAATAAAGTACTAATGGTACTAATGGTAGTGGTAATAGTACTAATGGTAGTTAAGTTGTAAACGAATAATGTAACTTACCTATTAGGCCACTCAAACCTCTGAAGGTTTTTGGCCTCGCCAACAATGCCTCACCATCTCTCTCTGTCTTGCATCCATTGAGCCTCTGCCCCCAATCTTCTCAAGCCCTTTTCCACTTGGTCCTTCCAGCGAAGTCGTGGTCGTCCCAAGGGCCGCCTTCCTCTTGGTAGTCCTTCATTTATCGCTTTAATTGTTAACGACAATTAAATAATTAATGACATCATTTGTTAATTAATTAACAAATAATGTAACAGCTCATTAAAACCAATATTAGAGTAAACCTAGTTAAAATGGTTGAATAGTATTTGTAACTGCTGTTCATAAAACCTATTGTATTTAGTAGGAATTTTGCAACATTGCTCCAGTTTTATCGGACTGTTTTCATGTGGTTTACTCTAATTAAGGACATGAATGGATTTTCTAATAGTAATAAACTTTATTATGCCTAATACAGTACTTGTAGTGCACAACATTTTATCTTACTTAAGTAATAATTTATAAGCTCTTAAATATTTTGCTTTACTAGTGAGAGCTTTCCATTCTTCCTGTTATGAAAATGAATCAAAATTGTCTCTAGATTCCTTTATTTCTTTTTCTGCACCTATGTTATACTGAATTCATTTAACTTTTAAAAGTTCTTAGCTTATTCATAAATAGTATTATCATTCCTATTACAGTAGAACCCCGGTTAAGTGAAACAAGGGGGGAGAGCTGTTTCGGATAACCAATTTTTCGGTTAACCCATCCGTCATATGCTAAAAATAGCCAATGTATTCCCATGGTGTGTAGAAAAAATTAACTTAATTTAAGACAATGTCTATATAATCCAGTGTTTTATTTCAGCTAAAACAATGTTAAAATGGGTTAGAATAAACTAAACAACTGAAGTTTACTAAAGCATTTTACAGCCCTGTATTGTTTTATGGAACAATTTTGGTTAACCCGGGTTTCGGTTAACAAGAATTCGGTTAACAGGGGTTCTACTGTACTGTCTATCATTTTTCTTTCTTATAATAGGTTATTCAATATTTTAATAGGTATAAACATCCACTAAATTGCATGTCAATATTCAAATGATAAATTACTTCTTAGGGTCAATATATTTGTATCATTCTTGTAGATTAAATAGAAAAAATATATTCTTTAGCAGGTTATGTGATAGAGCTGTTTTCTATATTAATCTGATTGTTTTCCTAAGGCGGGTACTGAAATGCATCAAACCAAGCATATTCCAGGTAACTTTCTAAACACTTGCTTTGCTTTGTCCGCATGATTGTGTTTCTTGGTGTCCATCGTCCTTGGTTTAGGTCATTTCCGCTCTTTAAGCCCTCATTTTTGCACCTCAGAAGTCATTAGTTCACAACATAGTTGTTAGCTCGTCATGTATAGGTCCATTATGGCATTGTTTGTGATTGTTTTTGTGATTCATATGGAATATTTGACTGTGAGCATATGTGTTATAGCCATTGATAGCAAAGACATTTTTTGAAAAGTGTTTTTTGGGTGTGTTGCTAGCTTAGTGGTTAGTTCTCGGACTTCGGTGGGGGAGGGACCGATTCAATTCCCCACATATACACTAAACATCTATTCTCATGTTTGACCGAAATGCCACTGCCGTAGAATAAAAAGTGAGGGACTTTATCCTAATATGCAGCTTCTTTAGAGGGTAGGTTGAAAAGAAAAGCTAAGAGAAAATATTTTCTAAACAAGTCTTGTATTAGGATCTAATTTTTTTTATTGTTGTGTTGTGACTGTTGTGTATCTATTGTGTATCCATCCATGGACTCAAGTTTTCTTGGGTAAACTTGCAGGATTCTGTTGCTTTTTAGCGAATTTCCCTATAGGGAAGTAGCTATTACCGTAGGTGGCATGATAAGACCTAGGTGCGGGACCGATTTACTTTTTCATTTTGATGTCCCCAGAGGCCAAAAACACCATTCGTTCAAATTTTTATATATGTATATATATATATAGATATATATATATAGATTTATATATATATATATATGTGTCCGTGAACACGATAACTTGAGTAATTTTTATCCGATTTTGATGAAATTTGGTTTGAAGGTGTAAGGTGGGATAAACTTGAATGAGTTCGCAAACCAGCATGATCGGACAATGGGAACGGGGTTTTATGGGGTAAAAATTGGTTTTTCTAATTTTTGACCCTACAAACGCAAAATTTCCCAATTTCTCTTCAGACCTTCTTAAAGAGCTTAAAAAAACAAATAATTTAGTATATCAAAGTGTTTTTGTACTATTATTAGTTACGGAGAAAATTCAAATAATTGTTATTTTAAAATTCCCATGTTATTCTTATGGGGAATATTGTAAAATGTTGTAGTCTGCTTGTTTATGGAAATATTTTGATCAAACTTGGTAAATTTATTTATTTTATACTAAGTTATTAATATTTCTCTAAAAAACACACTTTTTTACCCTCCCTGTAGCAGCAAGCCTATGTACTCATAAAAATTAATGTTAATTAAATACATTTAATTGAAAATCAATTCAGGCAACTGGAAATTCGCTTAGTCGGCAGGTTTGCTGCGGCGGGGGTATTTTAAAACGTTCATAACCAGCCACTTAACTGGTTTATAGTAAAGAAAAGTATTGTGGCCATACTGTCAGTCAACATTGCTTCATAAAAAAATTACGTGTACAAATGAAAATCCCTAGAGTAAACAAGACAATACGATTAGTTATCTGAATAAAAGATAGGGCATTTGCGAGGAATTGGAAATTGGCAGGAAAGCAGGCTTACCTTTAAATAAGTCCATAGACACACATAAACAACACAAAAGTAGAGATTTGTGTGGTCAGTTCTGCCAATTGTGATTAGTTAGTTTCACATCAGAATAGCAAGCCCATTTGCCTGGTAATAGGACCTAGTAGCTACAGCCACAAATACCATTGTTGTTTGTGTTTATACTTCTTTGGTGGCAATCTTGAAACTGCTGAGTGATTTTGCAATTTGGTCAAGCAAATTCAAGGAGGCCATCCTGACCATCTATGAATGATATATTAACACATACGGTAACTCTTGTGATGTGTGTGTGTTTCTGGATATAAATGTCATTTGTGAATAACGGGCAAAATGAATAATTTAATTTTCATAGTGCGAACATAATAGACATAAACTAAAACTATGTTGAAAATGCTATCTTAAGAGTTCTGTTTGAGACGTCAACTTTGGTAACGGACGGCACTGGTAAGCTGACTGATTAATACCCTCGGTCACATACTCTGTCCCGAAGTAGACATTCCATTCAGTCAGTTTCAAAATACTAATAGAGATATAGTAAAATTATGAAGTTGAAGCCAATTTGGAATAAAAAAATAACTTGATTCAAATTTAACTGACAGAGTGTGCTGCTATACACGGAATTCTTTCTTGTACGCTCATTCAATTGTTTGTTTAGTGTAACTCGCTGTCTGCAGATGGTTCTTGTTGATAGGATGTTTCCTTTAGTATCCAAAGTCAACAGTTAGTCATGCACAGACCTGTTTAGTTACTAGTCTCAATGTAGTCACTAGTCACTACAATAATAGTTTAGTTTTTGATGTGTTCTTGCAGGTAAGTTTATGGGTAACATTTTAATTTTATATGTACACTTTTTCAATGCTTCAACAAAATCACCTGTAAATTGTCATAAAAGATGATTTTGGTCACAGTAAATAGAATGACCAACAAGGCTGTGGTTATTTTTTTTTAAGAATAAAGTAAATGTAGACTATTGATTTATCAACCCAAATAAACAATATTTCAGTATGATTCTTGAATAAAAAATAATAATGCTTTTTGTGTAATGTTTTTTTATGGGGGTTAGCCTTCTTAACTTCAAAGTTTAATACCAGTCTGTAAAAAGAAGGCCTCTAAATGATTATAGAGATTAGTGTCAATGCGATCCTAAGTTTGACTGAGAGCTTTCTCAGGAAATATACGATGACAAAGGCGACTCTTTGTGCTACTCCAATAACTGTTGTTTTCTGACGTAACCTAAATCTTGTGACCTCTTCTCTAGGGTACGACCCAGTATTGCTTGACTCTATACAACATGGCGACAACAGAAACAACTCAAACTATGGACCAATGGACGTGTCAGCGGCCGACTTGGACTTTGACAACCTAGACGAAGTTCCCCCGCCTCCCCCGGACGGTCAGGTTGCTGCTGCTTGGTACGACACTGACTTGTAACTTACAGGGTATTAAACTTGCCTTAACGTTAACTTTCTATAGATTTAATCTTAATTTAATCATAATGTGTAAGTAACAATCGAATTCCTTAAAAATGCAGGTGTTGTAGATATATCTACCCAATAATCACTAACTACACCCAATAAGACTACAGACTGCAAGGACCGCGGAATTCGCATAGTGACGAGAAAGACCTTAGACTCCTTTTAAATTGCAGCATTGGATTACCGAGTGTCTCCCGATTATTGAGAGTCTCTACTCTATTTTTAATAAATAACTTGGGACCTAGACCCATAATGTTTGCCATGGTGTTAAGACTCTTGTAAGACAAGTACCTGTTTTAAAATTATTTTTGTTCCAGTATTTTTCTACGTGGTAGTGTAGTTTATATGTAATGCTCCTAACTTTTGTCTATGATCATGCCAATTTCGTGATTGGGTTTTAGAGGTCAAAAACTTGAAGCAATAAATCACTCTGTAACGATGGTTCACTTAAAATGTAGTGGACTTTTTATACACATTGAAAAGGTTGACCATTTTTAATGTATACTTAAAACTATATTCCATAAATATATTTTGTTATATTTTGTCTTGTCCAACAATTTTAAGTTTTGAAGTTGATGCACCTTTTACAAATCAGTCCATGTATTAGTATTTTTACGGTTAAGTTGTTAGATTATATTATACTATTCTTTATATTTATTTTATTATTATGTTTTCACTTGAATTATTGTTATAATTACTATTATTTATCATTATGGTGAAGAGAATATTTATACTTCCGCTATTTTTATAGTAAATTCTACAGGGTAGAATGTATTTTATCTATAGTAGAATATTTCTGGTTGTTTAAACATAAAACAAAAGAATATTTTCTAAGCGTAGCAATAAACTTATAGACTGGGTTAGTTTATTTTGTGGTTATTTACCTTTCCTTCCAATAGCTTTTTAAAGCATGGTGATTAAGCCCTGTGATGGTATAGAATATACCTGCAAAGCATAAATTGCAGAAAGCTGTGAAATAGGATTGTAAAATTTCTCATCAGCTTTTCTTTGTTTCCACACGTATGTTTTTGTAAGTGACTGGTCCTAACCTTGGTCTAATTTTTATCATCTAACATCAACCTTCTTATTGAATAGCATCATTGAAATTATTGATTATTATCAATTGCCTAGTGACAAATGGCATCTGGGTCGGGAAATTGGAACTAAACCAGCGACCTTAAGATCTGAAGTGAGCACTATAAACACTCCACCAACCATACATTTTAAAATTAACAGATAAAACTAAACACAAAAAATGTAAATTAAAAAATCAAGTACCATTAAGAGTATTGTAACAATAAATTTTGATTTTATTATTCGACAAGGGAAAATATGATAAACATAGGAATTATTATATTAAAGAATTTTCAAGAAGTCAAAGATTGAAGGTAAGCTGGTTTTGGAAAAGTGAACACCGGTGCTATTTGGTCATCTTCTTGAAATGTTATTGTTTTCAAGGTTATGATGGTCCCGCATTCCATCCATAACAAAAATTTTGCTGCATTTGCGTATAAGACACCACTTAGGAAATCCAAATATGAATTAGCTACAAAATATGTGGGAAGATTGAGATGAAATTTCTATTTTTGTTACTGACCAAGACCATGGCTTTAATTGGACACAACCACACACATATTCAACTACCAACCTTTTGTGGCTGGATACCCAATTCATTATAACACTTAATCTAAATATACGCATAAATAATGAAAATGCCAACAAGGTACATAAATAAATCAATCTACTTACTTAACAGACACAATTTAATTTATACAAACATACTTTTAACTAACATTTATCTTATATTTCAACAAACTTATTCCTCTTTAGGAGCGTTGTAGTGCTTAATATTCAATAGAACCCAGGTGGGGACAGCCAGGATGCCCATGCACATCAAGGTCCCCAAAGCCAGCTTCTCCTGCAAGCAACAAGTATTACGGTGTTGTTAAAGTTGTCTCTGAATTAAATTGAAACTTGACATGCACTACAACCTCTTTCTAAAGATGGGTTTCAGACTTCTTTATTTTCCTGTCCTAACATTTTCTTGTTTGCTTTGTATCCTACGATTAAAAATAAAAATTCAATGCACTTCTAGAGTAAAATGTATTTTTAAAACTGCATTTGGCAAAGGACTATTGACTAGTCACTAAAACTAACCTCCACTGGCAAACGACTTGTCACTAGTCATTTGGGCATCAATTTCTTTAACTGCTAATTTTCAACAGAAAACATCACGGTATAAGATACTGCTTTATATCATTTCACACAGGAAATTCTAACGTTTATTTTGATATAAAGTTTGTCTAGTTACCATGATGTATATCCTGGACTCGAAATGATGGATATACCATGATGTATATCAAGCAAATTTAGTTATAATATGTAAGAAGCATAACTGTCATAAATCAATTATGCTTCTTACATATTATAACTAAATTTGCTGGATTTTTTTAAACAAACAATACAAGAATAAGTATGGATGTAACAATATTTTGAAAGTTGAGAAAAAAAACGTAGAATGACGCAACTGTGTGTTTAGCGTGGTGAGACGTAAAATTCTTTCTTACATACAAATAATAATATATATGACTTTTTTACTTTTTCATGTAAAGAACCATTAAGCCCCTATCTGAAAATTTTTATATCTTGGATTTATTATAAAAATATTGGTACTTTGGTATTATCCGGAGGCCACCTTTATACAGCACGCTGCGGCGGTTATGCTAGGTTGGGTTATCATAAATATGTTTTTAGGACTTTCCTCGCTTTGGTATGAATCGAACGATACCAGATTAGTCATACTTTCGCCCGCCAAATTTCCTCCAAGTAGGCCAAGGTCAGGTTGTTGACCGGAGTGTGCGCATCACCAGTCACCGCATGTACCTCTGATATCATTACTCATCTGGTATTGTTAGATTCATAAGGAAACTAGGAAAGTCTTACAAAAATATTTATGATAACCCAACCTAACATAACCGCTGCACTATATACCTACTTGGCGGAGTACGGCATGAGGCAGCTAGCGGTGGTGACACGTACAACTCAATCCTCGCCAACATCGCTGGGCCTTCTGGGAGGCAGAACTCAAAGGCCGCTAATCGTAATCATATAAAATTTGGACAGTAAGTCAATTAAAGAATGTTCTTTCCAATTAGGCCTACCGGTATGTAGGCTAGTTATTTTTGGTCTCCAGCAAAAAAATCTCTCTAAAATAAGTGGCCTCCGGATAGTACCAAAGTACTAAAATATTTTGTATTTTTCCATAGCCTCTACTTCTTAGAAATATGTTATGCCCATTTTCTTTTTTTTTGTTCTTACAAGTAAACAGATCTACAACATTTCTTGGGATCTTTCAATGGGTTAAATTTATTAATTGTAATGTCCTGTCCTGAAAAAGGAAATAGGTTATGTTATAGAATAGTATGTACTTTTATATGGAAGAACACAATATACAGCTCTCAAGTAACCTATGTGTCACATACAGTATACAGTCAAACATGGCCTAATACAGAGATTTGTAGCTGCCAGATGCAGGGTTAACTAATTAATTGTATTAAATCTTTTCTTGGCGATGACAACCAGGATGTTGAAAACCGGTACCTTATATTATCTTTCTAGTGCAAACAGGAACTTTAAACTCTAAATGTAGCAACAAAATGAATTAAAGAAGATACAAGAGCCTTGGGAAGATACAAGTTTATAGAGTTGCTCATGACATTGCCATAAATATAGTTATTTTATTCAGCTACCTTATGTGTATAAGAGTCTGAGTCTTAAACAATTTACACAAGATGGTATGTGCGAAATATACAAATAGGCTATACCTAACTTAAAAAACATAGGTACAAGTTAGTCTTACAAAAAATCAATACCTAAGTAGTGACATCAAACAGTTTTCTCTGAATAGTACGACGGCCCTGAAGGGACACTCAGTTTCTTTTTGTCTTCCATTCTACTTCGACTTTTATCATCATTTCATTGAAAAGTATAGGGCCTAAGTATAAAAGAAGTAGGCCTACTTCGACTTTTTTCTCGAAGTACTTTGACATTTCTAGTCTAGTCTAACTTTAACTCAACTTCAATACGAATACGCTCATTTCACTGAGCTAGTTCATTCTGTTCTGTTGGGCCGTCGTACAAAACAGCTGTTACAACACCACTTGCAACGTTGCCAGTTCGAAGGCCACGGCCTGGAGTTAAAGGTGCCGTGGTTGTGGTTGCTGTAAAATTATAACAAACTATAATAAGCGCATTTGAGAATAAAGTCAAAGTACTTCGAGAATAAAGTCGAAGTACTTCGAGAATAAAGTCGAAGTACTTCGAGAATAATGTCGAAGTAGGCCTACTTCGAGAATAATGTCGAAGTAGAATGAAAGACAAAAAGAAACTGAATGTCCCTTCAGGGCCGTCGTAGAAAAGACTAGGCTACTATGCAGATGTTTTTAACTTTCCAGCTACGCCATATATATGTTGAGGGAAGAGCTGGGGGTTGACAGGTGCATTCACCAGGAAGGGATGAGCATCGATTTAGATACCTACCGATAGCATCGTCACAAAAACATCAATGTTTTCAGGGCTAGAACATTGATGTAGGCTAAGATATTCTTAGTTTCTCGTCTGCTCTCTGTACTGATAACTACCTGGGCTAAGTGATAAACCTATTAGCTTGGCATACTCTACTAAGTAACTTAGCTTAAACACGCTGCCTTGCATTGGCAAGGGAGTGTGTTTAATTAATGCTAGAGCTAGAAGCTTAATTAGCCTAGCCTAAGTAGTTTAATGGTGAACATGAACCATCAATGGCCAATGCTCATCCCTAACCTTAATTTCCTGTGCAAAGGCTGAACCTAAAAACAGCTAGAGGACGATCATGAATGAATGATGTAAAATGCAACCCTTACACTAATCACTCAGACATAGCCTATTCCTAATCAATATCTAGCATAAATAAATTTGAAAACTTACTGGGAAGGAAATCCTGACTGTGGGAGGAGATGATAGAGCGATGCCTTCCTGGCCGTAAGTGGCATTTCGGACTTGGTTAAGAAGGGTAGTGCTGCGTGCACGTACAAGGGGAAGAGCTTTGGATACAATCAAGTTAACAGACATTTTGGACTTATAGATTTAGTAGAGAAAAGCAATTTTTCAGTTGACCTTACTAAACACCTCAAGGAGATTGTTCAAGAAGTCTTCAGTCTTGTCTTGATTCGGATCGGATTCGATTCAATTCAATTCCAATTCCTCACTTCACTTCACTTTACTTCTTTTTCTTTTTCTACAACTGTACTGTAAGAAAAGAGTAGGAACAACAACATTATATAAAAATATGTATAATATAACATTAAAATATGACAGCTGTTCAGTTAGAGAAACATTTGCATAGAGTGTTAACAGGGAAATTAATACTATCATAGATAAAACATAATACTATTATCCATTCATGGAAGTATAAACTATAATAAATTACTAGATGTTAATTGGGCCTTATCAACCGGACATGTCGACAGGATTTCATCCAATTTCATCATTACGAACACTCTACGTCACGTTGGTAAGGCCGGTCTTGGAGTTTGCTGCTGTAGTTTGGACCCCTCATCAGATTGGTCACTGTTCTCAGCTCGAGGCAGTGCAGAAAAGATTCTTGCGGCTAGTTGGAGCTAAACAGGGACAACGTCATTGGGATGTTGACTTGAATAAAATGGCACACCGTCTGAACCTTCCACTATTATCTGCCCGAAGAATGCTACTTGACCTGCTGTTCCTTTTCAAGATAGTAAACAACCAGATCGACTGTCCTGAGATCCTCCATCAATTGGACTTCAACGTTCCCCATCATGCTCGCGGATAACAGCTGTTCTGCAAGCACTTCATACCAACGAACTACACCTACCAGAGCACAATACCAAGGATTTTAAGAGTTGGGAATGATGATTTTTTGGTTGCACCATCGAATCCTTTAAGAAGAAAACGGTAAATTTAATCTGTCGTTAATTCATGGCCATTGTTATTGTTATTATATTGTTACGTACTGTTATCATATCGTTGTTATTGTCATCATTTGTATAGTTATATTCTTGTTGAAAGTAATTGTTGCTGATCTTATCGAATTGTGTCATTATAGGTTTTGTTGTCGTCTTGTTATCGATCGTTACTATTTGTTAAAGTCTATTATTGTTATCTTTTTTGTAAAAGTTATAAGTTATTGTTACTCTTTTATTGCTTCTTAAAAATGAAATGTTACGACCTTGCCTTTTTTGAACTAATTTGAAAATTTGATTGTTTGTTGGAAGTAGTTGTTTTCAATTCATTCTGTGTATAAATCCAACTGTAAAACTGGACATTGTTTTCAACGCTATCATATTTGTAATACTTTTGTATTTGTGTATCGCCGTTTGTAATAAATAATAAATAAATATATAGTATAAACTAGCTGTACCCGCGGGCTTTGCCCCGTTTAACTTCATAAGTATTCGCATGGCTCAATCACGTCCTGGTTGAAGTTCGTTCGCTACGCTCACTCACCTTTAGGTTGGAGCGTAGATAAAACCTATGTTAATAGTTAGTAAGTGCCATTAGTATTGGTTCTGGTTGGTAGTACTGTAACAATACCTTTCTTTACCTTGCTCTTTGCTCCTCAAGCTGGGAATAGGAATAGGAAACAAACAATACTACTAACCTACAAAAAATCAAAAGCAGCCGGCAATTTAAGGAAAAATAAGTGTTTTGTTTTATTATGGTGTCAGAATTCAGAAGTTTAAATAGGCTAGTAAGTGTTTAAAATCATGCGGTTGTCTGTATTCAATAACATGAGAGTTTCCCTGTGACTAACCAATTGGCTTTGTAGAATAAAATAACTGGTAAGTGTTAGACCTATTTATTTTTTTAATTTTCTGCAACCTATCCCTTTTGTTCCAATGACATAGGCCTATATTAGGATCCAGCCAGACATAGGCTAACTTATACTTATACACATCTTGGAAAGACGTGCACCATGGGGATGGGATGGGATGCAGTTCCACAGAAAGCTTGTGATATATCGGTATCAATGGTTGTCCTAATTGTATCAATGGTATCGAGGGTGCAGTTTCTTAACTGGGCTACGCTAATATTGAAACTATAGATTGAAAATAGACGGTATCAATCATAATCAATATTTTAACGGCTGCACTTAACGTCCTACACTCATTCAAATGAAAATGTTGATTATTCGATTGTTTCATTCAATATATCGTTTGTTTAGTTAGGTTAGGTTAACCTTACCTAGCTTATCTATCTAAACGATATATCGATCGATATTTTCATTCGAATGAGTGTAGGACGTAAAGTAAAGTGCAGCCTTTTTAACAAGGGATATCAATTAGGCCTATACAGGGTTAGGCAAAAGTCTGGAACCCCCCACTTAACTTTTTAACGTGTTGCAGTAGGAAAACCAAACTCGGCACATATTTATAAGGCTGCACTTTACTTGACGTCCTACACTCATTCGAATGAAAATATTGATCGATATATCGATTAGGCTAATCGATTGCTAACAATGAAACAATCGAATGAAAATATCGAATCGAAAAAAAACAATCGAATGAGTGTAGGACGTCAAGTAAAGTGCAGCCATTTATAACATATAAGAAATTGCACTTTTTCATCAAAGATACAACTTAGCCCCAGCCCCCAAAATGGGGTATTTTAGGGGCAGCCCCAAATTTTCAAATGTAAACACCTATCATGTGACCCCTCATTTTAAAGGGTTTATTCAGGGTATTCAGGGTACTCATTGAAGGGTATTTATTCAGAAACTGAACGGCGCAAACCAGAGGTCAAAATCGCACCCCTAATTAAAATGGCAGCCATTTTAATTATTTATGTGATGAACAAGCAAGATAAAGTCCGGACACCCCCAGTTAACTTAAAAATTTTTATATTTTAATAGGCTTCTTACCAAAAGGTGAATTCTCTTTTTTTAAAAAGGTATTATGCGTTTAGTTTTCCTGCTATAACCTGTTAAAAAGTTAATAGGGGAAATTTCAAAGTGACTGCCATTTTGATAAGGGGTGTGATATTGGTAGTTTGCACCATTTAATTTGTCTTGAAAAACCCTTTAAAATGAGGGGTCACATGATAGGTGTTTACATTTGAAAATTTTGGGGCGGATAAGTACAAGTTCTACCTTAAATAAAAAAGTGAATTTTTTTATTTTGTAATCATGTGCCGAGTTTGGTTTTCCCACTGCCAAATGTTATAAAGTTAACTGGGGGTGTCCAGACTTTATCTTGCTCGCTCATCTTAAATTAAAATGGCTGCCATTTTGATTAGGAGTGTGATATTGACCTCTGGTTTGCGCCATTCAATTTCACTTGATAAACCCTTTAAAATGAGGGGTCACATGATAGGGGTTTACATTTGAAAATTTGGGGCTGCCCCAAAAATATCCCATTTTGGAGGCTGGGGCAAAGTTGTAATTTATGATGAAAAAGTGCAATTTCTTATGTTGTATAAATGTGCCGAGTTTGGTTTTCCTACTGCAACGCGTTAAAACGTTAACTGGGGGGTTCCAGACTTTTGCCTAACCCTGTAGAATGAAACTGTCATAATTTAACTTGCTGACAGTGAAAAGATTGATGAAGGTTTAAGTTACTAATCAAATTAATAGTTTCAATCAATATTAGCATAGCCCAGTTATGAAATTGTAAGCTACCCGGTAGGCCTATCGATTTTGATTTGGCTTGATTTATCGTTCCTACACCTACAATATGATTGATTGTTTTATGTAACTTATAGGCTACATCAAATTGAATTATTATCTGTTTACATTTTTAATTTGGCCTATTCATCTACGGGTACGCCTAAGTTAAATTTAAATTAACACTACTTATTTAATCACTTAAAGGGCGAGATTTGGTAGATTACATTAGATTATGGTACTTTACCATAACTAAGTTATAGGATAATCAAAACCACAGTCGGTAGGCCTAAGTTATAAGTTATATTCAATTTTATTAGCCTTATTTATGACTTGAAATAGGTTTTACCTTTGTAAATCAGCTCAAATGTTATAACTGATGTGAACTTAAGGCAGTTTCGGCATTACTTATGATGCTATCTTCATACATAACCAGATCTCCACTCAAGCAGCCACGACACTTACATGCCTGACTTAGGCTTATTCTGGATAGTATTTGTGTGCGGGCAAACGTATCGGAATTCACAGAATTAATAAACTGGTTTAGGCTAGTCATTATGCGGGAAGAGAAGTCTAATAACAGGAAAGGACCGTTGTTTTGACACCAAAAGTGTATCATGTTTACATCCTAGTTCAGACTTCATTAAGTTAAAGCTTGTGTTGAATAAAATTTTTCACCCTGATGTAACAATAGGCCTACAAAGGTTGGTAGGCCTACTGCATAGATAATGTACCTTGCCTTAAAAATCTGTTTTTTATGGATATTCCCTGTCAAAATGAAATCAGGATAGGCCTACTTAAAATTTGTTTATACAGCAGGTTTGTAGCATTTTGTGTATTTATGTCTCGTCACCGTTGGCATTTCTCTACATTTTTGTAGGGGAATGGCGGTGGTCTTGTTACCAACATCAACCTTTTGTTAGAGAGCATCATTAATTGATAGTCCAATGACATATGGCAATCTGAGTCCAGAAGAGATCTTGCTTGGAATCAAACCAGCGACCAGATTGTAGAGCCCTATAACCACTCGGTTAACCAGTCTATTACTGTGAAAGATGTTGTCTTGGTTGATTTTTTATCTGGCTACGTTGTCAAAAACAAGTACCGGTATTCTCATCAGGCTAAAAATATTTTAGGATTCTTTCACAAAAACAATAATGTGTAGTTTTTACTACATTATAATTTTTGTAATTTAAATATTGATTATTTCTTTATTAGGTACTATCAGTGACACAAGTTTCTGAGCTAAAAAGGATGTATCATCTTGAAGGCTTGTTACAACTGTAAAGTGGTCAAGGTTGGGAATCTCCACCACTTCATGACCGATTTTCTTCCTTTTAAGCAGCTGAAACAGTTTAACAAGTAGTTATCAAAACACAGGTACGTTATATAATATACATATTACGTAGTACCTACTACCATTGACTATTGGATACTGAAGCTACTACTAATAAAATCACTAAGCTCACCTATTGATCAAGTTAGAAAAAATGAAGTCCATCAGTCATTTAATTTAAGCCTTGAAAGTATTTCTTAAATCACAGATATTAAAATTTAAATATTTACAAGAGAACCCTGCACACTGCACAGATTGCGTGTAGGCTATAGCCCTATAGGGTTAAAACTTGTTTCCAAAGTAAAATGATTCGAGTGCAATGAGTATTTCTTAAATTATAATTCACATTTAAACTGTTATAAAGAAAGTTGGTCAGCATAACTGGATCTTTGAAATGTCTCTATATAAATCAATTAAACTTGAGGGGAGCAAAACCTTTTTAATTACCTTTCACCTTTCATAATCTACTCAGTAATCAATTCATGATTTCCGCAATTGAAGAACAGACTGACTATGCTATTAGGAATATATATTTCATAAAATGCTTTACTGTGAAAAAACTAGTAGTCACAAGTCACAGCATTTTTACCTGACTGAAAGATTTAGTCTGTCCGTGGAAAGTAGGCGAATCATATTCTCCAACTACCAAAAGCACCTTCACATTAGTTTCTTGTTGTGTCAATACAAGATTGAAAAAGGGACTTAATTTCAATGCAGATTTCCTGTAAAACAATGTTTTTGTCCATTAATTTGTAGCAGTGGTAAAGAATATCTATTGTAGGAGATGTACATTCCTCAAATTGTTTTAATATATCTTTGAAGTGGTAGGCTTTTTCAACAATTATTACATAGCAATAAATGCACCGGAACTTTTATCAATAATACTGGGTTTGAAAATTGTAGAATAGGGTAGCTATTTAAAGTTTATAGTTCCATTAAATCAATTTGCATTGTAGCCTATTATTTAAGGTTTTGACTCACTTTAGATTACATTATCAAACTCAATATTGTTTTATTAAATTATGGAGTTGAACCATAGTTAAATATTGTAGCCTACCTGTTTACTTTAATTGTTATTAAATCATACCTTTTTTGTGGTTAATATAATTTTGGGTAAAAGTCCCATGTATAAACCAAATGTAGGCCTATAAGAGTGCAAAAATCAAGGATTTTTAAACAGGTTTCATAGGCTGAGGTTACAGTCCATTGCAGAGTCCAATAAATTAATAAAACTTTCATGTGAGGATTAAGTCACCGGAAAAAATAACTTGTGGGTTTTTTTGTTTCAGAAAATGAGCTACTACCCTGCTGGACTGTCAGATGATGACGACGATGACTTCTCAGATGGCTTGGAATTCTCCAATGATTACAATGACTCATATAGAACTCGGGATCTGGTTAAAACAAGTGAAACCAACGAGACCTTGCTGTATAATGCGCTTTTAGAAGAGAACATCGAAGCAATGAAAAGTGTTCTAGACAGCGGTTTCAATGTGGATCAACCTGTAAAAGGCGGATGGTCAGCACTTATGTATGCATGCTCGTTTGCGTATTTTCCTGCAATTGAGTTACTTATCAGCCGAGGAGCAAATGTAAATTTTAATAAAGAACTTTTTACCCCACTGATGGCTCTGTGTAAGTCTAAGTCATCAAGAGAAGAAGAACTCAGCAAGTGTATGGATTTGCTTTTGGAAAATGGTGCAAATATAAATTCCCTTGATAGGAACGCTAGTACAGCTTTGATTTATGCTAGTGCGGAAGGTCATACGCAGCTGGTTAAGACATTGGTTGATTTGAAATGTGACCTTAACATTCAGGACACCGAAGGGTGGAGTGCTTTGTTTCACGCAGTCTTTGGAGGTTATGATGACATTGTTCGCACCTTGGTTGAAGCGAAGGCTCGCGTAGACTTGATTGACAGAAGGAAAAGGTCAGCTTACGAATTGGCAGTATTAAAAGGTCATGACCATTTAGGAGAACTAGTTTGTTCAAAAAAGGAGAGAAGAAGATTAAAAGCAGAGGCAGATGAGTCAGAAGATGTTCCAGAGGTAAGCAAAACAAGAGATCCAATTGAAGAACTGATGAACCAACTTCCGAGGTCCAATGTAAAAAATAGTTCTGGCTTCTCTTCAGACGTCGGTAAATTACTGTGGTCAATGAAGCTGGGACATTTAAACAAGCAGTTCTCTGATCAAAATGTGGAGTTGAATGAAATTCTTTTGATCACAGACGAGCGTCTGAAGGAACTCAGAGTGAGATTTTCAGTTCATCGCCATCGTATTCTCACCTCCATCAGGAAATTTCATTTGCGCCCCTGGAGCAAATCAAGTTTAGGACTAAAACCGAGAAACGAACAAACGAATGTTGATGATGCTGTTAAAGTAATTTGCAACGTCATTAAACATCTGCATGTATTGAGCGCTACTGTTAACTATGTTCGGTTACATCAACCAATTCCTCTAGGTGCTGAAGTATTTAAAATGTGTGAAAACTCAGCACATCAACTTCATCTGATCAGCGGAGAGCTTAGTAACATTCAATATTTCTCTTCTCAGCTGAAAGTGAAAGAACCTATCACTCCAGTGGATTTGATCAAACCAAAGAATAATTCAAACAAAGGGTACATGCGTTCTATGTTCGTGGTGACAGTACTTGTTGGTTTAGTGTTTTGGAAGCGGAAAATCTTAATTTCTCTTCCGATTATTCAGAGGTTCTTTGTTCAGTAAACAAGTTCAATAACTTCTGCTTTTATCTGTGATGTACTGTTGCTGTTCACACCAAATTTAATTAGATTTTTGAAATATGTTATCTGCTATGTAAAAAAAAAATCCAGCTTAGTCAATTTGTAAATATGTTTAATGTGTATAAAAAAATAATTGACTTATTTCAGCTACCGTACGTAATAGGAGGGTATTTCAGGATGAAGAACTGTTTCAAAAGCTTTTGCCTTTAGGGCGCGGGTTGAAAAAGTAATTATTCTGTAATTAAAGTGTTAAGTAATTCTGTCATTAAAGTGTTAATATGAGTTTGGGAGTAGGGATGCAAAACACAGATTTGTGTAGCTAAACTGACGAATTTGACATCCTCCCTGGCCACTAGTAAGATTCTTTTTACTAAGACAATTCCAATGGTTTTAAGTTTCAGGCTTCTATCTTTTTAGAGTTAAGTGATATTCCGAACTCTGAGGTAAACTGATGCAGAATTAAATGAAAATCAATCTGCACACGGTTCTCAGCCTTACTTACATTACTTTGTTTTTACTATTACATACATACTACTTAGCCTAAGCAAAACTACAAGTCAATTAAGTAACAATATTGTTTTGGAACAAGACTCAACTTTATGAAAGTATATTTTTGTGTTGTAAAGTAAACTATTTTATTTTTATGATTTAGCTCTAGTAGTGTTTTTAGATTAAAGAAATGTATTTTTATTTTGCCAGGAATAATTTTTAAGTTTTTTCATCAATGCAAGAAGGTTAAAGCAGTAGAACCTGGCTTATTATTCACTATTGAGATCAGTAGCATAGATTGGAAGGGCAAGCAAGGTTGTGGGGCATCTCGTTTATTCATTTAGAAACTCACAAAAAACATTTTAACAAATCAAATGAATGTGAACAAGAATAAGACAACTAACTGTCCTATATAACTGCAGTATGTTTTAGACAACCACCTAAATATGACTTGATATTCATGTACCTTTTGCACTGGCCATTTAACCAAACAATTTATAACCTGTTTGAGTCTAAAAATACGTTTGTCATGCTACATGACATAATTTGACACAATGATAAATATAAAATTCTCCCAAGCAATCTAACCAGAAGTTGAAACTGAGGTCGAATCAGCGAGGTTCTACTGTACCGGTACTGCAACAGCATTTAGTTAACAAAGTCTGATAAACTATGTTCACGTCTCAAGGCTCAAGACTAATGTTATATAATATACAGTGTTTTCTACTGTAGATTATGGAGTCTATTTTGTAAATATTTAAAAACCTCGCAATTTTTATGCAATTTATATCCGCTAATTAGTAAGTGTGGGAATTGATAACTCTTCTTGGCTTTAATGTTTGGAAATGTGTTTCATCATTTAATCAAATTTTGTACTTTATTATATACTAAATAAATTTAACTGTGTTCTCTGTCAGAAAAACTGTAGTATTTTTACCCTTCACTTATTTGACTCCAATTATCAAATAACTTATTTAGAATGGAAAAAATCATGATTGAACTGAAACTAGAAAAAAAGGTTCTTCTTAATTGTTTGTTCTTACTAAAAGCTCCTTCAATAAATTAAACTAGAGAAAACATCAATTATATTCCTCACTACATTCGTTGTTCACAAAATAAAATAAACCTTTTAATATTCACTTCTGTTAGGGAATTGATTTAATTTGTTTGTGATAAACACATGTGGAGAGTTTGTTAGAAAACAAAGACATATTCCTTATTACTAATCAATCAATAAGCTACTCTTTTAAAAACAATTTTTTGACAATTAATTAACTCTCAATTGAAGTTTTGATAGCCAAACGAAGTCTAGCGTTTGAATCAACATACCGATCGAGTTGTAAAGCATCATTGTTGGAGGTGTAGATCAGAGGTGTTAAATCGTAAATACCACTGATGAGCACCAAGCCTTTCATCCTGCAGCTGAGTTGCGGCTCTAGAGAGTAGAACCAATCAGATTGCAGAAGGAAGGACGCAAGATGAGCGCCGGCCGAGTGTCCTCCGAACCAGACACCTCTGAAATATATCTTCATTAAATAAAATTTTGATTGAATAACATAATGGTCATTGTCAACTGAGCAGAATGGATGACATTCAATGAAAAAATGACTTCACATCAATAGCTAAATAATAGTTTTGCAAATCACATGGCAAGGCATTTTAGCAAATTTATCAGGCAGGTATAAATTTAGAAGAAACAGTGTACAGTAGGCCCTATAATGGGAGTTATTAGCAAAGTAGTATTAATTACTTATGGCCATGTAGAAATTCTTAAATTTGGTCATATGGTCAGAGTGAGAACAAATGTGACGAAGAGGAGTGTTTTAGTTGGTTAAAAGAAGAGAATCCCAAACTAAACACCAACTGGCATAGCTTCCCCTAGTACAAGGCTGCGGTATTGGTATGTCACAACGTCACACCAGCCGGCCCATTGCCATGGTAGTAACAGGTGTAACAAACTTGTAAACATAAACTTTGCACAGACTCTCCATTATGAATTAGTGCAACAGCTGTTTCAGTTGTCCAGGGCTGCGGTGTATTTTTACACTCTGTGAAGAAGAAAAGTGAAGTAGTGGAATTGACATGGAAAACTACTGGGCTTCTCATCCTATTGTAAAATTGGGAGATTTTTTTGATGTGTTTTACGTTGTGTTACATTAGAGTATGCTATTTACTAGTAGTCGCTTATGCTAGTTTGGGTCTGTGAGCGCTTTCCTCTTATAGGTTCAACATTTTGTATGCTCTTATAACTATCAAAATACTCTGATTACTGATTATTTTTCTTGCAATGTCTTAAATACACTTGCCTGGACTCATTTTCTTTAGCCATTTCCAAAACGTAAATAGCTAGCTCTCTGATTTCTTCCACAATGGTGTCAAGTGATACTGAAACAAACATATTTTACAACTGACATTTTGGCTCTAAGAATATTAAATCTAATTTGAAAATGCTAATAACTATGTACCTATAGTATTAATCAATTTTGTAGTCAAATAAGTGAAAAAAACTACATTGACGATGTTAATGATGTGACCACACTAGAAATTAGCCAATAAGGTTAGAGAAATATTTATTTTTGATATAAACAGTATTGCTTGAACATTCAGTGTAAACCATTCTGAAGCAACCCATGATGTATTCATGTCAAATCACTCCTAGATCAGCATTTTACAAGTTGGTGCTAATATTGAAACCTAATCAATTACGTCTTGCAACACTATTTGATATTTTTATATCAGGTTTACCTTGGGGTGTCAAATCATATCCAACAATGACTGTTCTTATACCAGCCTGCCATAAGGGTATCACTGGATATGCTGAAACATCCTTGGATAGCATCTGCCAGTATCCTCCATGGATGTACACAAACATTGGTGAATCTAAACATAGTTAAGTAAAAGTTTGTACATTTGCTTTTAGCAGCTCAAAAAAGTTCATTTCACATATCATATGTGCATTAAATCAACTATGGTGCCTATATTATTGGAGGCTGAGATAATTTGGGATCAGAGGCTTTATGTATGCGAAAAAAGGTCACGCAAAATGAAATAACATTGATGTTTTGTCCTAGGTTTTGTCTTTGCCCTAATGTAAGACTTCTCCTGCAACTGAAAATAGGCTTTACCTTCGTCACTGCAGCTCAAAATCTTGTGGTGTAACTATGTTACGGCCGTTTCGACATTACAATGCCATCGTCAGACTACAAAAACACAAACTCGGCTGAAGTATCATCCGCCATCACAAAAGTTTGCCGCTTACAACAGTATGGTGTATAGATTGTTGAATGTACCGTTGTCGGACAACAATTATAATAAAGAACTTAATATAATTATAATTAAACATATAGCCATAGCTAATGGTTATAAAAGTAACATGATTGATAGACTGATAGCTAAAAAGATAAACAAAAGGCCAGGAGATAATAATCTACAAAAGGAAAAGAAAAAGTATGTATGTGTGATATACTCCCATTCCATTCAACACACGCTCACGAAGGAGCTGAAGAAACACGACATTCAATTGACTTTTAGGACTAACAACAAAACAATTAACAAATTGAATGTTTTAAGTGGCGTAATTGATAAAGGTGAAAAGTCAGGTGTGTATAAGATTAATTGTGCAAGTTGCCCGAGCTACTACATAGGAAAGACTGGACGTTCATTCAAAACCAGATACAAAGAGCACCATCCATTTCCTAGAGCCGACAAACAAAAGTCATCGTTTGCACAACACTTGGTTGACAAAAATCACGACATGAACGATCTGAACACTGGCTTAGAAATACTCCACACAAGTAAGAAAGGCAATAGACTGGACACCCCAGAAGAGTATGAAATTTACAAAGCTTACACCGAGAATAATTTGGACGATATAATTTTAAACGACAAACTACAGTACAAGTCACACTTCATATTCAATAGCATTTTAAATCAGAAAAGGAACAAGAAGCCAGGAGTACAAAGTTCAACTGATAACGCCACCACACCGGGCTCGACATAGAAATCTTCCAGTCGGTTTTTGCTCGGAACGGGAACATGTCACCCGTTAGTACGACAGGCCTGTTCGGTTTTTGTAAATATTTTAAATGTATTTTATTGTTCGTATGTGTTACGTGTTTAAACTTCAACGACGCTACTTCAGCCGAGTTTGTGTTTTTGTAGTCTGACGATGGCATTGTAATGTCGAAACGGCCGTAACATAGTTACACCACAAGATTTCGAGCTGCAGTGACGAAGGTAAAGCCTATTTTTAGTTATTATACAGCTCAGGGGCTAAAACATGGATTTTAATTCTCCTGCAAGTACATACATTCAATTAAACAACAAAATGATTAAACGATACACTCCTACATAAAATGTCAGACAAAAGATGTGTTGGGTGTTTTTTGTGTGAACAAGCCACTGAACAAATTGACTCGCAGGTAAGCTAACTGGACTTTAATCTTGTATTTTCTTTATACAGTAATATATATTTTTTGTATTTTTGGATATTATTTTTAACCATTTCAACTGTAATAATTTTAAATTGAGATTTATCAAATGTTTTCTAAATATAAAACTAAATTTAAATGGAAAGTTAAAAAAAAAATGGTGCTCAAGTGATACTCAACAAAACTATCTAAGTCATCAATATTCTATTGTTAGAGGTGGTATTCATTTTCTATCTGTTGTTTTCCTGGTTGTGTCCCGATTGCGAACAGTCCAGATTGCGAACAAGGGTAAAATCGTCCAGACTGCGAACACCTCAAAAATGCTGTGGACTACCTGAACACGAATCGTCCAGACTGCGAACAAATATTTTGGAATCTGTTAAGATGGTTTAGTCGCTGTTGTTGAACGTGAGTTTTAATTGCTTGTTTTTGATGTTTTTAGGTAATAATTGAGTTGGAATATGATTGAATGATTGATGTTGTAATGTGTAATGCATATAGGCTACATGTTATTTCGGATGTAAGATGTATGTAAGTATTGTATTTGTTTTAGTTTAGTTGATATTTAAATTGCTCGTTGACGATGTTTTTTTTAGGTAATGATTGAGTTTGGAATGTGATATTGGCAAATGCATGTTATTTCGGCTAATTATGTTAAACTATAGTCAGTATCTCTTATATTAATACGTCAGGGCTGTTCTTCGTGAAAAAAACTCCTCCGTTATTTCTGGGCCGATTTTAACGTTTGAGGTGTCAAATAATCCGTCTCAATTTGTAGTTTTGCATAAAGGTTTTAGAATTTAAAAACCCTTACCCTTAAGGGCATGAGACGCTCTCAAGAGTCGCACTTTCCCCATAAGAATTACATTGAAAACAAATTTAAAAACAAAAACAACTGTATATAAAAAGAAACTCACCAGCTTTTTGGGAGTAAATATTGATGTTTGTAATAATTAAGAGGTTATAGACAAATCTAAACTCAATCAGTTTTGTTGGAAGAACAGACAATTTCTTAAGTTTAAAGGAGAAATATTGAAAACAGGTGGAGGAGACAATTGATAGGAAATCTTATACGTATGAGAAGAGTAGAGAAGAGGCCTGGTCTCACAGTAAGGGATTCAGGTACACAACACTTGGGGAGATGAATTACTGGTAAAAAGCTTTACGTCGGAAAACATTTGTAGAAAACACTAAAAAATAAGGCCGGGTCGAAAAATGCTAAAATAAACGAAGTGTTTATTATTACAAAGCGCTATTAAATAGCGTGAGTATTTCAATTAGTTACGATCATAAGCATTTAGTTGGGTCTTTTAAACTGATCGAAAATTATGACAGTTATTACTGTAGTTTTAAAATAACTTCTGTATAATACCGGTACTTGACAGTTGCTTGATTTCGAGCATCAGGTACTCTAGTTCATATGAAATTATTGTTTCATTTCTTTTACTCTGAGATTGTTTAGTTATTGTTGTTGCTTGTTCAAGTCAAACACATTATAATTAATTTTAAATAAACAGCCACGTTAAATACCTATTATCAGAACGAATTTGTGAGTCTGGAAAAATCTGTCTGTTAATATACAAGCGGCTTTACGTAAAATCATACTACGTCTCATAAAGATATGTCTTCAAAAACAATTTAGGCTAAATCATTCTGTTAAGGGTTTCTATGAAAGGGTTGAAAACCCCGACCACTCGAAATGTGTTCGCAATTAGGAATCCTCCCCACCCCACGGACGACCCCCTCCACCTCGTAGAACCAAACATGTTCGCAGTCTGGACTGTTCGCAATCAGGACTGTTCGCAATCAGGAGGACACCGTTTTCCTAAGGGCAATCATTCACTTAGAACTAATTATAGACAATTACAGTTTGAATAATAGTTAAATTTTTCCCAGAACTAATCATGTTATTTATCTTCAAATAAACTATTTACACATGGAAATATTAGTTTTCAGCAGCTACAGAATTTCTGAAATGTAATTTTTATGGTAAAATCAAAATCCTGGATATTTTAATAAAAAAAAACCATTTGCAGATACCACGAATGTCAAATTTCATCAAAATTGGACCACATGTGTGGTCTGTAGCTCTGAACACATCCACACACTTGATGTGTACAATACAGATTATAGACACACGCATACATCACTTGAAAATTAATTTTTTTTTAGAGGGACCCAAAACGGATATTTTCACCTAAAACTTAGATTCATAAATTTTGACATAAGCAAATACTTTCTCCACTTTTATAAGGGAAACTTTATAAAGGGAGAAATTAACAAAGAAACTACTTCAACACTTTATTTACTGTGTAGAGCTTTGGAGCTACATTCCAGTTTCTTAACGATTAAATGAATAGATGTTTTAAGTGTTACTAGACGTCTCTTTTATTTACTTTCCGTAAATTTAATAAAACATACAATGCTGATCAAGAAGTTGAATAGTTATTTTGTTTATTACAAAATTTTGGTGGCTAAACAAATATATATTCTGCATTAAATTGCTGAGTCTGTAGTTTAAAGGTGTTTTGGTCAAATTCCGTATATAATATTCACCCTACCTTCGGGGAGGTCTGTGCCATATAGATCACAGTACTGTTTATCTCTCGGCCCATACTGTAGATCGGCCAAGTGTGGAACTTTCTCCTTTGCTGCTTCACTCGCTAAAACAATCATAGTTATTTTTAAGTTGTGGGCATCTAAAGTTGATATAAATATTATATACCTCACATTTGGGGATTGTTAAGTTTCATACAATATTTGTTAACTCTTTTTTGGGGCCTGGGAACAAATTGTTGAACAAATATTTTGATAACAATGCTAATACTGTACCTAAGTTCCAGCAAACCTGCAGACTACATAGACAGAGATGCTTTATTGAATTTTTAAACAGGTTTGTGCTACATGGAAAATTTACATTTAGATCTTTCCTAATAAATATAACATTAGCTCACTGTGGACCTCGGTTCACGGTAACGGCTTAAAAAAAATCCTTGCTTTGACATTTCAAATCCCTATGATTGAAAGGAAATCCGCTAAATTTTGTAAAAATTTGATTGTATAAAATTAGATAATATGATGTTTTAACAACATTAAAGTATGATAGGCTACTACATTTGTTTTGTCTTTTTCAGCTAACTTAAATTTAGTTTAGTACAAACCCCAATTTCCAATGGTCAGATAGTATTGGTTCATTAACTCATTCAAAAAATTTAATGGTTTACACATTTGATCAAAACTACAACTGTTGAACAAAATCAGAGAATCTGAGAGACAAACTGTACTTAAAGGCATTTTAATTTCTTGGTATTTTAATTTGCATAATAAAAGGGTGTTTTCAATTGCTTCTGTAGACACTGCAACAAAAGCCAAGCCATCCTACACTTAGATCTTACCATAATCATTTTGGTAATGGCTACTGTACACATTGGGTAATTACAAAAAGCATTCATTAGTTTGAATATTAAGATTTACCTCTGGTAACGTCCGTGATATGCTGGTTTATTGCTTCCTCGGGTGAAGTTGCCACTGTCCATCGACTGGGACTGTAGTGAAGTTCTATTTCCTGCAGAGAAAGGAATCAGAATCTCTATAACTTAATTTCTTAGTTGTAGATGCAAAATTGTTAGGTTCAAGATCACTTACAAAAGATAATACTTCCTTGATAATAAATAAATGAAAAGCAGATACAAAACAATTTCTTACCTAAGTGGAAGTTATAGCGGTTATGCCTTTTTAGGGAAACGCTATGAAATTTATAACCAAGATCCTAAATTAAAGTAATCCTATTTTTCCGAAGGATTCGGAACTTAAGAATAAATTAGATAGCTCAAATTATTTATCTCAAAAATTTATAAAAATTATTCAAACTATCTAGTAATTTTTAACATAAAAAAAATGTTATGAAGCTGAGATAGGATTTTTAAAGTGTTTATAGTTAAGTTAGCTCACTCAAGAACAGTTCAGGGTTTTATGTACAACATAACCAACTTAGAGGTACAACATGAAATAAATATTTTCTTAGTTCACAATGACTCTAATTTTATCAGGTAAAGTTTGAAACTTAATCACTCCTTGAAAAAATACACCTAGAAATATCATACTTTTTTAAATAATTATCAATAACAATTCAAATTTTAGTAAAAAAACTAAATTTCTTGGATTTTAAACTAAATTTGTAAAACAAGTTCACTGTGTATATATAAGTGTGTAACAAACCTCTTCCATTGAAGTTTCAGCAGTTTCTGGGCTTCTTCTGGTCACCAGACAACCTGATACTGTATCTAGGAGTGGTGGTTAGGGGGGAGGGGGAAATTTGATATCAGACACACATTTAGGAAATAGATACTTTATACTAATGATCAATAGAACCTCACTGTCTTGCTTTAGTAAGTAAAATTGAATACCGTACATTTAATTGATCAAGGAGTTTTTTTTATATGTAAAATAAGGTAGCCTTCTGATCGAAGGTACCACATATTAATAGTTTTTCATGCCCATATCCAATCACATATATCTTATGCAATAGTAGTGTATGGAGGCACTTCCCAGAAAAATTTAGATAAGATACTTGTTTTACAGAAAAAGGCAATAAGAATAATGTTAAATCTAGATTATAATGAGACTGTAAAGCAACATTTTGTCAATTTTAAAATATTAACTGTGTTTAGTTTGTACGTACTGGAATGTATCGTACATGTAAAAAATAACCAGGAAAAATTTAAAACGCATTGTGAAACTCATCAATACAACACTAGAAACAAAAATAATATAGTTCTACCGAAACACAACTTAGAAATGTATAAAAATAAGCCCTCATATGCCGGTGTAAAGTTTTAAAAGTTAATACCAAATGAAATAAAAGATATTAAGGATAAAAAAAAATGTAGACAAAAACTTAAAGAATTTTTAATAGAAAACCCCATCTACTCAATAGATGAACTTTTTATGAATGTATACAGCTATAGATAGTTTTATTTTCTGTATTTTTTGTTTAGGTTAAGTATTTGTACATAGTAATTATAAGCTTGTCACTATTTATTGTACGTTTTGTACATAATATAAATAAAGATCATTTGAATTTGAATTAGCCTACTTTATGTAACTTTTGTCACCTTGATCCAGTTTGAGAAGTTTGGACCGATTTCCATTAAAAGTGTTTTATATTCTGAATTACAAAATTACAAAATTCTACTCATGAACAGAAAAAAATAACACAAATGAGTAAAATGTACAAAACCAAACACAATATTACTGCTAGAAGCGGCGCACAGACCAAACTTGGTTTTAATGTAGGCATTGAAATAAACACTGATGATATTGAAAATTATTATATTAAAACAATGTATGAACAAATTTCAGTCTGATTTTTCTTTCTTCAATCTGTCTTCTTTCATCTTTTCGATCATTGCAATGGTTTCTTGTTGTTTCCTTGCAGCTCTTCGAGCTTTGAATGATTTTTTTGACTCTTCACTTGGTCTTCCTCTTCTAGGGTTCAAAAAATTTCCCAGTTGCCTTTCTATTGACTTTATTATTTTCACCTAGAACCATTGACTACATTAAAATTTGCTATCAATATTCATAATTACTTTGAGACAGTTATTTAAGAGGTTTTTTTGGGATATGTTCCATCGAAATAAGTAAAAAAGGTTTTCACAATCTTAAAGTTTGGAATAAATTTTGGATCTTTTTTTAAAGAGGTTGACAGCCTCTGTTATCTTTCATTTGCCCGTCCACATGAGCCACTGAGGCCTGTGTGTGAAAATACAGTGAAGCAAGGGGTGGTTTGTTACAGTACAAGGGTGAATTGTGCTGATAAAAAGGAGTGGTAGGTACCAAGATCTGAGCCCTCGAACTCACTGCCTTAGGTCCGAAGTCCATGGCTCTACCGAATATGCCACTAGTTGACAGACCTAAATCATGTAGGTAAGTGAAAACTTTGTTTTTTACTAATCAAGACAGAAAACAACGGCAAAAAACTCATAACATGTCACAAAAAATGAACTTTTACACTCTTTAAAAATGACGTTGAAATAATCTTTAATTAAATTCTCACATTTACATAAGAAGTTATGTTTAGTTGTTCATTGCCTTTAAAGTACAGTTTTATACTACAACCACTTTAATATGTAGGGGTTTAAAGTATGTTATGAAAATTAGTACAAAACTACAAATATTTACAAATTTTACACAACATTTGGGCATGAAAAAAATGTCTTACCTCTTGAGGTATATGTACATAGCGAACATTCCGAGCTTGAACATAATAGTTCTCAAATTTATATTTTTTCCCACAGCCGCTAATAAGAACAGCATCAGACATGTTGATGTTCATAAACCTAAAATCAAATTACAGTTTTGGTGGACATAGGTTTAAATTTTATATGTTACCGTACAGAATTTTTGATCATGTTTGTTGTCTATCCACATATGAGGGTCGTTTTTTAAACAAGGGCCGTTTTTGCATATAGCTCCGTTAGTTTGCGTGTACGTGTCACAACAAGGCTCCTCACCTTTTCCTATCATTTGTGAACAGAATGATACCATTTGTAGCTATGTATCTGACTGGTATGCTTAGCCCCAAAGCAATGAGTAAGGTTTTAGTACGGAAATGGGTTTGAAGAGTAAAAATGGCCATGAAAACCATGAAGGCAACGTGAACATTGCGGTCTTTTGTGATAAGTCTGAGTACCCACCAAAAACACAATTTCTTCCGAAATTAACATTTTTATGGCCGTTTTTAAACTTCATAGCCCATTTCTTCACTTTCTGCTCTAGGGTCATAAACTTAGTTATCTGGTGATGGATTTCAGCATCAAATTGTTTCTTGTGGTCAAAAATGTATCGCTGACCGTAACTCATACAACGCAATTATTCTAATGAATAATTATTCAATTAGGCTATTCTAAATACTTTATAAACCCACACCGAAGTGTATATGTACGTAATTCTGTTCACAAATGATGCCAGTAAGAAGCAAGCCACCTCGTTGAGGCATACACGCGAACTGAAGAGCCAAACACATAAACAACCCTGTAGTATTTTTTAAAAGTTACATTCTATAGCTTGTTATTTACCAACTGTGTGTTCTGTTCACAGACATAAAAAGTGGTACCTATGTAGGAACAACAGTTGCATGCCCCCAGGTTGGCTCTGAGTCACATCTCTGTTAGGCCTACCGTAGCCTAAGTCTAGGATACAATTGCTCATCAGGGCCTCAAATAAACTGTAATGGACGGCTTGAATAAAAGTGAATGCGGATTCATTGTGAGTTGCGCTTTGAACAGGATTTTTCTACTTTTACAACACTTACTTCGTGTTGGACCCCCCAGAAAATCGTTTAGTAAAAAAGCAATTTAAATTAGACTAATGAGGTTCATGAGAGTGGGAGAAAATGTTTAATAGCAGTAGTACCCTATGTTTGTTCAGTAAATCAAGTTAACTTAATCTCTAGTAGAACATAATGCGTAGAGTTCAAAAAGGCTAGTTAAATTACGATTTTGTGATTTGTGTGTGTGCATAGGCCTACTGCGTTTTCCAGAGAAAAAAAAACATTAAAATTACTTAGGAACATTTAAAGTTGCCTTGATTACTCACGCATCAACATCATCAATTTTTCCGTAGATAGAACTTTCATTTCTCAGATCGACCGTTGTTGTTTTGCCTTCCATAGATTGCACCAAACATACCAGACCATTTAGAGCAAAAAACCTTTCTCTTGGTCCCAATTCTTTGGTCATATTCAATCCCGTATGCTACTTGGGTTCGAATTATTGGAAAGAATGCTTTAAGTTAAGTAAAGTAATTCTTGTTAAACTTGAAATTAAAACTACAGTAGAGGCAGAGAGGCCGGTGCTAACAGAATTGAGGTTATGTTTATTGTTTATGTTTTGTTGTTTTGTTTCAAGTTCAAGGTGGTTTTGTCGCGTCGCATCGCAAGGCGTTTTGTCGTAACTTCACGCTATGCATTATTTAAACCATGCAGTTTTACAGTCTTACTGTACACATTATTGAAGTTACTTTCTTTGATTTTGGATGTACGACCTACACCACGGTCACCTTTACACGGGGGATAATACCATAATAATACTCTAATTATAATTTTTCTTATTTTAAAATAAATCTTGCAATTTGTGCGTTACACTTTGTTTAATTTGACAAAAAAATTTAAAGAACCATATTTTGTAAATTTAAAAACCCCACAATACCTGGTTCTTATGACCCGATCTTGCTGGTTCGTGATCTCATTCAAATTCAAATTTATCCAATGGTGGAAGGAAGAACCAAAGGTGTGCTAGGCTATTCCCGTCATAAGCTGACGTGACGTCACCCAGATTGCAAACGCCATTTTACCATTTAGAAAAATTATAAAAATAATAACAATCAAATCAGAGCAAATATATACTTATATAGTTTTACAGTCAGGTGATTTTTTGTTTGGAATCTGGGTGACGTCAGCATATGACGAAAATAGCACACCTATGTACCTATTTTCCTATCCCACCCTACACCATCAAGATCAAGTCATATTTAATCAAAATCGGGCCTAAAATTCTCAGGTTATCGAATTCGGACACAAACATATTGTATGAGTTGACCCCTTGATACATAATATTGTGATCGGTTTAAATTTAGATCCACATGATTAGGTATTTTAATGGTAACTATAGATGATGCGCCTTTACATAGGCAAGAAAAGTAGATTAGTTTGCATTTATTTATATTATATAGTTTGTTTTTATCATAGACGGTATATTATGATCTTCAATCAGCTAAATCATTTGGAGACAACTTTAAAATATAAGAAAAAGTTAACATTTTTTGCATTTTTACTGATAAAATAAACTCTAAACATGCCTTTAATTGTTATTAGGTATTTAAACGACTAAAATCTTTGACTATTTGAATTAAAATTCAGTTAGTAGAGTAAAATTTTGATCGTAATAAAATAAATCTTATATTTGCTAATATGCCTTTTGCCGTATTTTTCAATGCTGATTGTGTGTTATTGATAAAATCTAGAAGTACACGTTACTCAAATACAAATAATCAATTTATGGAATAATATTAGCCAACCGGAGTTTATAGAAAAACTCACTTTATCAATAATCCAATAAAAGATTTAGGCCTAAAAGCTCCCAAGATCAAACCTCTATTTGCAAACGAATATAAACCCGCATTGGGAATGCACATTTAAAAATACCTACTTTCCCAGTACGGCAAGTAACAATATTTTGGAAACGGAGTCAGAATGTATTTTTAGAGATGTTGATGTTGCGACTACGTGGGAGGGAGGACGAAAGAGAGTGTAAATGTAGTCGAAGTAGAGTCGTACTCGTAGTGCTCAAGTGAGAGAGATCGCGAAAACTTGCCAAAGATTGCAATCGAGATATCGTAATTGGTCAATAGCACGCTGTACCGGTAACTCAATTCTAGCTCTATACAACTCGACCGTGGGAATGGAATGTCCACTTTTACAACTTCCATAGTCAAAGAACCACTAGTCAGAAGTCGTTTACTGTAGAATCGATACTAAACATCGATTACTCGCAATAGTGAATTCGACTACTGCTACTCGGAAGCCGCGCTTTGCAGGGGGGCGTGACAGCGTTCGTCATCGGTTTAGTTTGTTTTGCTTCCGTCTCTCTCTGTCCACCGCCAACCGCCAGTACAGTGGCTGAGTGGCTGTGGCGCAGTGGCTCAGTGGCAGTGGCGGCGTCGGCAGTTATTAGTGAAGCGCAGTTCAGAGTGTTGAGTGTTGAGTCATTTGTACAACAGCAACAGCTGATTCAGCCGAAATGCCATCTGACATCATAGCTCAGGTTTCTTTGTGTTTTGTTATGTAATTGTTAGATTTTCTACATAATGTAGTGTTAGTGTTTTGTTAATCATTTTAGGAAAGAATAATAAGAATATGTGTGCAAATAATAAATTTTTAAATTCTACTTTTAATATTTCCCACTTTATAAGGATTCTTATAAGCTATGTACTGTAAATAAGTAGTCCACTCCTAAACTAATAATTCTAAATTAGTCAATGCCATAATTCCTTAAATAATATACATATTGTTTTGGTTGGTTTTAGTATGTGTATGGCTCTGGGGAGTGGGATTTTATGTCACGGATTTTTCCCTTTTCCAGGTTTCTCCTATTTTGTCGGTAAGGCAGTTCAAACCCATGTATACCCCCTATTTTTGGGGCGAGGAATTTGATGGAACCAGCCTTTATACTTACAAGGGGGAAAAATACCCCCCAAATAAAAAAATATGATATTTTCATTAATAATATTTTTTCCAATACAAATACACCCTTTTTAACACTTACATTGCCCCCGTTTCCTCCAAAAAACCTCCTTTTTAACTAAATGTAATCAATATTTTTTTATTTACAGGAATGAAATAAGGCCATCAGCCGAAAATTGAGAAGTCTTTACATAACATATTATTGGTTGAATTTTTCCAGTAACCATTATACTCTTCATTCCAATTGGAACATAACTTTATCAGTTTTCAAATGTCATTATTTCATTTAAAATTTAGTACAGTATACAAATTGATTAACTTTACCATATATTTTAAAAGTTGCCTAAAATCTTAATGTTCAAAATAAAATTTTTATTTATAAAACAAAATCAGGCAAAGCCAAATAAACAATATTGACCTCTGGTAATTTACTGTGTAATGTTGTTGTATTAATAGTCAAAGGTAATACCGTACCAAACCTAGTATGTTTATTTTGAGCTGATAACAATTTTACCAATTGAATCATTTGAATGTTATATAACTGGAGTAGGATAACAATACAACTAACCACACAATTATTATTGTCCACTCCAGTCCTCTCTGAGGTGTCATGTTTCTGCTGTCACCTGTTTGTGCTTCCTGCTTATAATATCATTTCTGTCTCCTTCTATGGCCTTGTAACATCCAGTATTTTAAGGTCACCAGTATTGTGACAAAAAAGGAAGTTTCTGGAACTAGTTTCAACCTATGCACAGAAGATTAAACCTACAATATGTTTATTGTTTATTTATTAATTTATTATATGTAATTTTCCTACTGAAAAATTTACACAAACAGTATTGAATTATATTGTTTGGATTTCTTGTCAACAGGAGCTCTGAACCTGCATTTAAGCTGTCTGAACAACACACTTTTAGTTGTCCCTTAGGTGGAGAGAATTTCCTCACAACCTTGAGTCTTAAAAGCCTTATTTCTTGTCTACATAAGTTTTGATTTTTACACTTTTGACAACTAATCTTATACTAAATTTACATAAAAAATTTCAAATTTATAATTTACCATTGCATTTATAAGTAATAATTTAAATAATAAAACTTTAATTATTTCATAATTGCAGCTACGGTATTTAAAATATTCATCACCATCCATTAAGTGAGAGATTTTTTAATAGAAACACTCAAGTAGTTTTTTATAATAAATTTTGATAAAATTTTTAAGTGCAATAAAATCATGCCCATTGCATGAAGTAAGTAACAGCGTTGACTTTATATTGGTAACAGCTATTTTCTTATTCAATTCCAAAAATCAATCAAAGAAGTTTAGTTCAGACTGCCTTAAAATCACACTCTCCTCTTTGATCATCTATTGTCCTTCCTTTTTGATTTTATACGGTATTTGTAGTGTTTTTTGTCATTTTCAAAATACTGGAAGAAATAAATATAAATTTATGTTTTTTTCTATGTCAATACAATTAAGTTTTCAGGTTTACTAATTCTATTTTTATTTCTTCAGTTTATGCAAGATGGGTTTCTTGTACTTGAAGATCTCTTTACAGAAAATGAAGTAAATGAACTGAAATCAGCTGGAGATAAGTTGACACAGGAGATTCCTACGGATTGTCGCAAATGTGTTTTCAGTACAACTCAAACCCAACAGGTAAGTGCTTTAGCTTTCATATCTTTTAAATACAAATCAAAGTTGGTAAATTGTTATTTTTAAATTAAAATCAAAATAATAGTATATTCATCACTAGGGCGAAAAGTGACTCTTTTCGACCCAAGCTCAAGTTTTACGCTCGAGGCAAAGATGAGACAATTGATCAACAATATTTTTCCAGTATGCTATAAATAGGAGGAGAAAGTAAAAATAATTATTGGTTTGTATTAATTACACTACAAGATTATGTGCTTGTTCTGTCTATGATTGGTTTGTCATTAGGCAGCCTCCATTACTGAGTTAAACTGTGACTAGATGACTATTATGGGCTCTCTGAGTAGTGAGTAGTGAATCCCTAGTATTTCTCATTAATAAACAAAAGAACAATGAGTAAGTGCTCAGTTAACATTGCATTTCCACCCAAACGAGCCAAAACGTTATAAATAGTTCAATTGAAAACAAATTTAAAACTGGGTGTTTGCCAGTTTTCTAAATAAACTAGGTAATTGAAACAAGATGGGTTTTCTCTTAAATTCAATTTTACGATTATGATTTATCACTTTTTTAGTTATCTTTCCCTTCAGTTTTCTTGATTGACCGTCTGTTGGTAATTAATTACATAACACAATGTGAACTTTTTCCATAGTTGTTTGTAGGTTTGTGAACTTTGTGCTTTCTATCTCAAGTCTCTTGATAAAACCACCAATCTTTTGTAAACTTTATCTACTGGAGCTAAGCTCTGAAAATTTATAAACATGGCTTGTGATTGACTTATGATGTTAATTCAACAATAATGTATAGATAAATCTATACTTATTTAATACGCAAGCAGGATTTTTGTGACAATTACTCCTCCAAAACTACTGAACCGATTGACATGTTTTTGGTGTCATTGGAGAGAGCGTAACGTGAAGCTGTGCAGGAAACTTTCTTTTTATGGAAATAATTAAAGAGTGAGGCCCTGGAGTCCTTTAAAGTTTCGTATTTCTCCATAAGATTAACATGGGAAACAAAAATTGTTATGAAACTCCAGCTGTTGTCAGAAATTAAAAGTGAGAAGAAGAACATATTATGTTAATTGAAAACAGCCAATAAGATTGCTAATTTAACAGTTTATTTGAACTTGGGGTTTAAATATTACAATGGAAAAAAGATAGAGAGCCTGGATAAATTATTGATATAATCTGTTATGTACATCTTAAGTATTTCCATAATCTTTGAGTCGAACCTTTTAAAGTCATCAGAAATTATGACATTTATTCGTTTTAAAATAACACCTGTAATACTTAGCAATTGCTCGAATTCGAGCAACAGGTACACTAGTATTAATTAATCCTTAAACAAATAACATTTCTTAAGTGGCGTTTTTCCTCCTTTAATGGAAAGTTTTGTTTTGACCACTGTGAAGTAGGGCCATATTCAATTAAGCTACAACAGAAAACACGTGAGTTTTTATTTATTTTATACAAATTATAATTTTTGAAGCCATATCCATAGAGTTTTTCTAAATTTTGAAATATCATCAGAGTATTTTAATGATGAAGTCATATATTATAAAAACTTAGGTCCTGTGTCTTATAAAAATAAATTATATAGTTTAAGCTATTGTTAAACGGGTCTTATATTGTTAATTTAAGTTGACTGGCCACAAATGTATGATAATTAATTTTAACCATGTATTAAATCAAGATGATTTACACGTAAGCTATAGCTATACGTATAGTAAGAATTCTAAAATATTCATTGCAGTGTGTACCTGGAAGAACCTTCAGGAGCATCAGTATAATCCCTTTTTGAACAATAAAACTTCTCTGCTTTCCCTGGAAAATCCCTATTAAACAAATCAGTATTCATGACCACAGAAAAAGCATTAACTGCAGTTTGTATATCTTATTTGGGTTTTTAACTCTAACTTTGTGTTTTCAGAGTAAAGACAAGTATTTCCTGGAAAGTGCAGATAAAATTAGCTACTTTTACGAAGCAGGAGCTTTAAACGAAGGTGGAGAACTGCAGGTCGATCCTTCCGTATCTCTTAACAAAGTAGGACATGCTCTTCACTGGCTTCATCCGACATTTCGGAAGGTTACATTTTGCGAAAGAGTAAAAGAGGTTTGTTACCAACTCGGCATGGAAGACCCTGTCGTCGTACAGAGCATGTACATCTACAAAAACCCAGGAATTGGTAGTGAAGGTAGGCTCCGCTATATTACAATGACTATAAATTTATAGAGAATTAATTTTAAATTAAATGTTTTTGACAAAAGTAGTTCTTTTTTTTGAAGTTCAATGTAAATTAATTGTAATTGAAGTAATTGGAAATTAGTTAATGTTACTCCGAACATTTTCCATATGATTAGTAGACCTTTGGATACACAAGTAACCTATACATGAAGAGTTTTAAGTACTTGATGACAACACAATTAATAGGCAATCTGTGTTTTTTTTTTTTTTCAGAGGTAAAACTCAACAATGGGTGAATATCAAAAATTTAAAATAGCTAAAATAAGTTGTAGGTTTCCTGTGATTATGGCAAAACTTTTGCCGTCACCTGCGGTCCACAACATCATCCCCCACAAACATCCTATTACACAATAATATCCCCCGCAATCATGGCAAAAGTGAAAACATCTTCCACAGTCCTGGTACATGGTAGTAAAACATCATTATCTTCATCCCCAATCACGGTAAAATCGAGAATGTCACCAATGTTGGACAGTGCTTAGATGGAGAGTGTTCCCACATTGGAAAATTTGCTTTAGAAACAATTCCCTACTTATTTTTTACGAGACCCTTTGAAGGAGAAAAATATTAAAAGGGTTGGGTTGTGAAAATTTTGTGTGCTATTAGCTGCATAGAATAATTTTTCTTGGGTAAGTTAAAAGACAAAATATGTTCCCTCCAATACAAAAGTAAATGCAAATATAACTCAATACCAATTACAATTACCAATTACCAATTACAAGACTTACACTTACACACAATAGCTACAAATATCTTAGTATACAATTTTTTAATAAATTGCCCCCTTCTGCAGTAACGATTCCAATAAAAAAATTCAAAACAGTCCTTGATTCATGGTTAAAATTAAAATGTTTTTACTCCGTAGATAAGTTCTTGTCCTTGGAGGTTTTAGATATAAGTTTTTAAATAATTTATTTAAGATCAAGCTTCCTGTTATTTATTATGACTATGTTTAATGCTTTAATGATAAGATGCTATTTGACAATGTCAATTGCTTTTGTAGAGCTGAAAGACAATAAAAAGATTTGATTTGATTTGATTTGAATAGAAAACAATTAAATAACAAATGTTTTATTATTATTTTTCCATGTCAAAATTTATTACAATATATTAAAGTGTTTTGCTTTCCAAAAAAAAAAACTCAATAGAAAACTACTTCCCAGTAGGTAACACTGCATTTTATTAGTTCCAACAGCTACCAAAGTGACTTATTTGGTTTTTTAGTTGTGCCACATCAAGACTCAACGTTTGTCCACACCGAGCCGAACACGACTGTAGGGTTCTGGATAGCTCTGGAAGACGCTACTCTGGAGAACGGTTGTCTGTGGTTTGTGAGAGGTTCACACTGCAGTGGTGTACATCGTAGGTTTATACGCAACCCAGACAATACCTCTGCAGACCTACTCATCTACGACAAACCACCGCAGATATATCCTAACTCAGCATTCCGGTCGGAACCTGTCAAAAAAGGTAATTTAGCTTTTTCCAAATAATCAATCTTTATACCTTTTGCAAGTTTTGTTTTCTTGTAATCTAATAAATCAGCGATGTTTACTTTCTTTTCTGTGAAAGGAGAGTTATTTTGTCTATTTACAATTGCTGTGTTATGCTTGTCCTTTATGAGGCAGTTAGATAGGCCAAGCTGTTGTGGTGGCATTTGTATACTAATTCAAAGGCTCAAATCACTTAATCTGCCGGATTAAATTAAAATTGTAAGCTATCAGTTATTTGCCACTTTCAAATGAAGGAAGTAGACAGGCTGGGTAGCTAAGTGGTCATAGTGCCTAACAACATAGACAAAAATAATTAAATATAGACCGTCAGCTGTGCTGCGGTTACCATAAGTTCTGGTGCACACCGCTGGGATCGCCACGGTAGTTACAGCGTACGCGCTACGTAAACTACAGCGGTGTGCGCCGGAACTTATGGTAACCATGGTAACCACAGCACGGCTGACAGTCTATATTTCATTCTTTTTGTCTATGCTAACAATTAAAAGTTTCCTGAGTGAAGTCAGTAGCTTTTTGATGGTTTGAAACTAGAACCAGCTGTTCCTGATCATTGGGCTTTAAATAAATGACCCTGACCAATTAAACAGCTGATTTGGTCAATAAAAAAGCTGCACAGATCATCACAGTCCATTTTACACCCAACCTTCACTCATATTTCTGTTAAAATACGCACATAGGTCGCGTCCCCAAGTTTGAGTCTGTGAAGATTTTTATTTTTCAATAATTTTTATTATCAAGGAAGGTAATTGGATCATTCATTTAGAGGCGGTTCACGAGTCACGGGTTATCCTTAGTTCGAGCGCAAAATCCAGTTATAGCCGGTTTTTTGCGCCGCGGCTTAGAAATCGGCCTCACGAGTACGAGGTTATTACCCGCGCTCGGGCGCAGACAGATAAACTTCACCCAATTATGACAGGGATAAACCCGAGCGCAAAAAGTCGGCTTCACGGGTTCAATTAGAGAAAACCCCGGGCCAAATGTAGGGTTCACGAGTCATGGTCTAGCACAAACTGTATAATCTCGGGCGTAAATAACAATGGTTTTGGACTTCAACTTAACCCTGCTAGGGGGCAGGGTTAAGGTGACATCATGTCGGGATTATCTCATTTGCTCGTTTATTGTTTTTTTGTTAGCAAAAAGAATTTTATATTCGGATTCGCCATTAAATTCCGAACAATTTCATTACCCTCAACATGATATTTATTTTTTTAATTTTTTTACTACTGATTGCCGAAAACATGTAAAACATCGTAAAAAGTAACTGTTGAGACATTTTAATTAATTATTACTAAGTAAAAATAACTAATAGCTTAACATATTCATATAAATTTAAATTGCAATCGAATCTTATTGCGTAAATGTTTTATATTTATTCTAGCAATTTTGAATCCTTTTATTTCAGCTGAATAATATCAAAATAAATGGTTCCATCAAACACTGTTAGGTTTGTCTAAGAATTTTTATTGTATAAAATTAGTAAAATTTTTTTCTTTCATAAAATTCATATAAAACATAGGTCATTTTTTTAAGTATCCAAATTTTATTTTGTATGTTTTAAATTATATGTTTATATTATTATTTTTAATATTTGTTAAAGAAAGACCTTTTCATCTGATAATGTCGTAATATTTGTCATATCGGGATTTAAAATAATTGCTTCAATTTGCTGAGGTAAAACAGGGTGTCCACAGAAATTTTGTCATCAATTTCCCTGACTTTCCATGACTATCCATGACCATTAACCATTGATTTCCATGACTCACGAACTTAACTAAAAAATTATAATATACGGTACACACACGAATAATACTGCCTCGACAAGTTATTTCACAGAAAATATTGAAATATGTATTAACAGATAACAATGGAGTACAATAGGTACAACAATGAACTAATACAAACTCAAAACCCATAAACTAAGACAACTGTATAAATTGAAATTGTCGTACATTTGTGAAAAATTCGGAAAAATGGTACAATAGTCGCGGTTACGGCTGACTAGAGCATTGAAAGGTCCCCTGAAATCCATCCATCATTGGGGATTTCCATGACTTTCCATGACTTTTTGCCTATTTCCATGACTTTCAATGACCAAAATTTTTTTCCATGACTTTCCATGACTATTCCTGACTTTCCAAAATGTGGACACCCTGTAAAAGATAAATTCTATAGTTAAATATACAAAATGTTGTATTACAACAAAATATTTTTTGAAAATTATAACCTGTTTTTACGGCTGTGCTCTACCCGTCTGGAGCGCGCAAATGTTCTTAGGGGTTTAGTTCTTAGGCCTGCTGTTTGTAGCCCCAATTGTGAACCGATTTAAAAGATCTTGGTGTCATAAAATGTTATTGTAGGTTTGCCATTTTATATTTACGTTTATTACTGTTTACGTATGAAGGCATCTCGGCTCCTATAATAGCCAGTTGTTGCTCCAAATTTATTTTTTATACAAATTACTGATACATAAAAGATATTCATAAATCTTTGAAAAGAGCAGTCATTTTATTAAATAGTTTGAACGTGTGGATACAACTGCAAACCTGATAAAGTATGTCTTATTTTTGAACATAATTGGTAATCAAATTTTATTGCAAACATTACCAAGATTTGTATAAACTTTTTTTTTAAACATAATGGCATTTTCCCGATTCAATGTATTCAGTAAAACTGTATTATTCATAATTCAATGATAAATTGAGTAACCTTAAACTTTAGTATAAAATGAATTCAAGTGCAACTCCACAACCTTTTATACGATATCAGTAAATACCCTGTTTAATTATAATAATTTATGAACCAATCATTATGACGCAACATCATCCTATTGTTTTGGGGCTCGTCGACCGCGAGCAGCGGCCCGGCAGGTGGCTGTTGCCAACCTCCCAACGAAAATTCCCAGTTAATCCCTGCTCTTGAGCGATGGCCAGCGTTGGTCTCGGCTAAGCTTGATCTCGGCTAACGCTCTATGTCGTGAACCCATTTTTTGACCGTCGGTTAAAATTGGTCGAGATCAACGATAACCGCGGACCACGAAACCCCGTACTCGTGAACCGCCTCTTAGAGTCTAAAATGGTGTAAATAGTAAATACTAAAAAATTCCAATGTTACAGGTACCTGTATTGTTATTCATGGACAAGTGGTGCACAAAAGTGAACACAACAAATCCCAGAAGTCTCGACACGCTTACACTTTCCATGTGATAGACGCGAAAAACTCAAAATACTCCCAAGAGAACTGGCTACAGACAGAGGAAGGATTCAAATCTGTGTACCAAAACTATTGAGAAAGGATTTCTTCTTACCATTATGTTTTTTAACTTCTGAAGTTTTTTTGTTGATCTCAATAAAAGCATATTTTACTACAACTAGCTGATCCGTGCGAAGCATTTACACTGAATCCTTCTGAAATCCCACTTATTTAAGTACACAATATACAGTTAAAACTGCCTAGTAAGTGAATCGTTGATTTAAGTATAGACACTTACTTCAGGAATAGATGTGGGTTTACATTTTATTTAGATAATTAACTTTTTTTAAATATAATTTATAACGATTTAACATGTTAACAGGGGACTTCACCATGTTTGAAGTAATAATATAGCCATATACGATATATAGTTTTACTGAAAAAGCCACAAATAACTCAATTTGTAAAACAACAGGGTCTGTCCTGTACAAACCTTCCTTCGTTAGCCTCTGTCCATGTGCCTTATTTAAAGCCATGGCAAAGGTAACCTTTACGGGAAATACCTTCTTAGTTTGAAAGGATTACAGACTATTACGTAGTATGACAGTTTGACCGAAGTCAGTCAGCTTTGCTTTAATTATGTAGGTGCCCACGTGTGCTACAACAAATCTTTGGACCCTGCTTAGGTTTCTTATCAACATGCTAATAGAGTTCTATTTAGCATGGGTTTTTAAGGTGACGAACCTAAAGGGCTCAATGAGTTCAAAAACTCTAATGGACATTTTAAGCACAGACTAAGTTTGTCGTCATGGGTGAAGTTAAAACAAAACACTCAGATTTGAGAAATAAATATTCATTTCTTTTGATTAATTTAACACGTTTCAGCTAATCGGATAACTTAAATAAACATTTTAAGTTTAAATTACTTTCAGAACAAAATTCTGCTTGGCTAGAAATAGAATTGTTACGTCATAGTGTTTACCGGACGAGTGTGGTCGTTCCCGTGCGAGACGAAGTCGAGTACGGGATTACCATACGAGTCCGGTACGCACATTTTGGACGAGTTACGTACGATAGTTTACGCCATACTACTAAATCTGTACAATTCTTATATATTTCCACCAACTAAAGGTCTAAAAATCACTAGTCCGCCACCTAAATACAGTATAATCAGCTGATTGGTGTCCGGTAAAACTCATTGCAGCACAGTAGTACGCAATGAAACCCCATTTGAATAAGCTGGCGGCAAACAGCTGTTTTCTGGACTAAATCCTTGCGTGGGAAGTTCGTCAAAATAATGTAGTGTGGCGTAAAAAACATTGTCAATGTTTTGTGAGTAAGCTAGCAGAATAGTTTAATGATGACTCTGCTAGCTGCTGACCTACAGAAGACTGTTGCTTTACTGATAGTAAACTTAATCAGGGTGTTAGATAGTGAGATGTTGCATGATTGAGAAAAAGAAACTCGTTGGAGCTGGAGTCCAAGACATTTCGCTTTGTCCAGGTAAGGTTACGTTTTAGTTTTTATAGATTCTAAGGTTATTTAAAAAATGGAGTTTGTGTTATATAGTTGGCATTTTACAGAGTACTTACTTTGGATTTTCATTATCATTTTGTGTATTCTTCACCATACTCAGATAAAAAAATTTAATTTTCCTACAGTTACCTAACAATGTACATGTTCTCTCACTGATTTGAGAAAGCAAAGTGGCCAATTCGCTCATCAGTGAGACAATGTTAACATTGTCTCACTCTAATTACTTTGTCTCACTCCAGATTTGCAACGTGAAGGCACGAAATAGTGGGCGCTTAACATGCAGGCAACGTCGGATGCGAGCAAAATACGTTGGCAGCACTGGCTGTAAATCAGCTGGTCAGCTGTTGTACTGTTGTATTTGTCACTTCACATTAAATGTTATATTAAAAGTTCACTTCTGTGTAAAAATAGGTTATGTTTCTTCACCAATTTATTTGTTTTATGGTAACTGTAGGAAAAGTATAATGTGCAACTCGAGTTCAAAGTACAATTGCCTCACTCGAGAAACCACTCCTCACTCGCCTACGGCTCGTGAGTAAGGATTTCTCTCGAGTGAGTCAATTGCTCACTTTTCTCACTAGTTGCACAAATAACTATTGTTTTGTAAAAGAACTTCAAGGTAAATTTCTGGGTAGCCAGGAGTCGTTTCCTACATTGCACTCTACAAGGTAAAGACAGCCGAGAATATTATAGTGATTGAGTGGCAACAACATAATGTAAGTTGAAATACAGGGTGTCCCGGAACTCTCTACCAATATTTTAGGGCATTGCTCCTGGGTAAGAAACATACCTAAATATCATATTTAAATTGTCTGGAAGTCCTTAGATACTCACACAGCCGCCATTTTGTTTTTTCAGTTATTAATTTTTTTCTAAAGAATGGTTAAACATACGAAGTGGAAACTTTGCACAAACATTAATGACAACTAGACAAAGCTACAAAAAAATTATGAAGATTTTTCAAATTCATAAAACAAAACGGCGGCCATTTAAATTTTTTATAAAATCAACGGTTTTTCAGCTATTTAAGAAACAAAATTTTAAATGGTCGCCATGTTGTTTTATGAATTTGAAAAATCTTCATAATTTTTTTGTAGCTTTGTCTAGTTGTCATTAATGTTTGTGCAAAGTTTCCATTTCGCATGTTTTACCATTCTTTAGAAAAAAATTAATAACTGAAAAAAACAAAATGGCGGCTGTGTGAGTAACTAAGGACTTCCGGACAATTTAAATATGATATTTAGGTATGTTTCTTACCCAGGAGCAATGCCCTAAAATATTGGTAGAGAGTTCCGGGACACCCTGTATAAGTACTTCACAATTCAACTTACTCTCACAATTGACTACTTTTTATGTTTTCTTAAGTTATTCTTTTATGTGTTGTTATGCTTTGGGTTTGAATTCAAGCTGGATACTTCTATACTTCGTTCACAATATTTAGGCGGTTTTAGGTGAACAAAGTATGACAACAATAATTATACTGTCCGTCACTAGTTAAAGTGTGCTTATTTTATAAGCTGTTCTTTTATGAGTTTGGGCCAAGATGCATTTATTTACTAGAGTTATATTGAATGAAAAATGCTTCTCCACTGCAAACCTTATTGAGAAAAATATAGACCTCTAAAAAATATAGATCAGGAAAACTAGAGCATTATTAGGAGGGAAATTATAATCCCTTGTATTCACTTGGGTCCAATAAAAGTCCAATACTCTGTAAAAAGTTTATTTTTATAAAAGTAACAAAACACTTAAATAAGTAGTAATACCATCAGGTAACGAAACAATAGTTGTAAGTCCAAATAATGCACAAATACAAACACTAGCCTACACTAGGAACTTGAAAATTAAATGTCAACACTCGATACAGATATACTATCATAAAACCATGTTAAGTAACAAGAAATAATACAATAACAATGAGACAGTTCATGACTTAAGTGTTTGTTTAGCCAATATTACATTAAAAGTTTTCTCAGCAACATTCTGTCAATTTTTTTTCATTTATGAATGATCAGTAAATCTTAAAACACAGGTTTTCTTACAAAATAACACATAACTAAATCTGTGTTAATTCTGATTAACCTAGTGAAATAAAATTTATAAATTTTTTTAACCATATGAGAAGGTAAAATAGAGTCTGAATTCCTGAAGCTATAATAAACATTACATAGCAGTTATATTTTTTAACATGTGAGAGGTGATAAGAGGTTAGACAGGGAATTGTAGGTGAGTTTGTTAACACACCTCTACTAATATGCAGTCTAAAGAATGGTTAAACAGACGCTGATGTAACAAAGCCAAACTTAACGTGGTTTTCAATTTTTAATGTCTTATAAATAACAGATCATTTAGATCCTATCAACAAACTTTATTGTGCATCATAAGGCACTTTTAAATAAGTGTAATATTTTCATTACTAAGCTATCAACAAACTTCACAACTAATCTATAAAAACAGGTACATCTGTTACAGTGGCTGGTAAAATGGTCCATTCATTTTTCCTTGGAAGGACAGACGTTACTTAGGTTTTAATGTACAGTTGAATTCCAACTATCCAAATCGATAGAGACCGTAACACGTTGGGTGATAACAAATTTGGATGTTTGAAATTTTACTCTAATTTAGAGAAAATAGGCTCAGTAGAGCCGAGATTTTAAAATTGTAATCGCAGAACGCGCCATTAAAATATTTCATGATTCAAAATTTACCATTTTGTTGCGATCGCATGGGACGATTATCATGTTCCGTGACTTCGGGAGACAAAGGTGATATCTACAAGACTGAGGAGTATATTCAAGATTTTGACACAATTGCGGAAAAAGATGAGGTTGTTTCCATGGTCGCAGGAGACGATGATAATTTCTACAAGATCGCAGATAATGATCAAGATTTTGCCACGATTGCGGAGTATGATTACTAGTTTCCATGATGGCGGGAGACAATGTTGATGTCTACAATACCGTGGAAGATATTCTAGATTTTGCCACGATTAGGAAAAACAATGAGAATGTTTTTGTGACAGCGAAAGACAATACAAAAAAAAACCGTGAGAGAGTTTTTGGATTTGCTGTGATCACGGCTTCTACCTCCTTTAACCATTCTTATTACTGTGGTTTTAGGTTTTTTATTACTTTTCTGTAAGTGATTCGGATAATGCTCGATTCGAATAGTTGGAATTCGGATAATTGAGAGTTCTACTGTAGTAGGCCTGTGGACAAGTAAGAATAAAGAAAATAAGCCTGTCTTTTAAAAGATACATTTCAATACCTCATTAGATGCATAACGTCGCAAACCTTTCAAGTGAGCTCTTAAACTTTTTTACTCATAAATAGCCTTATCTCAGCATGTAAACTGCCTCTGCTAAACAAAAATGTAATTAACATATACAGCCAGTAAAAATGTAAACTTTAGGGACAAACAAAATCTTCAAGAAACTCAAGCATTATTCAATGTTAAAGCACAAAACAGCTCAGAATCAGATCTAAAATGAGTATAAAATGGAACGGCTTCAGTAAATTTTTCAAAAAGCGTCATCACTCAGGTCAATCTTATGTGAAGAATAAAATAACCTCACGTAACATTGTGTAAGAAACGGCAAATTTTTACTGTAAGAGATTCTAATGTCTAACAAGGAATTACATTTCAGTAAAGGGTCAAACATCTCACTTATCATCTCGGTTGGGAAAGTAACAAGATGTATCAGCATTCCTCAAATGCAAGGTTTTCACACAAGCCGCAGTGTTGTAGTAGTGATCATGTCTTTTACAAGAAATCATGAAAACATTCGGAATATCCAAGTTACTTGGGATGTTTGAATCATATTTCAGGAATAGCTTTGCTATGTGGTGGAACATCTAATACCGATCTGAGATAACTTTCATACACCAGAATCAAGCTATTTCATGTCCTCAACCACCGAGACATCTGCTAAAAAATAACAAAGAACTCAAAATATCCTTTTCAATTTTAGACGTAACTTGCACAGTTTCACTCAGTAAAACAAAAGACGTTCATTGACACAGCATGTTCAACGCTACAAACTTTGTCCTCCGGTTACATCATTTCAGCTTTTATGGTAGAACCATCTTACAAAAGAGCCTTGTACTACAAACATTCTCAGAAAGGAACACATCAAGGCAATTTTTGGTTTCTCCAGCAGCCATCTGGAAGACAGCACTGACCAGATGGCTGCTGGAGAAACCATACTTTGAAGAAAAGGAATTTCTCACACTAATTTGTATCAACAAATACAACTAATTTGTATATTTTTTTTAAAGACTGTACTATTCTCAAAACATTATTCAAATCTGAATACTTATTATGTATCATGAAGATTATTAATTATCAGTTATCTACTGAGGATTGAAAGCTATCAATAGAGAGCTTTTGAGAAAAAACTTCTGAAATTGCTCAAAGAACATCTCTTCTTAACTGAAAAGCAACAATCACAATAAAAAGATAGAATAAATATATAGGATGGAGAGGACACAGCTAACTCACCTAAAGAAAGGTTGCAGACAAGTCAAAGAACACATAAAAACACACACATAATAATACTTGATATTTCGCTTATTAAATTACTTGATATTCCAGTTTTTTTGTTGTCTTTGTAACTGCCATCTAGGCCTACTTCTGAAGAAGCCTCTGAAAGAGGCGAAATATCAAGTATTATTATGTGCGAGTTTTTATGTGTTCTTTGACTCGTCTGCAACCTTTCTTCATGTGAGTTAGCTGTGTTCTCTCCATCCTATAGTTATTTAATCCAGGCTAAATGCTTTTTCCTAATAACATAACCTTAAAATAAAAAGAAACATTTCTAAAGCTATTATTTTACTTTAATACATTTGCTTGCTGAACAATCCTACTTTAACTAAATACTTTTATGATTATGAAAATTGAGACTTTAATCACTAAACATCCTTGACTACAATCATAACAAAATAAACAATTAGAGACTGTTCACTAACAAGTCATCTATACAGTAACAAACTGTTTACAAAATGTACATTTAACATTTAACGATCTTATGGCTAAACTGTTTCTATTTTAAGTTTAAGTATTAATGTATAAAGTAAACAATGTAATTTTGCAATCTATTACAATCCAGTGATTCTGTGCTATTGTAGACAAAAAGAATAAAATATAGACTGTCAGCCGTGCTACGGTTACCATAGGTTCCGGCGCAGACCGCTGTAGTTTACGTAGCGTGTACGCCGTAACTACATGGCGCTCCAAGTGGTTGCGCCAGAACCTATGGTAACCGCAGCACAGCTGACGGTCTATAATTAATTCTTTTTGGCTATGGTAGGCCTAATATATGTTATATGCATGTGCTAGAAAACGCTGTTATGTTTAAAATCAATCTAACATCTGTTCAAACCCTAAATATAGTTTCTATATGAGCAAAACTTGTGTTTAAATAGGTTTAGATAAGGTCAATATTTGACATTGATAAGGTCAATATTTGAGAATTAGTAACTTTAACTTATCTTCTTCCAACATATCAATTTGAAACGAAAAACTTGTTGTTGGGGTTTATATTTCTAAATACTAAGGTTTTCCTTACACTACTGTCAAAAGCTCATCCAAATATACAAGGGCCGTTCGGAAAGTAACCTTCATTTTGGGTCACTGTGGCCATTGCTGTACTGACGTGTGCCTTGAAAAGGCGCGTCTATTGGTGTCCGGTTGGTTAGGTAGTAAGTGATATTTTTTTTTGTTTTTTCCAAGAGAAAGGTATTTCAGGTTTCCATAAGTTCAATGTTCTTCCTGTAACAGAGTGACCTGATAATTACTTTAAAAATAATTAGTGAGAATACGGAAAACCAGAAGCAAGTTGTAAAACCCTCCAACAGACAAATTTGAACAATTGAAATTAAGATTAGAACCAAGAAAATAATACCGGATAAGGTTTGTTGTTACATCATAGACTATTTGGCAGACACCTCTTTTTATATCAATTTACTGTTGTAATCTAATCTATAAATATATATATCAAATTCTGTAAGCCCACAATTTTACAATGAAATTGTGAGCGAACGGGAGGCCGTAGAAAGATGGGATGGGTCTCATTTTAAAGGTTTGGGCATGGAATTTTAGGGAAAATTATTCATTTTTCTTAATTATGCACCAAAAGGTTGGTACGGAATAAAATAATTCACATTTAAATAGCATAGTAATCCAAGTCATTTCTGATTTGTTTACTTTAAAACATGTGGTTTAACTTAATTTAAAACATATGGTAATATGTAATATATCTATATCTATAAAAGAGGAACTATGTATGTATGTATGTGTGTGTATATACGTTATGGACTCCGAAACCGCTCGACAGATTGTAATGAAACTTTCAGGCATTATTAAGCTTCTTGCAAAGATGGTTCGAGTGAAGTTTGGTGCAGATCCGTCAAAAGGGTTCTGCCCCAGAGGGTTTTAAGTGGGCCAATGTCAGACTTTTTGATCTACATTGTTTACAAATAAATATAATTTAAAAGCAGATGTTTACTTTCACCAACTGTTTTGTAGGTTTGAATAATCACAACATTCTGTATTAGCATTAGTCATGATTTGAAATAGTGCCACAGTGTTTCTACAGATTGCAGCACAGAAAACTATTTTACTTTTGAATAAGTCCAAATGTATTAAACCCCAATCGCAGCACACCTGTGCACTTAACAACGTTTAAATTCTTCAATGTTAAATATTAAAACATAAAAACCTTTATAAAAGTACTGTATGATAAACAATAAAAGGGATGACTTTTTTAAATGTATGACAACAGCTAATTTGCAACCAAAAGGTGAGTGAGCGTAGCGAACGAACATCAACCTGGAGGCGAGTAAGCGTAGCGAACGAGCTAACCTGAAAACAAGTGAGCGCAGCGAACGATTTCCAACCTGAAGGTGAGTGAGCGTAGCGAACGAACTTCAACCAGGACGTGATTGAGCCATGCGAATACTTATGAAGTTAAGAGGGGCAAAGCCCGCGGGTACAGCTAGTACTATTATAAAGCTGAAATCGGCTGAAATAGACTTTTTCCCAATTTTAAGGGTCTGGATTAGTTAATAGAGTACGATTGGCTGTGTTAGGTATGTATGAAAAAAGTGTAAAGTTATAAGTAATTTACTGGAGTAGGCAAAGGGAACATATTTTTCATGCCAAAAATAAAACTAATATCTACAGATCCTAATATAGGCTATGCAGTTTCAATTCCATGATTTCAAGGATTCAATTCCCACTGCGGTTAGCTTTCGCCATTACTTATTATTAAGGCGCAAGGCCAAACTTTCATAAAAGTTGGCATTTATTTGGGGGAAAAGTCAGTTTACCCATGGTCAATTTTATGCTGCTTTTAACCGCGTATAGCGGCCAGGTGATGTTAAAAATAGTACTACAACCAAATAAAGATCAAGGAATCGGCCAAAATGGATACTAAACAAATGTTTTTTTTCAGAGAGATTTTGTTATAGAATTAGGTTTTTACAACTTGGAGGATGACATTATCTCTATATTTAAATGAATTCGTCTATATTCAAAGAAATTTATAGATATTAAATTAATAGTTATGAAGATTATTATTAAAAATGTTCCTTAGTTGTATTATGATTAGAACGTTTATATTATAATTATAAACACAACGCACGTCTTTTGGAATTTTTATTTTAAACATAGCAGACATCAAAATGTATTATGCAAGTATGTAATGTTATAGTTATAGATATTATAATATACAAAAATGTTAAACGATAATTCAGGGTAGGGTACGGTAACCTATGAGACTAATAAATTGTACAAAATAATTAATAGAATACATACATACCGTAGGGGCTATTGCCCCTACAAGCCACTAGTCTAGTTATAAATTTGCATTTTTGTTATGTAGGTATGAAGATTTAAATGATAAACTTTTTGACTTAAGATTTGAATTAGGGTAAACCAAATATTATTTTTATGCTATTTTTATGTCATAAATCTTGTTTTAACATATTATTTGTTTAGGACTTACTGTACATGATAGCAATTTATTTTTTACATGTTAGACAAGAGATGTCATAAGAAGCAGAGTTTTGCTTGATGAAAGCTTGCTTCAGGACGTTATGCATTAACTGCTAAAAGCAACTTGGGTAACTTTAACAATAATGTTTTACATACCAGTGGTGGAGGCCATGAGGCGGCCGTTACAGTTGAACTCTGTCAGACTGGTGATGAGGTTACAGGTGGAACCAAACTCATTACACAGCTTGCCTGATGAGGCGGAAAATACATCAACACTGCGGAGGCGATCAAAACTTGTGAGCTGAACAAATAAACTATCAGTTACCATTATGTTCCTCCCATCTAAAGACAGAATCAGACTTAAAATCACAAGACTTTAAACTTCTGTTTTACAAATCACTTAATCAGTGATGGTAAAGGTCTACAACAATTCTTTAACCAACATGAACTCATCACTAAAATTAACTTATTGTAAATTAAACAGTTTCAATGTTTATAGGAAATAAGCAACTTTTTATCAATGTTGGATAGTAGTTTCGGTTTGAAAGAAGAACAGAATGAGCCATAAAATGTAATTTGTTACTGAGTAAAATTCTAAATCTGTGATTAATAATAAAAAAATTAAAAAATGTAAGTGATAAAAGTGATGATATGATTGGTTGCTTACCTTAGGGTCAGGGTAGCGTCCTACGACAAATAAATCTGCACGAGGATGCCAGCTTGCCTAGGGAATAAAACAACTGTTAGGTTAGAAATACTCTAATTGCCTGGAGGGAAATACTGAGAAACTGTAACTGTTCCATATTCCAGATGGGTCCGCGGAATTGGCTGACTCTGGAACTCGCTAACCCCATGTTAAACGCCCTATCTTCAAATTTGGTCGATGGGAGGAACTCGCTAACTTGTTCGGTTTCGGAATTGGCTAACTCCGGAACCCGCTAACCCGCTCTAGAGCCGGGTTAGCGAATTCCGTCCTCGTACGGAAGTCGCTAACTCGGTCCCTCGGCGGAACTCGCTAACTCCCAATCAGAAGCCTCGCGGGCCGTCCAATGGGAGCCAAGCACGAAGATTTTTGGCCAGTGTTGCCGAAAGTGTAGTACCTATATCGTATCGGTACCATAATGTCGTATCCTACGAATAATTAGGAGTAAGGGCAACGTATCCGATAAAATAAATATATTTAGAAGTATTTTAATATTATTCTTATGGTTATTAGGGTAGAAAATGCATTATAGTCTTACCATAGACTAACCAACACAAGTAAACTTTACATCCTATTGTAAACTTTGAAGTTCGTTTTTCGTGTCTAATTCATGTCCGGTGACACTGATCGCTAGTGTCGACGAAATTGTGTTTCTATTATTTTATAGTTAACTTCATGATTTGTTCTTTACTGTTTGGTTATATAAATAGGGTACGTGTTATAAGTTGTGATTAATACGTTTTATTTGGTTAAACGAGGTTTTAAATTACTGAAAACAAGAAACAATTGTAAACAAAACACGACCTCTAAAGACAGTGCACCGGACATAACTACTATGAGAAATGTACTAATATAAGGGATTAAGGGAGTATGTTTTATATGTGGTTTTCTTACTTAAATAGTAGTTTATTGGGATGCAAAATGATAATACTGTACATTTAATTAGGATATCATACATGTTATAAAATATCTATTTTCGTAGTCCACCATTTGTTTCTTTTATTCGAATAAATACCATTTTGTTAACTTCTGCAATAAAATTATTAAGTTCGTATTTTATATACTGGGCTCGTAACCTTTAATCATAAAATTGAATCATAAATCATGATAAAATTTACACGTTAAACGTCATTACAGAAATGCATTGCAGTGGTAATTTATTTAAAAATAGAGCTATTGAATTTAAATAAATATTGATCAATACATTATAAAGTGGTAGGCCTAATGTATTAATGGATTGCATAACAAATTTGTCTATGCATAGATACAAATTGCAAATTTCTATTATCGTAGGCTATTAGGCCTACTGTAGTGTACAACCCGTGTCATTCTCTTAATTTTGTTTAGTTTTTTACGTCTTTCAGTAGGCCTACTTTTTAAAAGTTTTGAGTTTTTATGGTTCTAAATGGACCCAGGCGTCAGTGGCGGTTCTAGGACCTTGCAAGGGTGGGCCACCGGGGGGCTTGGAGGGTGTGGACTGTGGGTGGAGCATTGGGGGGTTCTCCCCCGGGAAAATTTGGAATTTTCAAAGCCGTTTGGTGACTTTCTAAAGCCATTTTTAACACCTAAAACCTTGCCTAATTGTCCATAAACTCCGCATTTCACCTGTTGTTTGTCATGAGCAAATAGACATTTTAAAAATTAAACCATGGCGATTGCATATTGCATTCATGAATTTCAAAAAACTGTAGACTACGGCCATATCCTCCTAAAAAAGCCGTTGGGTGACTTTCTACAGCCAGTTTTAACGTCTAGAACTGTGTGCAAAACCTCCCATTTCCCCATTTTTATTTGTCATGAATAAGTAGACATTTTTAAAACTAACTATGACGATTGCATTCATAAATCTCAAAACATATTGTAGGCTACGGCAATATCGTCCAAAAGGCTGTTTACTGACTTTCTAAAGCCGTTATTGATGTCTATTTGTGTCCAACTGTCCAAAAACCTGCCATTTCACCTGTTATTTGTCTTTGTCATGAGCAAGTAAGTAGACATTTTAAAAATCAAACTATGACGAACTTGTATTCATGAATTTCAAAACATAGGCCTACTGTAGACTACGAAGCCATATCTCCTAAAAATAAGCCATTTGGTCACTTTTATATGGCCATTTCTAACGGCTAGAACTGTGCTCAATAATTATCCTAAAACCTTCCATTTCACCTATTATATGCTTTTTATATGACATGCAAGCAAGTAGATACGTTTTTTAAACTTATGTTTTTCTACAGTCCATTTCATAGATCTGTCACAATATGTATAGTATCGAATTCAGTACCGGTAATAGCATTGACTATACAAAACTTTAACATTAGTGTTAATATAGTAAATGGTAAAAGGCTACTGGTGCTACCGCTGATTGCTGATTGATTCCTGTGGCCTGTGTAAAGTTAGTGGCTAGCAGACAATTTGACAACTATGGAACATCAGGAAATCAGCTGTTTTCCCGTCCTTGTATGGTCCTTGCTCGCGCGCTCGGCGCTCGCCTTTGCCCTAGCATGTCAACAGCTGACTGCTGTAAAAATTGGATGATGCATATAACCACAGCCACCTCTGTATAACTAACTTTCCTTTGCGTAATATTGTTTTATTTGCGGTGCTATTGTCCACAAAGTTGATCTATGTGGAACTTAATACTACTCCTGCCATTGCTTATTAAGTTTAATAAAATCTACATTGATGTCTGTTTTATGACATTGTGTGTTTTAAGGGCGAAATGTACGTTTAAATTTATTTTTCCAGGGTCCAAGGGGGGGGGCTTTAGCCCCTGTAGCCCCCCCCCCCTTGGAACCGCCACTGCCAGGCGTTCTTGTTTGTTACCATTTTTATGAATGGTGGCTATAGCTAAAACTACCTGATCTTATCTAAAAACAAAGCTATTATCTATTGAGTAGCTCAGTAGGCCTACCGGGGAACGGGGAACCGAGCAATGGCTTGGTATACACTCGATTATAAAAACAATATAAAGGAAACCCAACACTCAAATCAGGAAAATCCGTCAAGTCGTTGATTAAGAATCGTGAATTAAAATAACCCTGTTCCGTTTTATTATATGTATTAGTATTATATCTTCTCCTATTATTTACTAGAGGTGCATAGGTGTACAATCTAAAAACTGTTTTAAAACATGTAACATTATTACAAAAAAATTCAACACATTTTAGAATTAGGCAATTATTTACTAGTAGACCTACAATGCTTTGGTTTAAACTATTAGGCCTAGATTTAGGCCTAAGCTATTCTATAATTTATTTATGAAACTTAGTCTATGTCATATTTTTTACACGTAAGTTGGAAGATTCAACGACGAACATTTAATTTTAAATCTATGAATTAGTTATGAAAGTTACAATGGTTGATTACTGTATTAATTGATGGTTTTGGTTTATTACGACATTACGATTAAATTTGTTTTCCGTGTTTGAGAACTTGCGTGTATTTTAGCTTAATTTCGTAGATGTTTAATTATTTAGTACCAATTAAACTGAATTTTCAATATTTTTCATATTTTATTATTTTTTTTATACTGATAGCATTTATGTTTAAGATCAAAATCATAAACATTTAATTAATTGGCCATTGTACAGTTCAATAAAAAAACACTTTTTCACTACTTTTTAATTGTCTTTTAATTACTTTGGGCTAGTTATCTGTTCAAAGTGGAGTTGATAACAAAAAAACAATAACGTTTACTGTATCTTCATTGACACTGATATTTTGAAATAAGGCAGTGTACGATTATTTCGTCGTGCAAGGTTGGCAACCCTCCATGCAGTGGGCGTGGCTGGGTTAGCGACTTCCAGAGTTAGCAAATTCCGCCGCGAGACAAAATCGAGTTAGAGGGTTCCGGAGTTAGCCAATTCCTGACTGAGACGGTTAGCCAGTTCCAGAGTTAGCCAGTTCCGACACACGACCGAGTTAGCGAGTTCCTGAGTTAGCCAATTCCTACGACTCTTCCAGACCTCAGGTTGTTCAGTGGAACCTTACTAATTTTTTTCCTTTTCAAGTCTGACATTATACAATAAGTCTGATACAGTAGAACTCAAATTATTCGAATAACCAATTATCCGAATTGCTTAGAGAAATAATTTAAAACCACAGTTATAAGAATAGTATTTAAGAAGGCAGAAGCTGTGATCCCGGCAAAATCCAAAACCAGTCTTGCGATCGTGTTTACACCCTCATTGTATTCCGTGGTCACGGAAACATCGTCATTGGTTTTTGCGATCGCGGCAAAATAACATATATATACCTCGGTTGTATAGACACCATCATTGTCTCCCATGGTCATGGTGTTATTTTAAATATATCCCATGGGAGTGTAGACATAATTGTTTTCCGCCATCACGGTAACATCGTCATAGTTTTTCGCGATTGCGGCAAAATGTTAAACATATCTCACGGTCGTGTTGACACCATCATCATCTCCCGCTGTCACGGAAAATCATAATCGTATCCCAAAATCGCGGGGAAAGCGTAAAATTTCCGGTCGCAAAATCGTCAAAAACGCGTTCTGCAATCGCAATAGTAAAAGCTCGGCTTGACTCAGCATTTTTTCTTCAAGACTCTAAATTTCGGTAAAAATTAAATTATTCAAATTTTCGATTTCTGAATGGGGTCTGGTCCCAATTGATTCGGATAATTTGAGTTCTACTGCACTTTAAAGTAGAACTGTGTTTTATGAAAGTGTGAAAAATGTGCTCTTGAAAATTTTTCTCGCAAAGTGTGATATTTTACAAGTCATTGCATTGCTATTGGACATAGACAGTGTCTAACATTCTCAGATATCAGCAAAATCAAAATCCTGGGTGCAGCAAGAAAAACTCTAAATTAGTTTCGATCCTACGTGACGGATGGATTTAAATTTTTTGAAATAACTTATAACAATAAAAACCAATCAAATATCAAAAACTCAATCTCAGCTGAACAGTGTAAAATGTGGAGTACCCCAAGGCTCTGTTAACTAGCCAGCTAACAGCTAGCTATGTTAGCTATGTTAGATGTTAGCTAGCTGTGTAGGTAGTACTTTTACTACCTAAAAGGGATGGTTAAAGGACTTCTACCTGAGCTGAGTAGGAATGTTCCAAATTTTCCAGAAAAGTTCCATCCAGAAAGAATAAAATATCTATTGCTGGCTCCATCTCCTGAGGAAACAGAAATTTGTGCTTGTGGTCAATTAAATAACAGTTGCAGTTTTCCAAAGAGAAACAATGTCACACAATGTGTCAGAGATTGTGGATTATAGTTATGATGACATTGTGTTAGGTACACATTACAAAATTTATGATTATTAAAAGCAAAACTGCTTTTCTACTGATAATCATATCAGGCGTTAAAACTCTTCAGTTTAAAAAAATGGTGTTATAATCCCTATAAAAACCTCTTAATGATAAGCTAGGGGTCTATTGTATAATAAGACTGGCGTTTCACAGTTAAATTGCACCAAATATTAAATAAAACAAACAAAATCGTGCCCGATCCCACATTGAAAATCATGGAGGGGAAAAAAAACTTGAGTTAAATAGCTGAAATATAATGATTTTTAGTTGTAAAATGAGGCAAACATGGCTAGCTTAGCCTCATTCTACCCCATTTTACAACACAAATCGTACATTTCGGCTATTTTTTATTCAATCTTTTTGAGCTTGGCATCTTAAGATAGGAAATTAAAAAAGCTAAATAAAAGTGTTCTTGACATTTTTTTCATAAAATAAGCCATATGTTAGTAATTTAAGTTTAAAGTTTTTAAATATGCCACCATTTTGTTCATTTAAAAGAAAATAAGATAATTAATTTTGTTTAAATTGCCTCTTTGCACAATAAATTGTATGTGTAAAGTTTGGTTTCCGTAGCTTGAATAACTCTTGAGATATATATAAATTGTTTTGTAAAAAAAATGGCAGCTAGTGGCTAAACCAAATTGTTTTCGACCAATGTTTACATGAACGTAGCAGCCCCTGAAGTTTGTGACACCCCTTTATGAACACCCTGTATTTCACTCATGAGCACTTTCAAATTTCCTTTAATTTTCCTCTCTGCAGATCTAAAAAAAAAAAAAAATTAAAAATGGTATGGGGAGAACAAAAATATATACAAATTATTCTCAATTTAAAATCTGAGGATTCAGAAAAGAAGCATTTTAATTTTGAAACATTTTACAGTTTATGTTTACAGAGTTATGTTTACAGCCAATATCTTAAACATATAGGAATTCCCTAGAATAATCGAGCCATCTATATGAAACTAGAAGAAAAAAACAATTTTTTAAGACCATAAGTTTTGTAAATATTTTATTGTATTCAAACTTGTAGTTTTAGGCCATTTCGGTTATATTGTTGACACTGTTCACTGTACCACATGTACAAATCTATGAATTAAGATTTGAGCCGTGACACGTCCACACGTTCCACCAATGTCACACCTCAGTTTTTTTTTATAGTGTGAGGAGTGTTGGTTTTTTGCCAGAACTGTTTAGGTTTGAGTCTTGCAGCAAACCTGCAGACCCGGAGTCAATGTCCGTTCTGAAACTTGTGTTCGTTATAAGGACCATTACTGTCATCCGCGCCTGCCAAGACTTTGCGATACTTTCTGGTGTGGATTAACGTTCGCACTAGTGAGTACTACGACCATCCGCTGTAATCTCCTGATAATTAGACCAATTTGTTAATACTTAATACCAAGGCAAAAATGTGGTTTGGATTCCACTATAAACTGTAGGTCCCTTAGTTGCCATTAGCTGTATGGGCTATTAATTAACAGCCAAGTCTAAGGCACGGTTCACACGAGCAACGAGTCCATGAACTAGATGAAAATATCGATATCAAAGCCACTGAGATCCATCACTGGCGCCCAATTAGAACAAAGGAAGTATGTGAGCTGCGGCGCGACGACCGACCGTGAACTCTCCCATAAGGCTACATGTACTGCTACGCCGCTAGAGCGGGTGACTATATAGCTGCGATGAGTCGCAACACTTGACTGGAAAGCGGGGTCTGACGATGATTTGCTACACCAAGCTTGAACACGGCTCGATCGCCGTCGCCCTACGCTCGTGTGAATGGCTCTATTTGATCCTGTGGTCCGCTACCTAGTCCTGTTTACCTAGTCACAGCCTAGTCAGCTAGAAAAGTCGCCTGTGTGAACCGGGCCTAAGGAATATGTCGGCCTTAGTCACTAACAAGACTACAAGATCGCGCCACTCATCCTATACTCATCTCCATTCATACTAGGCTTAAAATACCTACTTTGTATGTTCGCCATTTCAATGAAAAGAGTATAGTCTGATCATGCCGGTTCGCAAACTTGTTAGGATAAATGTAGGTTTACACGTTTGTACCAAATTTCATCAAAATGGGATGACTTTTACTCGAGTTATCATGTTAATGGACACATATATGTATAAAATAAATATCCATCAAAATTAGAATGGATCGCGTTTTTGGTCTCTAGGGATATAAAAATGGAAAGTAAATTGGTTCCGGGTCCAGGTCTTACGATGAAACCTATGGTAATCGATTATTCTCTACATGGGAAATTTGCTGAAACAATGTCATACACTAACACTTACCCTGATGACAGTGAGGTGCTGGAAGTGCCTATGAGGATGAGTGATTTTGTGTTCCAAAGTCCAGAACGGAGCCTTGTACACCCTCAGTTGACACTGAATGTCTGTAGTCAGTAAACGACATCCATCCGTGCGGCTTAACACACGACAAATTTAACAGATTCGTCCAGATTTTACAAAAGTTTTTTTAAATGTATGACTAGACCAACTACCAACTACGGCAATATTATTTTGTCTAACAAATTCTATAAGCACTCACTGGCCACCATATTGGACCTAAAGAAAACTTTTTTTTCTTTTATTAAAAATGCTGTCAGTGACAGTGAAATAAAAATCACCCAGTGAAAAAAACCCAGTAATTTTGTGATTTTCAATGTTTTGTGTATAAAGTTTTGTGTATCCTGTACAAGTTTAGACTATTTTCCATTCAGGTGGCAATGATATCCTCACAAAAACATCCATAAGCAGCTTAACATCTGAAAAGGGCAGGAAAGACTACAAGTGCATAGAAACATGAATGCTTTGTACAACTGTAACTAGTTTATATTTTACCATGAGTTTAAGAGCTCAATTCTGAGATATTTATGTAATTTTATTTTTTACTGAACCCTCTTGGGCATCAGGCTTCTTATTTACCTTGGCTGAATCAGCTAGACTTAGTCGTTATAAAGCTCTCATATTAAATGGTCAGCCTGAACTTAAATAGGTACCTACCCCTTTTGTTTACCATTGTTTATTGTGATATTACTCTTGCACAAAAATTCCTTTCTACTATAGTAAATGTAAACAAAGAAATACTAAAAGTTTGATGGAAGGTGTTGTATTGTAATTGATGTTATATGGCATTACTGTTCCTTTTTAAGAGCCCAATTGAAAAATTGAAATAATGAAATGAAATAATGAAATATTATGAAATAATGAGTTTATTCCTTCAAAACAAATAAATACAAAACAATACATTCACTTGGAACTACGTTGCCACATTATCCAGTAATCGTGGCAAACGTAAAACAAAAAATTAAACAATTGTATTTACAACTTAGTGAGTCCAGTCTCTTCACTTGAAAAATACAAGTTGCCACTCTCTGTGGCGTCTTAAGTATAACATTATAAAATTAGAGCTTAAAACAAATTAAATCCTAAAGTTTACAGAAATACTGTTATAACTAAAAATTTATTACCTTTTCGTGAAATGGAAAACAAATTGGAAATTGAAATTACAAAAATAGCGAAAATGAACGGATTTATTTGAAGAAAAAAAATATTCTTTGAGTGGTTGATGTAAATTGTTATATTAGTAAATTGGCAGTGACGTTGGAGAATTAAACTTGCTTACCTGAATTTAGCTGCTGAAATTCCCGAATCGTGTACGAGACATTCAATACAGCTGGTTTTGCCTTTCAAGTTGCGGATGTCCCACAATTTTACTGTCTTGTCTAAAGAACAAGTCACCAATAGGTTCGGGTCCCTAGGAGTGCAAAAGTTATATTGTAACTGGCTAGTGAATTAGTGCTTTGCAAAATGATGACTATGAAAATGTACTCTCTGTAAAATATAGTCGTTGTAAAATTTAGTTCAACAGGACAGGAATTTTGGACGTAGTTTATATCCACAGGTGCAATTGGAGAAGTGGGTGTTAGGTGGAGAGGTGAAAGGATAGGAATTATTGAGCCAGTAAAAGTATTTAAAAGATTGAGCTGACATTCACGCTATATATATGCAAGAAGTCAAAAGCCATAGAACACTCTCACCACTAAAACATCACAATCCGACACATCAGGGTCACGTATTTTAAGGTGGAGAAGAATGAACAATAATGGCAGTGTCAAAATGCATTTTTCCCTTCAGATATTATAGACACTCCCACCGCTTATTTATGATAAAGGTTGTTGACAAACTAATGGGAGAAAGTATGTGTCAGATTGCTGGTATCGTCTATTTACCATAAGAGGAGTATAGCCATGGGGGAGCAAAACCAAAGGGCCTAACATTTTTACTCCTCAGACAATTGCTTTATTGCTCCACAGATTATAGAGCTTTCTGTTCTGATCACAGGGAAGTATTTATTGAAAAATCCTTGTTTTTAGCCGCTGAGCTTTTACACATAAAGTAAGGCTAGATTACTTACATAAATAATGTCAATAATATATTTGCTCATGATATGTTTAGGTATTAATTAGAACTTTATTGTCAGTTTCAGACTAGTGTAACTCTTTAGTTGAAAACATCGTTAAGTGGATGAAAATATTACTACTACGAGAGACATGTCCTTAACCAACATATTATTGAGCTGCCTGACGTAATTTACTTAAGTTAAGTAGAATTCTGAATCAATTAGGAACGCATCACATTCAGACAATCAAAAATTCAAATGAATGGATTTGTACCGGTACGTAGAATTGTGGTATTTTTTAGTAAACAGGTGGAGTCTAGAGCAGACTGACTCACAAAAACGTTGTTGCCTAAACGTTGCCGCTCCCAAACGCTAGAAAAAACAAAGAGATTGTTCCAAATTTAACTGTGCCGCTACGCTCACAATAGCTGTTTGAGCTTTACGACTTGATTGTATGGATTTTATTTGTTGTTTTAAATTACTCTGCGATCAATTGCTGTAAGTGTGTTTTTACCCATAGTCCTTTACCCGACAGTGTGCGAAGTTAATAATAATGTACAAATAAAAGTTAACAAACTGACTTATCTACTACATTCTTGCCAGTTGCTCACCTAGGATTGAACTCGAGATGTCTAATTTTGCCTCTGTGAAGTTTAAAAGTGTTTAGGTTATATTCAGTTTTGCCGTTGTCGAGATGATGAATGGCTATGTTTCCTTCTGAGTCGCCACCGTACACTGACTTGCCATCTTGGTGGATATCTAGTCCACAAAACCACACCCTGTTAAACAAATACACATAAAACTTAGTAATAGTGAAATATTCTAGATTTTGTGTATTGTATAGTGTAACGTTTTTATTAATCACTCTGTGCAGAAAGTAGTTATTTTCGATAACAGCTGATATGAAAGAATAGTTAGGCCTATTTGGGCAACTAGTGAGCAAAGTGAGCAATTGACTCACTCGAGAGAAATACTTACTCCCGAGCCGTAGGCGAGTGAGGAATGGTTTCTCGAGTGAGGCAATTGCACTTTGCACTCAAGTTGCACATAATATTTTTCCTACAAACCATAAAACAAATAAAGAATAAAAAACAGATAAAAAATCTCTACAACTAGCTTTGGAAACTTACTTGGTCAACAAACAGAAATATGCTATTGCTACTGTAGACAATTCTTTTTACCTTATCTTTAATTAAGATAGAGTTAGGTTTAAGCTTAACTTCTTCCTTTAAAACTTACCGGTGAGAGTCAGGAGATTCAATAAGGGATTTTCGGATAAAGTTTTCAAAATGATACGAAGCTATAGAGCCATCAACACTAGCAGTAAACACTTGAGTGTCACAGCTCTTGGGATTAAACCTGATATTTTCCATCGTCCCTCCTGGCCCAACAAATTGTAGTATGCACTAATTTATAATTTTAAAATTTCACAAAACTAAAACATAAAATAGTGTAAATTACAATTGTTTGGATACAAAATAAGTTTAGTCAACCAAGGATAAGGTGGAATTGAGGATCTTTAGTGGAAGAGGTTAAAACAAACAAGACAGTGATTAAAGTAATTGTGGAAGCCGTCTGCAAAGCTTTCCTTGCTGCAAATTTACCATGTCGCCAGTCACGCAGATTACCAAATTAGCACAAACATGAAGGTAATTACGATACTGTGATTCTGCTTCGATAGTGGGAGGTGCAGGGATCGGTATAGTCCTGAGTCACAGAGCAAAAAGAATCGATTCCTCAAATAGTAATTTTTTTAATGAATTGAGAACCAATATCAGCTCATCCCTATTTTCAAGGTTCAACTACAAAATTTTCTGCTCAATAAAGCTTTTTTTTAAATTGGCTAATTCTCTATAGCTTCATAGTTGAGTGGGCACTTATGCTAGTTATAGAGAATGTAATGGAAAAATTGATTTGTACATAATTCAAGATGTCACTAAGGTTAAGAGACTCAACCGTCTGTTAAAAATAATATAAGTTAACATCTTCATGGTATTTTACTTAAGTTCGATCTAGACTAGTCAGAGAGAGGATATCATAACACCTTTGTCCAGCGGTTCAATGAAATATTTTTAACAGGCTCATCTGTAATTCTGATTAATTTATACATTCTTAGGTCCCTTAATAACATAATTCACTCACCCCAGGAAACACTTTATCTGCTTCAACATTGAAAGTAGATTTATTCTCATTAACCTCGTACAAGACTAGAGTTCCAGCTTTTCCGCCGGAGACTAAAACACGCGGGTTAGTTGGATGCCATGCTATCGCAGTTATTCGGCGATCTGAGTCTTCATTCCTTGCAAAGACAATGAACCGCCTGAGTTCTTTCAAGGTTACCTGCTCAGCAACCTGAAATAATTTTAAAACAATTTATGTTATCTATTTAAAAATCAACTGAATAAGATAAATTATAGTACAATAATGCTACGGTATGATATGAATGCTTGGAGCTTCATTCGACATCAAAGTAATTCAGACTTGATTTCCAGACTTTTTTAGGCAAGCACATAAAATAATAACCCCGCCGCAGCAAACCTGCACACTAAGCGAGTTTCCATTTACCTGATTGTATTTTCCCTAAAATATATCTTTGGAATATCAGATTTATTACCTTTTTGCATAACATTACGGTTTAATGAGTAGGCCTACTTAGTACTTATTGAAAGAATGTCTAATTCCGCCACAGCTTATTTAAGCCAATAACTTATTTATTCATACTGTACTTAGCTTTGTGGTGATGTGAACATTATCACCTGATAATATTTATTATTTGATTTGTTTGTAAATATTGTATTTGTTCTTTACTAAAACATGGTTGTAATTTTGAATGAATAAAAGCTATACTTTTGGTTTGCTAAGTCTTTCTTACAACAATCTTAAAATACCTACTTTGTATGGTCGCCATTTCATTGAAAATTATTAAAGTATTAAATATTTTTACAAATTTAATCTTCCATATGAAGATTGACAATTAACCCTTTGAGTGCCAACGTCCGGGGAACCGGACGTTTTTAAAACGAGCCAAAAGTGCCGACGTCCGGCCGACTGGACGTTTTTAGAACGAGCCAAAAGTGCCAAAGTCCGGCTGACCGGACGTTTCGTAATGATCGAACAGTTGTCATAACAACCGAATGGATACTCGGATTCTTTTAACCCATATATTAACATTGAGTCGAAAGTTACTAGATGCGATACATCGATTTTCGTTGGTCGAAATATCGAAAATTCGATTTTTACGAAATTTTAACCTAAAAATCGCCAGATCGCACTCGGCATTTTTAGCGCGACCTTCGGGAAAAATCATCGGCATTTTTTGAGCGTTACTTTTATTTCTCGCCTGGCACTCTAAGGGTTAATGCATCTCTGGCAATTATCCATTGTTGGTGGGTTGTCAGTATTCTGCTTTGAACCCCTTATTGGTTAGTGTGATTATTCTCTTACCAATCTTCATCATTACCTCACAAAAATGTTTATCAATATACAACCACTATACACTATTCAACACATACGTTACCTCATCAAAAGTTGAATATTTGAAAACACCTCTTTGTAAGCTATCAAACGTATTAACAATATTTCCAAATTTGCTTTCAGCGCCCAAGAAACTTGTGTTACTGTTATTGTTGGACGTTGATCTATGAGTCAAGTCTTTAAGTATGTCATGTTTTGGTGGACGGCTCCTGAATTTACTTGGAAAGTCACCCTTTTGGGGTTTTTTCTTAATATCATTTGAATGTCCCTTTTTAGGATCCTTAGTTACTTTAACTTTTTTGGATTCAGAGTTCTTGGGTGGGCAAACCTGTTTCCTTTTCTTAGTTACAACCTGCAAAACAAAAAATGTGAACAAATTATACAGGGTACTCAGCCCTGGGGTAATTTAGTGTACGAATTACCCAAACCAGCAAACCGACTAAACTAAACACGTCTAGGTATACTTTCACATACAAAACTGAATCAGGGGACGTGTGAATTAATTATCATATACTTTTTCCTCAATAAGTAGTTGATGGTGCATTTATATTTTTTCACAGTTTCCAGTTAGTAAACAATTTAAGAATATACTTAAACACAAACAAGTCTATACAAGTATAGACTTATATAAGTGACAACTAATTTATTCAGTTGTAAGTTGTTATTATCATGTAACTTAAGTAATTTACACATTTTATACTATTTTTAAACTGAACCTAGGCTACACAATTTAAGAAAATAGACTTTCTTAAAATTATTTCACGGAAAGTAGGCCCAAGAGCACACTAATGCAAAAAACAAGCAAAAGTGGAAAAAACAAAAATAAAAAACGTCCTGGCAAAACATTAACAAGCCGAAGTCTAGTGTTGGAAATGTAAGTATAAATATTCCCCTAAACTTGTATTTGGTAGGCCTAATCAAATGTTTCAATTCTCTTAAGCTAACTTATGTCTAGTGATCCCACATGCAAAATTCCATAACAAACATTAAAATTGTAATGCTCTTTAGGTCTGGTAGAATGAAAGCTCTGCGACTTTGACTCCTACGTATATTTTAACATGCTTCTTTTCCTCTTTTCGATAGGAGGACTACCAAATTTATATGAACCTAGAACACTGAGTGATTGAATCGTTCAATGGAAGAGCTTCTGTGTGTCTGAAAGTTCAATAAAATAAACGGTATCAGCAATCTGACACATACTTTCTTCCGTTAGCTTGTCAACAGCCCGTATCATGGCAAATGGGTTTAAGCAGTGAGAGTAATTTAGTTTGATAATTTATTGGAAAAGTCTCAAAAGTTGATATAAATTTTAAACCGTAATATTTACAGAAATAGGGGTTGTCCCGCTATGTTTAAAGTTAAAATGACTATTAAAATATTCCTACACACAATTTGAATAAAAATTGGTCAAGTCAAAACATACAAAATTTCATCAAAACCAAACCACAGGTTTGATTTGTAGCTCTGTACAAATCACATATACAGATAGACGTGCACTATTTTTGGTTCAAGGGGACCCTAAACAGAAATTTCCCCCCAAACCTCAAACTCAAAATTGTTTAAAAAAACAATACCATAGATAAAACATACTCCCTTAGTAGATTTCTCATCCTTATGGAACAGCTGAAGACAATTTTATTGTTAGTTCTGTGCACAAATCAAGAAATTAACCCTAAATTAATACAAACAAAATTTTGTCGACACTAGCACCCAGTGTCATCGTACATAAACTAGACACGAAAAACGTGCTTCAAAATTTACAATGGGATGAGAAGTCTACTTGTGTTGGTTAGACTATGACAATACTTTGTGCATATAAATGGTAAGCCTATGGGGAGTAAGTAAAAATAAAAAAATCTTAGATTTACAATAAGTGAGCGCTGTAGTAATTTTAGGTGCAAAACTGTTTACTTACACCTTCTAACTCCTCGTCTGGAAGGTGGTCTTCGTCCCTTTTAGACTGTACGACGCTTTTCATAACTTTTAAATCCTTTTGGTCGATAGCTTCATCAAACCCACGGAAAGGGGAATCTTTTCTACAAGACGATCTTCTTAGTGTCGGTTGGGAACTTGTAGATGGTTCATCAAGTGATGTGTCATTCTTAGAAACATCTTCATTTTCTTTTTTGCCTTTTTGTCGCTTAGACATCTGTGAACAAGTAAGTTATAGCCTTCGAACATATAAGTTCTTCTATTTACCTTTTAGGACTAAGTTACAAAAACCTTTTCCTAATTTTTAAGGTATTATCCCTGCAAGTCTATAAACATTTTCAATATTTCTTTTGAATGTTTGCAATGAGCAAACCTGTCTAAGATTTATGTAGCTTTGTTGGAGTCTAACTTGGGAAACTAATGGTGTGCCTTGTAGAGAGAAAGTTCTAAGTAGAGACCTAAGTAAGTTTACTAAAATTCAGCTCAATTTACAAATCCCTTTCTAAGCAAAACTCTGATACACAACTCCATCTTATTATGTTATCGATTGTTATATTATTGTTGATTAAGAAAGTTTCGGATTCGGATAGGCCTAGTTTGAGTTTGGTTATCGATAGAATTTATAATTTCAGTATTTGATAATCCGTGGATTGAAATATCAAGGCTCTTTTCTGTAAACAATGATTTTTCTAGTCTAGGCTACAAAGCTAAAACAGAAAGCACTTAGGCTAACTATTTACTGTATAGTGAGGGCAATTGTGTACTGAATAGTAATGAAATGGATAATTAGGTTCTGTCAGGGGATTTGAACGGCAGAACCGGGGAGGAACAGGGTATTCAGGTGGGGAGATAGGGCATATTATAACAAACCTTGAAGATGGTAGAAGATCAAAAGATAAGACAGTTAATGTGAGATGGCGTAAGATTCTATATGTTATGGGCAACAAGGGATTTATTATTTTGAATGGGAGATCCAAAAGTGATAAGGACAGGGAGTACACGTTCATAGAGCCAGGGAGTTCTTCAGTTATTGATTATGCACTGGTATCTGTAAACTGTTTATACATAGTTAGTGAGTTTAAAGTTGTGCCATACCCAGGGGTCTGGCCATCTCCCTTGTGAAGTTCGTTTATTTGCTGTGAGCCCAGGTGGAGAGGTACAGAATGAAGGGAATCTATTACCTTTACTACCTAAATTAAAATGGTCCACCATTTAAATTACAATGAACGTATTAAGCTGAACTTATTGCAAGTTAAAATCTTAAATAATAACCAGGACAATGTGAATGAGTCAATGGAGTGCATCTTAAAGTCGTCTGAACACAAACAAAGCAATGTCGTACGAAAAAATCAAGTAGGAAATAAGCAGCCATGGTTTGACCACAAATGCTCAGCTGAAAGAAAAAGAATGTTCAGGCTTCCTAATCTATATAGGATAACAAATTCAAAGATAGGCTAGTCAAACTCAGTTATATAATACCCCCGCCGCAGCAAACCTGCAGACTAAGCGAATTTCCATTTGACTGATTGGATGTACACTGAAATGTCTACTTAAAAATATAACATTTATTCCCGATTTAAATAGAATTAGTTTAACAAGTACTTAGGTTTGCTGCATCAGGGAGGGTAAAACTGTTTTTTTTTGTAAAATGTTAATAGTTAGTAAGAGATAAAAACATTTTCCAAATTTGATCAAAATATGTTCATAAACAAGCAAACTACAACAGTTTACTTATTCTCCATAAGAATAACATGGGAATTTTAAATTTACAATTTTTTGGAATTTTCTCCGTAACCATTAGGCGCATAATAACGCTTCAATATACTAAATTACCTATTTGTTTTTTTAAGCTCTACAAAATGGTTTGGAAAAAAATTGCAAAATTTTATGTTTTTTGGGTCAAAATGGGAAAAACCTATTTTTACCCCATAAAACCCCCCATAAACCCCCGTTCCCATGATCTGATCATGCTGGATCGCGAACTCGTTCGAATAAACGTAGGTTTACACGTTTGTACCAAATTTCATCAAAATCGGATCATTTTTGCTTGAGTTATCGTGCTAACGGACACACACACACATATATATATATATATATATAAATATATAAATATATATATATATGAATTTGAACGAATGGTGTTTTTGGCCTCTAGGGACCTCAAAACGAAAAAAAAAATCGGTCCCGCGTCCAGGTCTTACCATGAGTACTACGGTAATAGCTTATTCCCTATATGGGAAATTCGCTATAAACAGTTAAATATTTATAAGAAATTGTGTGTTATAAAGAAAAGGTGTTATTAGGGCCTATAATAAAGTTATATTTGATTTAAGTTGGCAAATCATTGTGGCGGTCTATAAATACACTAAAAAAGAAAGGTAGTAATGTTGTGGGAGAAACATCACCTGAAAAATGGATAACACATTTTAAGAATTTATTGAATCCCCCCATCAGGGCAGGTGCGATCAGCTATGCTGAACCGCTCATAGATAACTGCCGATTAGATAGTGACTTCACTCTTGCTGAACTGAAGAATTTTTTGAAAACATTAAAGTGTGATAAGGCCCCGGGGTCAGATAGAATTTCCTATGAATTTTATTAATAATTTACAACAAAATTGTTAACAGTGAAACTGTTCCAAAAACTTTCAAAACCTCAATTATTTCCTCCCTCTACACAAAAAAGGAGACCTCAATTTAGTTGAAAAATACCGTGGATTATCTTTTATTGAAAGCGTGGCCAAAAATTTCACAAGTCTAATAAACAATAGAATTCAAAAGTGGATTCAAGAAAATGAAATAGTAACAGAATTTCAAACGGGTTTTAGGAAAGGTTACTCCTATATTGATAATAGTTTTAATCTGACTTGTATGGTTGAGTTACGTCTGTCACAAAAAGGGGGAAAGCTTTATGCGTTTTTTGATGACTTTAGCACGGATTTTGATACAATCAATTGAAAATATTTTTTTTTTTACTCTCAAGTTTGGGATTATTGAAGCGCGTGCTGTATGTATTAAAAAATTACTGCAACAGTACCAGTTCAAGTGTGTGGTGTGAAGGAGGTGTATCTGACAGTTTCAAAACTAACACAGGTTTTAGGCAAGGCTGCAATCTCTCACCAACTTTTTTCAGTTTATCTACAGTTAAATCTACAATAAGTGCTGTAATTAATTTTAGATGCAAAACTGAGTACTTACACCTTCTAACTCCTCGTCTGGAAGGTGGTCTTCGTCCCTTTTAGACTGTGCAACACTTTTCATTACTGTTAAATTGTTTTGGTCGATAGCTTCATCAAACCCACGGAAAGGGGAAGCTTTTCTACGAGACGATCTTCTTTGTATCGGTTGGGAACTTGTAGATGGTTCATCAAGTGATGTGTCATTCTTAGAAACATCTTCATTTTCCTTTTTGCCTTTTCGTTGCTTAGGCATCTGTGAACAAGTAAGCTGTAGCCTTCAAACATATACTTTCTTCTATTTACTTTTAATGACTAAGTTAGGCCTACTTAAACCATTTCCTAATTTTAAAGGTACCTATTCCCAATTTTTTAAGTTAGTTTGTGGAATCCGAACTAAATTTTGGCCTTGTAATTTACAAATTGGTCTAATTATCAGGATTAGTACTGCGGATACTGTTAATACTGTTCAATGATATGGCGACCATACACAGTAGGTATTTTAAGCCAAGTATGAATGGAGATGAGTGTAGGATGAGTGGCGCGATCTTGTAGTCTTGTTAGTGACTAAGGCCAACATTCCTTAGACACAGCTGTTAATTAATAGCCCACACAGCTAATGGCAACTAAGGGACCTACAGTTTATAGTGGAATCCGAACCACATTTTTCCTTGGTGTATATACAAATTGGTCTTATTATCAGGATAGTAGGTACTGCGGATAGTCGTAGTACTCACTTGTGCGGACGTTAATCCACACCAAGAGTATCGCATCCACAGTGCATGCCTATAAATATCCACAATTCGTGACCTCCTAAGTTAGTAGCTGGATTACAGGACGACGCCATGGTCCCAGTAAATTTTTTCACTAAGTACGGTAGGTTATTTTTACCTTATTATTTTGTACAATTTCATTCTAAGTTATCTTTCTTTTATTTCTATCATTATCTTTTGTATAATATACTGTATATCATCACAATCTTTCTTTTATTTCATCTTTATCTATATTTTGTATAATTTATTTCTTCACTATTAATTGTTGTTTTAGGCCTATTCTTAAAGAGCGTGAAAGCTAGACGGGATTCCCGCGTCTGGGCCATGTGCTCGACAGGGATCATTGCTTTAAATTGGCGTATCTACACAAGCGAGATTCTCGGCGAGGGTGGACGCGTCAGTAGGCGGGAGCGTGGAGATAATGTCAATGTCGGCCCTAATCCCGGGTCGGGAATCCCGCTAGCTATTCTACTTACTTCGGCAGCTTACTTCACATAATATTGTCCAGTTGCGTTTAAGTTGGTCCAACACGGTGTGGTGTAATGTTTGATCATAAATCAAGTTAGGTAGTTTTCATATTTTTCACATGTTGTATTACTTTAGTCAAAAGACTTTTATTTTAACTAGCCTATACAAATAATTTTTCAGCTTTTATTTTAACTATAAAAATGATTGGTTAGCTTCAGCTAGTAACTTAAGTAATGGGTTTGACATAAATTACATTAAATTTATCAGCCTAACATTTATTACAATAGGCCTAGATACCCATTTAGCCTATTTATAATACCAAACTAAATACAAATAAAATTACAATATGACAAACAGAATATGTTGTATACAATTAAAATTGCAATGTATTCATCGGAGATAAGCCATTTGGAAGTTAAAGTAAACTATATTATTCTAAACAATGTGAATAAACAAACTAAAGAATAACTGGTCCAAATTAATAGCTTGAGTTGGACGATTCCAGCTAAATGCGTGCTTCACCGCACCGCGCCCATCCAGTATCCAGTGTCTTTGGGACTTGGATCACACCACGTGTAGTTTGCACAGAATCCCGTAGCCGGTTTCAAGCTCGTGTAGAATATGCATTGCCTACATTCCATTAAATTTCTAAGCAGCAGCAGACCAGGAAGAATGGGTATTTTTATGTCTGCGTTTAACAAGGAATGGGTGCTTTATTGTGGTGTAGGTTGGAAGTAAATTTCCCTGTAAAACCCCCTTCAGGTATGCTTAAAAATCAAGTTGTCCAGTTTTTCTCCCTCCTATTGGCATTACAATGGCACCGGCTTGTTCCAGACAGTGCTACTATCTGTGGGTGTTTAAGCAAACTAGGTCGACTCCAGTCGTAGGTAATGCAGAACATCACCGCACGTCATTTTGCTATATAACTTACGTCAGACCGAAAGATTTGAAAGTCAAACGGATCTGCTTGACGCCGCCATTTGAACTTGGTGGGCCGCAGCAAATGTGTTACCGGTAACAAAATGGTCATTTGTAACTGGTTTACACTATTGTTATGTTATAATAAGTTATTGTTATTGATTAGTAACTCATGTCACATTTTTTTTTATTAGGTATCTCAAATGAATATATATTGTTAACTGTTGTAGGCCTAAAATGGCTATAATATTACCATAAATAAATACCTTAAGTAAATCAAAGGCCTAGTGCGATGAACGAACCATTACCTAACTTTAGTTATATAGGCTAATGTGTTTATACGCTATACCACAATTAGGTAGGCTATGCTGAGTAAATCAAAACAGATTGTTTATTGGACTAAATGAACACGAATTAGGACCTTTGAAGAACTTATACAATTTAGCCTTTTAAATATAAGACATGAGTAGCCAAGCCTAGCCTACAATCAACATGGATAACCCAAACTGTACACACTACACATGAACTAGGTTAGGTGTTCACCAACAAATGAGGCAAGGTCCGAAATAAAAAAAACTAACTTAAATTAAGTTACCTATGGTTACCTTTATCTGGGAGGGTAAAATTAACAAAATCAATTATTTTTACTGCATCTATTGCTACCAATACTTATATAATAATTTGCATGACGGGCGAAGAAGAATGTTGTTAGTAAACATAAACTCCTTCTCCTTCTCCTTTCTTTCCTGCTTCCTTTTCCGTATTTTCGATAAAAAAACATATTCTCCTTCCAATAATTTTCCCGCGACATCGAGTAAGAGCCCTCAAGCCTCAATGCTTTTCACATATAATAATATATTTATTGGTTCGGATTAATAATTTATAGCAAGGGTGTCCAACCACCGGCCCGCGAAGTGATTTTGTCCTGCCCGCAAAAAAGGCATAATTAATTAAAAATATATTGTTTTAATTTTAAACCATATACTGAAAATCAGCTCTCGAAATCGCCGAACCACTCGTAAATCTAATTTGCAATCTCGCCATGACAATAACAATACTGCATTCGTCACACGCAATCGAGGTAATAAGCATCTCTTGCGTTCACGGCGTTTAGCTTTCGTCAGTGTCGTCTAATCAGCCTCTCTCGCGGTCTCCGCAATGCCGTGTTTCCATCCACGATCGCGGAAACACTCATAAGAAATTATTGTGTTCTTAGCTTGGATCATACTGTGATTGTCATCATCATCCGCGATTGTGACAACAGTCGCAATCCTCTCTTTTGGTCTCCGCAAACGGAAAAACACGGAAAGTTTATTTTTCATTGCCGGTGATTCCTTAAACACTTGTATTCATATTTTTCATTGTGGGTACAGTACCATGATTGTCACCCAAAATCATGTCAACTTTCGCGAACATCTCTTGTGATGAATCATGATGATAAACCGTGCTCATCTCCGGTGATCACCATCACCGTTTAATGGTTGGGTTAATCCACAGCCACCTTTAACTCCAGGAAAGGCCACAGCCTGGTAGAATTGGCAACGTCGCAAGTAGTGTTGTTTATCGCCAGCCAGGATTAGTTTTGCCAACATTGAGCGCGTTCTGGGAACATGCACCGGTGCACCGGTGTTGCCCCGGTGCAAAAAATGTGTCGTTCTAGGAGACCGGTGAGTTAACCTAGCAGACAGCTATTTCCTCTTTTTCCTCCACCGGTGCAAGATTTATGCACCGGAGAAATTGTACGGTGCATAATACACCGGCGGCCTCTGATTGGTCTGTTTCTTGGACAACAGCATGCAGCTAAGGCAAGATGGCGGGTCCATCGAATAATGTTCATCAGTTTTATAGGTTATGTTGCGTAATGAGTGAATAATTTATTCTATGAGGGGGTTAAATTACGTATCAAGTGAATAATTTTCAAATAATTTATTCTGTGAGGACAAGTTTGTTTAGTTTAAATATTATAAAGTAAATAATAGGTGAATTTGTAAATTATAATCCGATGTGTACCGTAAACCGGTGAATAACCGTTCTGGGATACCAAGACTCTTGCCCCGGGTCGGTACCGGTGAATAAGTCACCGGTTAATCTGCACCGGTACATGTTCCCAGAACGCTGCCAGTCTTTTGAAAGCTTCTTATTGACTATAATGAAGGTTTACTAATTGAAAAATTAGTTTTGTTCATAAAATAAAATTACGAATGTCAAATTCAATTTTATAATTATAAAATTTAACCGTCATAACCAAACCAAACTTGCTGATAATGAAGAAATCCAAGACAAAAAATATAGTGCCACGAGTGAGATTCGAACCCGGCACCTTCAGTTGATCAGCCCGGCACTCTTTCACGGCCGCCTTTAACTGTAGTCAAAGGCGGCCGTGACTCTTTCCACCATACCACCGAGGCCGATATGATCAACTAGCTTAGAGTCTGAATTGAGAAAATAGTTTAGGAATGATGAAACTATTAAATGCGAGAATTGAATGCAGGAGAATACATAGATTACACAATAGATTACAAATATAGGAGATAAAAACTGAGACTTATTAGATACCAGAGTAAATCTATGAGAATATGTTTAATCTATGGTGATATTAATCCTAAACAGAGTTATATGTAGTGTAATGCTGTCATTTTAAATATACTCTATGCATATTAAGACAAAAATTGAACGAAGTGACGTGCGAAGCTTGCGAATGACACTGAGCTAAAATTATAACTGGAGGTAGCACTGCCATGACAGAAGTCTGTCAAAAGCGAGTCGCTGATTTTGTTAGGTTGGTATAGCAGTAAGTTTTCTTACCATAGCAATAACATGGCTTCTTATAACTAGGTTGGTATAGCAGTGAGTATTTTTGTCATACTTGAATACTTTTAATACTTTAATAATTTTCTTTGAAATGGCGACCATACAAAGTAGGTATTTTAAGCCAAGTATAATAATAGCCATAGCAATAATATGGCTTCTTATAACTCACACCTCACGCAAACATGGCGGCTGGCGACACGCATCTTTGACATTCAGTGCTACCTCCAGTTAGAATTATAGCTCAGTGGCGAATGAATAGCCACTGCCAAAATTGAACGAGAATCGGAGAATCCTTTCTTTTTCTTCTTAACTTAACCTTAAACTTAAACAGAAACAGAGTAAATAAAACGTAAACTTATACCGTACTGTTACATTTACTGAACTGTATTCGTTTCGAAGGCGTTTGGATTGTTTTTTGTAAGAGTCAGGCTAAATTTAATTTCAAGAAAGATGTAAGTGTGTTGAATTTAGTTGTATTATGAAAATAATACAGAGTTTAAAATCTGTTATGTAGCCTAGGCCTAGTGTTTGAAAGTTTACAATTCTCATAGCCCTATAATAGCATAGGCCTACCATTTTTAATTTAAATAAGTTTTTACTTAAATGTCCTACTAAGGATTTAGAATTGGTTAAAACAAAATTGGGAACATGGCTATCTGGAGTAGTATAATACATAATAACTCAAATCCATCAAAAATGGTCAGTAATTTTAGGAAGTACTACCTAAATAAAAAAGGAAGATCATTACGTATGTCAACAACAGCAACAGAGCCAAAGAAAGCTCCACTCTTGGAGAAGTGGAAAAGGTATTGGCAGGACCTCGCTACTGATTATTATGAAGTACTGAAAGACACTGTTGAGAATGGACGGAAGAACCCAAAACAATCTGCATTACTCCTCATGTGTTCAGCAGCTGCATTCACGTGCTTGAAGACCAATCCAGATGAGATTGATTACAGAGAAAACGTGTTAAAATGTTGCAATGAAGTTCTACTCATCGGGAAACCTATCAGAAACAAAACAACTGAAGAATATCTAATTTCTATGGAAACATTTTATAATTTTGGTGTTGTGAGAAGAATGAGTTTTGGACTTTTTTCAGTAGTATGGATTGACAACTTTAGCAATGAGTTGGGTGTTTACAAAGCCAATTGTTCATACCTCAAACCGCAATACTTAACTTTCCTAAATAGAGTTGTTGATATCGGGTTTCTTGGTAGGTGGTGGAAGCTGAATTCCGTTATGAAAGACTATGATATAAATGCAGAAGAATGGACGAACAGTAGCAAAGTTGACGAATCCACAAAGGAATAGACTCCTATGGCAGTAGTAAGTTTATTAGTTACATTAACTTTTATGCCAGAATCTTGACTGGACATGTAATTGTGACCCCAATGTAGTATCGAAGAGATGCATTTAGATTTTAAAGGTAATTTATTGTGATTATTTGTGAATGTTACCTATAATTATACCACCCACTTCATCTAATCTTGAAGTTTTCATCACCTTTTTACCTGCCACAGACATTTTGTTAAAATGTTCTTGGCTAGAGCATTTAAGTATTATCACTTTAAAACTTCTACAGTAGTAGGCGGCATGTAGGTCAACAAGGAGCCATGTCGATGTAATTACATATTAAATCATCATACATCCCTTGCAAAATTAGGGCTGATATTAGGCCTACAATGTAAAGTTCAGTGCTTTTCTGCAAAACAGCAGTCACATAGAAGGTTTTATGTTTATTTTTACGATACTAGCCTGTGGTTTCATCCCATTACACAACTTGTCTCTCAGTCGAGGTTGCCATCGCACAAGTAGGTCTAATCAGGGCATTAAATAAACAGAGAAGTTGTAGACTGTATCCTAATGTAAGAGAAGTTATTTACTTAGGCTACTGCCATGGCTGCTTGTACCCATGCTGTACTTGGCTTGCCAACACGTTGTCGCCAGTTCTCACCGTCCTCCAAATCTCCCTCTACTAGTCTCATCTTTTCGGAACTTGATCCCACCACCTGGCTTTTAAATTGGTCTTCCCAGTGGTCTCCTTCCCCTCGCATCTCCCCTTAGCACCTTCTTCCAAGCTCTCCTCAACAGCAGTATAGACGCAATGGAGGCTGGAGAAACAGTAGTTGGTTGTTTTGCTGATCTCTCCAAAGCCTTCGATTGTGTCGAACCTGCGATTCTATTGGAAAAATTGGCATCAATTGGAATCTCAGGACTTGCGCTGAAGTGGCTCACATCCTATATGAGCAACCGATTCCAAGTCACTGAGATTAAAATAAACACAAATTCAAAAACTTGAAGAATTTTATCAACAAAAAAACTTATCTCCAATGGCGTTCCCCAGGGATCTGTCTTTGGACCTCTCCTTTTGTTGGTCTACATCATCAACATTACAGATACTATGCAGATACATCCTTATCTTAACCTCCAAGACTAAGTTAGGTATGTTAAAATATAAGGTTACTACAGGAATGTTCACATAACAACAAAGTAATCTTGTTGATAAATAATTTTATTTGGTTTATTCAAGTACAGTTTTTAAGAGTAATAATGCAATTTTCATCACAAAATAAAACAATTTCAACAAAAACAAAACTGCAGAATATTTACAATTATGCAATCACAATGATTTGCAAAAGCATCAAAAGAATGATGAATATGTTCTATTATCTTTTTAAAGCATTTTTACAAAACTTTAAATTCACTTTTGAACTAATTATTGTTTTTCCTATCTACAGTGAGTTTTTTATATTTAGGTTTTTGGTAAACAGTTTTTTTTAAATCAAGTAAATCTATCTATCTATATATTAATAGGCAAGCATGTTTCTTTAAAACCTTTTTTCTCAGCTCGTGTGCATCGTAGGGAAAATCTACGCATACCGTTGGAAAGCTATTTTCCTGTAGGTGTGCAGAACCCCTTTATAAATTTAAATAGGCTCAAAGATAAGCACAAAAAATGAGTTTAAAAATTTGAAAAAATTAACATGGATCTTATGCGTTGCTATGCTGGTTACGAAATAACAACGAAATATAAACAGAAAATCAAAACAAATGGAAGAAACTCCAATCACATGTTTTATTTACAGTGTGGGGTGAAAATAGATAAGTTATTACATTACATATTTTTGGTCGAGTTTCGACCACTGGACGACCTCTCGTACTTATTTAATACGCAAGCAGATATTTTGTGACAATTACTCCTCTGAAACTACTGAACCGAATGACATGATTTTGGTGTCATTGGAAAGAGCGTAACGTGAAGTTGTGCAGGAAACTTTCTTTTTAAGGAAATAATTAGAGAGTGAGGCCCTGAGGCCCTTTAAAGTTTCACATTTCTCCATAAGGATAACATGGGAGATGATTTTTATTTACAGAAACATATGTTTGTTACTTGAAAATAGTCAAAGTCTACTACATAATAATTTATTGCTGTGTGTTATGACTGTTAATGTATACTACATTTCAATCAAGGATTGTGTACCTTAAAGTTTACCCATAATGGATCTTAATAGGCCCTACTTTATTTTAATGTTGGGAATAGTAAAATTTAGTTGAGAATAAGTTACCATGATTTAGAAAACTTTACTATAATAGTTTATGTATTTAAACTCACAAATCTTTGACATTATTAAATCGTTTTATGTAAATAAAACAGCTGATTGACAAATCAAACAAATCATCTACTTCATGTGAATAATGTTGTTACACAAACATAGTTTTTTTTTTTTTTACCAATAACTTGAGTCTTTTTTACTTCTGGGTGTATTTTGAGTTTGCAGTTATGAAAGCACCGAGCCAAGTAACTTTTATCTAATTTTCTTTATAAACTAACAGTATTAATGAATTAGTACATGAACTTGACAAGTTAGGTAATTAACTGTCAGTATGGCAAGGGGAAGAAGAGTGGGTCCTCGAAAACAGACAAAGGCGGAGACATCCATCAGAAAATCCAACTGAGTTTTTAAATATAGAGGTCAGTGTATTGCCAAGACTCAGATTAGACTAATAAAAGGGGGCAGTGGTTTTATTGATGTGGAATATTAATACATCAAAAGGGCCTCATTAATGGCACAAGGCTTCATGTGATCAGAATGGTTAACAGCTTAATAGAATGTAAAGTCTTAACCGGGACAAGTAAGTGGGGACATATGTTGATTTCGAGGATAAAAATGTGCCCGTCTGAAACAAACTTAAGTTACCTTTTAAAATGGAAAGATGCTAATTTATGTTATCTTTGGCATTTGCAGCACAAACCCTTTATTTAAAGATCAGCACTGTTCTTACCCAGATCAATTTCAGTCATGAGCAACTATATTGTATGTTGTTTTAAGTAAGGCTACATCTTTTAATAGGATACGCATATTCATTACGGAAAATTCTGACCAGGGTAATCTTCCTGAAGGTAACTTTAAGACTAAAATCGTAGTATTCGTGGAAGTGCTTTTGTGATAAAAATATTGTTTTTTAGTGTTTATTTTTAAAAGTATATTCTTCAAACAGCATTGTAAGACCCTCAAAATATGCTTCATAGGCCTTTTGGTTTGATATGATAAAATGTTTTGTTAAATGTGTTTTAAAATCTTTAACAAATAACTAGGAACACACTTGAACTTGAACACTTATTAATATACTAAATATAATACACATACAGCTAGAAAATGACTGGACTGCTTCCCTTCTAAGGCTTTATTATTACTGTATTTAACTTTCGACGTCGAGTCAATATTAATAACAGGATGAATTTGTTTTCTAAATTCATATGTTATTTTGCGGGGCATTGAGCCGCACAGGTTCACTAGTTATACATAAATAAGAAGCATGCATTCTTAAAGTCAGTTTTCAAACTATGTTACAAAGGAAAAAGTGTAATTAGATTGTCTTACAAGAGAAGGTGTAGCAAAATGTTTCTAAATTTGATACTTTAAATCCAATATACATTAAAATTTTAAAGTCTCTGAAGATAAGAGGTATTTCATCCTCATTACTGCTTAAAACAAAAGTTAAGAACCAGCCAATAAATAAATTTTAATTTGGAGGATGAATATTTTTTTTATATATTCTGGTTCTATATTAATGAAACTATAATGTTTTTATTGAGCAGCTGATGGTAATTACTCAAATAACCATTACTTTGATTGGATTACAGATTTTAAATAGAAAAAATGCTAGTTTTGTGAAGTGTTATTTGGCATTTTAAATCTAGTAGGTCTTCTGTAAATGCAGTGATGTGTATATAACATTCCATAATTAGTACTGAAACTTTCCAAGGTTTTCGAGGTGTGTGGCGAAGCTTAACTCAGGACGTTTTTAAAGAAAAGGCAATTGAGTACCTTTGTCTGTTTTCAGTGTTTGTATATACTGGTCTGATAATAACAGGTTTCGTGAGATAAGAGCCATTATCGAATCTCGAATCCGACATCTTTGATTTGACAATGGGTCGTATGAAGCGAAACTAGTAATCCTTATTACATACGACTTAAGACTGACAAAAATACAAAAACGTAACGTATCATAAATTCTTTAAACTCATTAAATTTCTTTGTTTTTAAATTTGTTTATAATATGAAGCTACAAAATTCAATAGGGAAAGTAATAAATTATACAATAAATGATGTTTTTACCAGTTTAGTGTAAAATATTAGAACTAAACTTATTGGTTTTCACTTCTGAACTATTAGATAAGTTACTTTCAGTCGTAAGTGACAGACTAGAAGCGTTGGCTGAAGTTAGTCTGTTGATTGTTGGCTTGAGACGTGTAAATGATTCCTTGTTGTGTCACATGATGGAACTCCTGTTGCTGTTGTTGCACCTGAACAGAAAAAAAAACATTTATGTGATGAGTTAAAGGCACCTTTGTGTCTTTTACACAGCCTCAAAACTTTATTCAACTATATGAGTATAACACATATGAAAAGACTAAAACAAAAATTTGTAAATGCCGCTCGTAATGGCAAGTGGTAACTTAGTGGTACTGCCCCCAAAAAAATATTACAAATATGCAGCTCAGTGATGATATCTGAAGAGTAACTTGAAAGCAAATATTTCCAAGCTGGAGGAAAAAAGCTAACAAAGTGATGTTGAAACTAGTCCTTGAGGTATATGCAATAACGTTTGTCAAAAGACAACTGACTGGAATGGAATTATTGGCTTTGTGCAAACACGCAAATTGCCTTGAAAACTGTCCTCACAATTGCTCTGAAATTCAGTTATCTCCAAGTATAGAACTGAGGAAAAGTGGTCTCCTGTCTGGTCAATCCTGCAATCGTGTGGTGACAATTTATTGGCAAAGATAACTGTCTCACAGACTAGCATCGTGCAAACACGGCTTGAAGGGTAAATTTACATAGAGTTTGTATTCAGTCCTAGTATACCATTGGTGCAAAAGTAGAACTCCGACTATCAGAATCGCTTAAAGAAATGATAAAAAAAAACTTTTTAAGCCACAGTAATAAGAATTGCTATTAAAGAAGGCAGAAGCAGTAATCGTGGCAAAATCGAAAAACCTCTTTCACGATCGTGTTGACATCATCGTCTCCTGCAATCACGGAAACATCATCATCGTTTTTCGCAATCGCGGCAAAGTAATTAGTTTATCCCACGGTTGTGGGATAAACTACTCATGATAAAAACATCATTGTCTCCTGCAGTCACAGAAACATCGTTATCATTTTCCATGATCACGGCAATATAATTAGTATATCCAACAGTCATGTAGACATCATTATCCTCTTTCGCCGTTACAGAATCATCGTCATCGTTTTTCGCGATAGCTGCAAAATGACTAATATACACCATAGTATGTTTTTTAAGAGACATTATATGGCCAGTACTGCAGGTTTTCCAAACAATTTATGGGTTTCATGAATCATGATGGGCAGTGCCCCTAGCTTAAACTTAGATGGGGAAAACTAAGTGTAGTAAGAGACTAACCATCCCCTGGTTGTTGTTGGGGTGGGGAGGCGCAGTGAGCCGCACACGCTTGGCGTTGTTGCCGTGCGCGTGGTTGTGACTGTTGTGGTGGCTGCCTGCGTCGGACGCGCCACCCTGGCCTCCATTGTTGGCTGCTGTCTGCCTCGCTTTGTTAGTGTCGCTTTTATCTTCTTGATCCTCGTCAGTGATGAACTCTCTTTTCGGATAAGGAATCGTGCAGCCAGCAAACACGCTACAAAGTATACATGATTATCATAACAGTTCAAAAACCACTTTAGTATAATAGCCACAAATCACAATCAGGAATTGTATAGCTTTTACCAAAAACCTAATTTATAAAATAACCAAGCTGAATGCCTTAACCACAATAACACAACCTTGTAATTAAATAAGTTTTTACAATGGCTTGATATACAGTAGTCTCAATTATCCAACCTAAATTGGACGCAGCAAGATAAAAAAATTGAAAACGCTAAATCACACTATTTTTGCTGTTTTCAAGGCCATAATCTAAAACAAAATAAAGAAAAATCTTACTTTAGTAACTATAAATAATAAAATTAAGTAATATTTTGCTAAAACACGTCTACATTTGACTGAAACTGGAACATGACAGGTATCAGAGACGTTTGCTGTTAGGAACAAATTTTGAGGTACACGCTAAAAAGACTCCCTGCTACGCTGCAGTTATACCATACGGAAGTAGAAACATACTAGAAAGAAATTTCTAAAATATAAGGAAGTCATTAGAAATCGTGGTTCAATCCTAATTGAATAACAATCCATGATAAATGTGTGATAAAAATTGTAACGAGTCAGAAAATAAAGTGTAGTACTTACTCCTGCGTAGGTAAAGGCTCTTCCTTAAAATAAGCATCTTGCATTGCTTGCTCCGAAGTTATCCTTTTGTTGGGATCCATCAGTAAAAGTTTCTGCAACTGTACAATGTTACAACTTAAAAACTGTAAAGAAATATTTGAATACATACTTTTATGACCTTTCTAATAATTACGTCCGTGAAAAAGTCAAATTTTCTAACTTTTTACACCTTTACAGTGTGTTGCCCAATTTTTAGCTATGTTAACCACTCGCATATTTGTGGTTTTAATATATTAACCTTACAGACTAACACCAATAGTTTATTCTTTTCATTTAAGCTCTTTATGGGATTTTGTCAGAAAATAAATAAATACATGTAACTTACTACTACACTTTAAAAATAAAAAATGATGTTCTTCTCTCAATCCCCAGAGACATGTTACAGGACAAGTAAACAGCTCAAAAACATGTTCATTGTCCTTGCCTAATTCCCTATTAAATAACACAAAATAACAAAGATTTTCCAACAAAATACACATTTTATACACAGATATTCTGCAAATTAAGATGTGATTAAGATTAAGGTTGTTTAAGGTGTTCTGTTGCTCACAAGTACGCTAGTTCAAATCTGACATCAGCGTTGTATTCTTTTCATTCCACACGACTATATCAGGTCCCTTATTTGCGAAGATTAGTGTCACTTTGTCAGAGCCAATAAAACAATGTCAGGGAAAATCAATACTCCCTTAAGTATGAATGATGTTATGTGAGACGTTAATTGTCACATATGGGTGGAATGGAAACAGAATAGAATAGTAGCGGACAAAGAGAGAACACAGTGCTTGTGACAGAGCTTTATCAAATTAGCTTTATGAACACCTTAATTTACCAACAACCTGCATACATAAGAAAATTTATAATAACAAAAAGTATAGTTACCAAGTTGAAAGCCCTTGTGTCTGGTTTGATTTTGTGACGATCCATGTACTTGACAAGAGAGCAGTTGGAGTAACTGAAAAAACGTAATAAATTGTATTTTCACAAATTTTATACTCAACCCCTACACTATACCATTGGTCTGTAAACCAGACTGTAATGTAGGTCTTTACTATCGTAAACCAGTTAAATTACTTTCTAAGAAAATTGAGGATCTAGATATAAAACTGAAAGGCAATAAATTAATTGTCAATATCTTGAGTTTGTAGACACAATCAAACTATGGTAGGCTTGATTTTCATAGTAAATTAATTTACAGTAGAGTCCTGTACCGATATCCAGTGAATAACGCTATTTGTAAAGACATGTAGACATAACCTATCAAATAGATATATCAATCAGCAGACTGGCATAGGTGAAATTCATTTTCGGGTCTGGTTTTGTATACATACTAGAGCTTATCAAGACACAAAATTGATTCCTAACCTCTCTTTTAGGAAAACAACTAGATGAAACCCGTCTAAATCGACAGTTACTTTCAAGGCTTACGCTAATTCATCTAACTGCGATAAATTAGTGAAATTATACATATTTTGAGCATTTAGCATTGGATATTAATTGCATTAGTTACCAAATATGGTTGATCATTCAATGAATAAAATATTTCCTATACCATACGTCATCGGAGATAGGCCTAGTATGTTATCTGGTATCTCTTTCTTTGGAAGAACCTTTATATAGTATTAAAATCGTATTGGTGGATCTTTTGAAGTTAAACACTTTCGTGATTTCATCAGTGTAATGCAGATTAATCTATGATTTTATTTGAAAAAATATATATATATATATCTGTTTGTTGGGAAGGCACGTTCTAACTTCAAAGGGTGGTATATACGTTACAGTGTAAGTTTGATTTTTCTTTTGTCACGTCGCGTCAGTTCATATCGTACTTCTGTGCCAATGAATAACCTTCTAGCACAGTTTTGAGAAATTGGTTGTGGTGTTACTGTTAAAGCTGGAATTCCTAGACATGGGGGATGTCAGTTAGTTGTCTCAGCCTTATCAATTACATAAAGTTGTCAATATAATCCCTCTACGGAATGTTAGGTGTAGGCTAGTGGAATATATTTGAAGTGAAGTGGACTTTTATTCTTGAACTGTTAGGGGCCTCCTCATTTATATGGTCGTGCGGCTTCATTGGCAACAAATTAATTTGAATAGGCTAAAATGTTTTGAATAAGTGAGCTAAACTCTAACAAAAAAGAAAATAAAATCTCCCAATTAGGGTGGTTGATTAATAGCATAGGAGTACTTACTTGGAGCGTTTAAAGTCCTTAAGCAATGTAGGATGTTCAGGCATTTTACGAATATCTTCCCAGTCCTTCTCTAACGGAAATCCCATAACATTAAATATCCTGAAAAGGGAAAACAATCATAATCAAATAACATAATTTAGAGTTTTGGTTTTCTTAAGTATTAAAATTTAGAATAATATTAAAGTAAATAATTTGTTTTTAAGTCAAAAACTGAAACTGTTTTAGCCTAAATGTTACTTATAATTGTAGTTAGAACAATTGGCCCATCTTTAATTTAAACAAAATTTAAGTATAAAAATAATTTATGAATTTTCCTCAAAAAATGTAGTAAATGAGGAAGAGATCATGTCTCCATTGATGCTACATAGAACTGAGAAATCTGGTAAGGCTTTGTTAAACCATGATATAGCGTAACATTTCTTTAAAAGAGTGATGATGTTGATAGCTTACAATAAAACAACCTGTCAAAGCAAATATTTATTTAAAGAATAAGCAAAGATACTGGTTTATGAGTTTTTAGTAAACATATCGAACTTGGCTTGCTTATTTCATAAAATTAGTAGAGGCTAATAGATACACAATAAAAGCACAACACTTAACACTGATACTGTTATTTAAAGTGTTTATTTAAAGTTATTAGTGAGTCGGTGGCTCAGTCGGTAGCGTCGCGGACTTCGGGCCCAAGGCAGCGATGTCGTGGGTTCGGATCCTGGTCACTGCCGATAACATTTTATCAGTACAGTTCACCTTTGTACTGTACCGGCTCACTCCTTGCTTTGCTGTTAACGATCCACGCACGGGCGCTTAGTCTATGTGGACGGGCAAATGCAAGGTTAAAAGAGGCCGCCAACCTCTTTTTAAATAAAAAAAAAAACTTATTCAGAGAATAAATTGAAGAGTAAATCTCTCTTTTACTAAATGTTCATTGTAAGATTATGTTTTTCCAATTCAGAAAATCTATTGTTAGTTGTTAAATCCAAACAATAATTGTCATGTTGGGTGGATATTTACCTATCTAGTTGATCATGATGATAAGGATTGCTGGTTTTGATATCTTCCTGCCGACAGTGAAATATTGGTTCGGACGTTAAAAGCTCCGCAAAGATACAACCAATAGCCCATATATCTAAAAAAGTAAACAATCATATAAATTATAGAGATATGAGATTTTTTTTGACACTGACACACCAGAAATTGTATTTAAGGCGAAGATGGTAATATTGCACAAGCTATATGATGGGATGAGCTTTTAGTTGTTCATTCATTGAATTGTGTCAGAAATAATTGTATAGCAAAGAAGAGGTTATGGTGCTTGCACAATAATCGGAAGATCATCAGATTGGTCTGAAAAGATTGTTGTAGCTATAGAAACAGCTGATCTTTGTTAGTAAGCTACCAAGGTATTTTAACCATACCAAAGTCAGTTTAGGTAAATTTTATAGAGGTTTACACATATACCTCAGTTGTGTTTCCATCTCAAATTCAATTCAATTTATTCCTCAAAGAAATTCACAGTACAATGGCTAAGTAAAAACCGAATGAATTACTAATACTAAAAATAAATCTAGTCAATACAGTTGGTAAGATAAAAACAATCATCACAAGAGGATTTTTTCCATATAATTTTTAAACTATTTTAACATTCATAAGTCTAATTTTTTTTATAAAACGATAGTGATAGCTTATTGTGAACTAAAGTAGTGAAGATGTAGCTGTTTACTAAGTAGTGATAGGAAACAAATAGTAATAGAAAACTTCATATACAACTCAAAATTGTAATAAAATACATTCATTAACTTTAAAACCAGCTTCAATTGCGTACCGATGGCCTTTGTGTAGTGTCTTGCCCCCAACAGTAGCTCTGGTGCCCGGTACCAGAAGGTCACCACCACGGGGTCAAGGTCAGCGAGAGGTTTGAGTGGAGCGTTGAACAACCGAGCAAACCCCATGTCTGCGATCTTCACTCTCCCCCTCTCCGAACCCTCGCCCATTACCAGGATGTTGGCTGGCTTCTGTTGAGGGAAAATACAGCAAGAAATATTATAGTCACATGTAAAATTTCAACCAAATATCACCGAAACAGTTTTATAATGAGAAGTTCAGAGTCCAATTAAAACCCACCCAGTATAAATACAACTAACTAAATAAGTAGACGTACATAGATATTAGTACATACGAGTACAGCTCAAAACTGTAATTTTGAATAAGTTGCGAAAGTCTTTGCAAATCAACAGCAATTAATTTATTTCCCACAAAGATAACATGGTGGACAAACCATGACAAACGTACTGTAATTAGAACAACAACACGTACTGTAACTAGCTTGACAACAAACAGGCATGGAATAGAAATGAAATATACAACATTTTCTAATTTTCAGATTGGTTTAAATAGTTTAAACACATTTTTTAAACTATGAAAAATCAGACAAGAAGTATAAACTCCGATAATGAAGTAAACTTTTTATCACATATTGTCCCCTTCTCAACCCCTTCTCAAATATTGTCTCCCCTTATGAGTTTTACAATATATAGGGAATACATAAATTTAAAACAATTTGAAATAAAGTGGCCATGAACTAGGGTCTTGCTAATTTAGGAACTATGGGTTACAGATCCCTTGGAGAAAATTTCCATAAATACTAAACTCGAGAAAATACACTTACCAGATCTCGATGTAGAACCCAATTAGAATGTAAATAATGGATCCCGTCTAGGATTTGATACAACAGTGATTTCACCATTGCTTTAGGAACCATAACCGGTTTCTTATTTGCTTTTGCAGCTCTATGGAACTTGATTATGTGCTGAAAATAATTTTTTTACTGAAAACATGTCAATAAGATTTATTGTTACTTTACCAAGCCTATCATTTAATAAGTTATTCATATTTAAAAAATGACAACTTATAACAAACAGTTAATGTTGTTTATCATAAAGGTATTGTTTGTCATATCCCGTACCTTTGAAAAAAAGGTGAAAATTCCATTTCTTAAGAATCACCACCCAACTAAGTACAAAGGACTAGGAAACAATTAACAATTGGTTAAAAGTCCTTGAAAAGTTAAAAAAAAATCATTTAGGCCTAGTTATTTTCAAACTGTTCAATTTTTAAAAATCTTTGCTAGAAATTCCACAATTATTCAATTTTTATTTTAGTGTCCAGATTTTAAATTTCTGGTTTTGACCATTACTTATTAGTGAAAATGAGAGTAGTTGATCCAAACATCACTAAATGACTTTTAACAACACATAGATGGATCAGGTCCCTAAAAAGATTTGTTGTTTGATTAGTCCTATGTTAAATCTAGTACAAAAAACACATAGCCTAATACAGTTTTTATTGTAACTGAATGAATGAATGAATGAATGATATTTATTGGCAAAAAACGTACAGAATATTACAGGATGTATGTACGCTTCGTCATAAATAAAATTGTCCTTATGGAAGTCGTCTCTTTCCTTCTAGGTTAAATACATTTTAAAATCGTTAACAAAAAATATACTATGTTTATAAATTCTAATAAAATTCAACAGTTTAATATACCAAAGGGAAAATTCAACAGTAACTATAACAGAGGATAAAACTGAGCTTACAACTATTTAACATGGTCTTAATTTAAATAAACAATATAAAACATTTGAGTATATTAACTGTTACATTTCTAAAACTTTCTATTGTCAGTACTTACCCACAGATCATGTTCTGCATAGTCAAATAAGAGCCATACTTTTCTATCATTATGTGAAAGGAAGACACGAATCAGATTTATCACATTTGGGTGCTTCAATTCCCGAAGTAACTGGAAAAAACATCTTTAGAGACATTTGTCGATACTATCGTAAATAATACAACTAGTATTTACTTTTTGAATACTGAGTTGAGTGTTAATAATTTCATAATAAATGTAATTTCTTGACTTGGCCAATGCGTATTGTTAATCTGGCTTAATAAAGGACTTTGACTTTTTTACTTATAACAATAAAACTTTAACTACAATCTGACAAAGAGGGATTTAATGAAAATCTGAATACATTAGAAACGTTTTAAAAATTGTTTCTCATCGGATTTGAAACCCCTATCCTGATTTTTACAAGATATTTAAAGTGTATGACGGAAAACACATTTTGTTACAATAGGCTATATCCCTAGATAATTTGCAAAAAGTTAAGAAACATGGAGGTTCATACTCACTGCAATTTCTCTACAAGCAGACATTGAAAGCCCAGTTCCTTCTATCTGTTTCAGAGCAAACTCTCGATTCATGTCAGGTCTGAAATGTCAAATAATCAGATTAATATGTAACCATTGTGGCCTATTTCTTAACTTTTACAGTCTGATAATTTTGCTTAGGTTTCACAATAGGCATATCTCTTGCATAAATAAATCTTAATCTTACCTCCTTTAACTAAGAAGCTCTAGGTTTTAGCCTATTGTGCATTAGGATTATTGTGTTTTCATTAGGAATCTGGGTTAGAAATGCAGGCCTTATACTAAACAAGACAATTTCAAGTGGTTCAAAAGTAGAGTGATTAAAAAAAAATTGACATTTTTCGGGAAGTTTCTCGTCTAGACCTTTTATTCAAGTAACCTAAGTTAAGAAGCTGTGAGGTGTGATGGTGTGAGGCTTACGATTTTTGGCTGCACTTTAGTAGCCTATCTGTCCTACACTCATTTGAATGAATACATTGATCAATATATCGATTATTTCATTCGATATATCTAGTTTGATTAGTTAGGTTAACTAAGTTAGGTAACCTAAGTAACCAAATGAAATAATCAATATAACTTAGGCCTATCGAATAATCTATATATCGATAATTTTAATTCAAATGAGTGTAGGACAGAATCGGCGTGAAACAACCCCATTCACGGTGACATATCTCAACTGTAAATTAGTCAGGGTATACGAGTAAATAAGATCGTTGTAAAGGGTAGTTCAGCAATAAAATACATAGGCCTATTGTAATATTCTTACACATTTCAACCAACTAACAATACGAGTGTACAAATAATTATAACTTAGCCTACTATAAGGTTTAGTGCTAGGGTAGGCTTTAAGCGTTTACTTTGTTTACAACTCCATGAAAACATTAATTCATTTATGCAGTTTTTTACATATATTTTAGACACTTGCTATACTCAACGGTTGGTGGGAACAACCTAACGCCATCTTGGCCGTGTGCCGCCAAAAAAAGTTCCCGCCACTTGATATTTTGGAGGTTAGGATGTCGTTGGCTCTATGACGAATCCTGCTGTGACGCCATCATTGTTGTGACGTTTTACTGTGACGTATATTCGTCAGAGGGGAAGTAGGAGAAGTGGAATGGGTTATTGCTCATCTATTGCCAGTTTCACACCGATTAGGACAGATACTAAAGTGATTTTCTCAAGTTCAAAATTATGTTAGTTATATATAATACCACCAGAACCATACAACTGTGTAGCCTATCCTGTACAGCTCTTCATTTAAAAGTACAAAGTGATAGGCCTTTACTTAAAGATTGCGGAGATAAATAGATTTAAGTTAAGTTCGTAATTTGTCTATTTTTTTTAAGTAGGGTAACTTACTACTAGGCCTTAGTAGTTGACAATTAAACGTGAGACCTTTGAGGTATAATTGTATAGACCTATGGTTGTGTACTAGGCCGAGGCCTAAATATGGTTAAACTAGTCCTTCCTCAGAAACCATTGACGGAATCAACCTTAAGGCTATCTGAACTACAAGCAGGCAAGTCTTATTTCAAATAGGTAAGGTTTTCAAATAAAGGTTGGTGAAACAAAGGGATGCATAATTTGTTTGGTTAGCACTTTTAAGAAAAAAAAATAGTTAAGATAAAGTTGCCTACCCATCTTTTCTTCTAGCTTTGTAAACATGTCCATAAGTTCCTCGTCCAACTTTACACCCTTCATAGTCGAACAAGTCTTCAACTTTAGTCCGTTCATTTGCAGTTTTAATTTTAAATTCATAATCCATCATTTAAAAAAAGTAAAAGTTACACTTAAAATTACACAAATTCTTCAGAAGTTTTCGAGGTTTGCCTACGAACTTAATTTACTTTACTTTCAGTTAACACTTTACAAGTTTACACCAGTCACCAGGTACCACACCACAAACACACAACACTGTAAGTAAGTAAGTAAGGGTCAAGGGAGTAAAGTAAGTAAATAAATACAGCTTTAACTTTTGGCGTTTGGCTTGAGCTTGAGGAGAGTACAGTTTTCTGCTTTATTGGCACTAGGCAGCTGTGCCAGCCAGGTTAGCCACTCTTAAAGCTAACACTACACTATCTAGCTAGCTAGCCGCATATAGTATGTAGTTTTCAGATATATTTTTTTATAGTTCCAACACATCCCCCGTATTGGTCTTCTTTTTTTTTCTGACATATTTCAACAGGTTGGAAAAAGTGAAAAGGGTGGAATCACGATAAAATGTTTATTGTGTTTACCAAAAACTAGGAGTCTGCGGGTCCCCGAATTTTTCGGGTTTGGCCAGATAAGATCAGGCCGATAAAAAAAAATGTATTTCCAAAGAAACACTCTTACTTTATACCTATTATTACAGAGGAATTAAAATGTTCAAATGAGGATATAATATTAAGTTTGCTCACGACCTTTAAGAATAAAGACACAAAAGAGCAATTGCCGCACTCTGCCACCAGTCAGAGCCAGTCTAGTCGTCTACTGACAAAAGCTGTGACGCAACACGAACAGTGCAAAGAAAACAAAGTCAAAAGAAAGATTATTTATCCAGAGATACCAGTTTAATTATTTATTGTTTATTCCATACCTAGTTAAAAATATATTTTAGTATTTTGCCTAACAAACTACAATAAAAAAATAAATATCTAATCTAGTGTACATATAAAAAATCTGTAATCTTGTTCTTTTAATTATGCAGTGTCATCAGCATAGCAGACGACATTTCCCCCAAAATTTGGAAAGGGGTCATTGGTCATGAACAAAAGGGGGTCCAGTACAGACCCCTGTGGGACACCATGAGTTATCTGACAAGGGCTAGAGGTATGCCCATTTAAAAGCAACCTCTGCTCACGCCCAGCCAGATATGACCGGGGCAACACCGGTGCACCGGTGCATGTTCCCAGAACGCGCTCAATGAATGTTAACATTCATGGACAACCAAACATGGGACCAAAATTTTGGTTGTCAGATTTGTGATATATCCTCATAGCAACTTTAAGATTTTTGTTCTACGTCTACGTAAGGCATTGTGGTATTACTGGATGCTAGCTATTATGTGTGCTGAATTTTTATTTCAGGTTTAGTGTTGCCTACAGTATTATTTTGAGGCTTCTGATTGGATGAGGGAACGTCATTACCGCAACGATACGGTTGATGCCATCGACCTCGGTGGTGTAATGGATAGAGTGCTGGGCTGACGATCCGAAGGTCCCGGGTTCGAATCCCACCCGTATCACAATTTTTTTATTGGATTTTTTTCATTATCAACAAGTTTGGTTGGTTTGGTTAGGTTATGACGGTTTAATTTTATAATTAAAACATTATGAAATTGAATTTGACCCATTTATAGTTTTATTTTATGAACAGAAATATTTTTTTCTGTTAAACATTCATTTGATTTTTTATTGTTAGCAAGTCTGGTTAGTTTGGTTAGGTTATGATAGTTTAATTTTATAATAAATAAAATTATAAAATAGGATTTGAGGCATTTATAATTTTATTTTATGAACATAACTATTTTTTCGATTAATAAACCTTCATTAGATTTTTTCATTGTCAGCACGTTTGGTTGGTTTGGTTAGGTTATGACGGTTTAATTTCATAAAAAAAATATAAAATTGAATTTGAGGCATTTATAATTTTATTCTATGAACAAAAATAATTTTTCAATTACTAAACCTTCGTTATAGTCAATCAGAAGCCTCTAAATGACACTGTTGGCAAAATTAATCCTGAAAAACAAATTGTGCATTATGTGTTCTTGTTCTTACATATTTTTATGATTGGTGCGGCTGAAGGGAGGTTCTCGGGATGAACGGCGAGAGCAGGCGTAAACAAAATCGTCTGCTACTGGCGTGTGACGTAATTTTTTCTACATTATTTGTTGACTGTTTTGACTGAACTGAAAATCAAATCAAATCACTCAGACTCAGGACTCAGTAAGTAAGTGAAACCATTGTGAAACAGTGAAAAAATAACTGCTGACAAATAAGCCTAGGCATTAATGAAAAGAAAAGTGTTAAACTTAGTGGAAGTGGAGTGATATTGGTGTTAATGAACTAAGTCCTAGATTTAAAATAGTTGCCTTCTGTTTTAATTAGAAAATTAAATTATAAATAGAACAAGGCCACAGTTATTTTCTTGGTAGGCCTATAAACATACCTAATTATGATTGAGTCCTAACCTAAAAGCTAAAAGATTGAACAATGACTTATTCCGGTGCAACAGCCTTGGTTCAGCTGTGAATAACAAAATATAGGCCTAATTAGTTCCAGTTTTCATTTCTTGCTACAAAATGGGTCAAAAGCAAACTTTGGTTGTTGAAAGATACAGACACTTCTTTATTATTGTTTTGTTTGTAATCATTCTCTCATTTGTTTTTATAATATTTGCTTTACTGAATATATTTTCTAAGAGTCTGTATAGCAACAGCAATACCAAACTTGAACAAATCTCATTTGATAACTTGCAACACATTCCTGAAATTGTTTTGACGAAACGGCCTCTGATATCAGGTAGTAGGAACTACCGTTGCAGTTACTACGATTGTTTCAATGTGTATCGTTGTGGCAGAAAAGGGGCTGATCAAATATCAGTATACGTTTATCCTTTTAGAAAATATGTGGATGAAAGCGGTTCATCTGTAGGCCCACAGATGTCTAAGGAGTATTTCACTATCTTGAAAACAATTGTTAAGAGTAAATATTACACTCCTGATCCAGAAGAAGCATGTATTTTGGTCCCTTCAATCGATACACTAAACCAAAATCGGCTGCGTTTGAAGGAGATATCTCAAGCACTTGGACTACTGCCGTAGTAAGTATGATGTTTAGGTTTAACCTTGTAACTCTTGGTTTAGGCTTAGTAATCTTGGTTAAAATCTTAAATGAGCATTATTTTAACTTCTAATTTATATCTGTCTCTGATTAATACTGACTGCAAACAACAACATAAATTAACTTACTACTTAGTATCAATTTAAAGTTGTCTTTGTATTCCATTTTATGTAGGTACCTGATTATCAAATGTTACATAGACTATTTTGGCTAAAATTTGATACCCAACTCCATTGTAATTATAGATTGCTACAATTCAGTGGCGGCTAGCCCATAAGGACTGTCGGACGCTGCGCTCCCAACAATTCATAAATAAATTACATTTTTATATTCTTCGGTTTAATTAAATTAAAATTACTTTAACGAGTACTTTAAACAATATATAACATAAATATGTCAAATAATTGGATACCGGCAATTCAATTTAGCATAGACTCATTTTTGATCGTCGCTTGTTTAGTAAGGACGGCAGCCAGACCGTCCCAATCCCAATACATGTAGTCTTCAGAACAACCGAACAGCGCTGAGGGTGCCATGGCGTCATTCCAATGCTTTAGCATAGGCGCTTTAGGGCAGAGTCCAAAGCTGCACGCACACCCTTAAATCAGGGTAGCCACCACAATCTGGATATTCTGTATTGCAAGCTAACGTTATGATGGGTAGAACTGATGTTGTCGCACCGGTTTGTCATAAGTCAAACCATCTATCTAATTTCTAAAACTAGAAAACAACTGCAGCTAACCTCGAAATGTAATTTTGGTTTGGTTTTGTTGTTTAGTGATTAATGAATAGTGATGTTGGAGTACTGTTCGTGAATGTATTTAAGTAAAATACTAACTGTATTCTTTATTAAATTGATTTCACATCCAGTTTTGTTAAAGGTTTTGCATTTCTGGTTAATCAATATTTTTTTAATAATAGTTTTAGGTTCGGGTACCGGTGTAAGTTTAAATGCAATTTGTTTTTGTAAGCTGTTTTACTTATTTGGCTTTCTATTCCTTATTACCTTGGATATTTTTTGGGATATAATCACTATTTTGTTAATGTTATTTTCAGGACATTCCCATTTGCAGATACTGTTATTAAGATAAACTAGTGCACCTGCTGCTCGAATTCGAGCAATTGCAAAGTATTACAGGCGTTATTTCAGAACAAATAACAGTCATAATTTCTGATGACTTAACAGAGTCAACTCAAGGATAATGTAATAAATCACTCCACTCCAGTTATCGAAACTGAAAACAAACTCACTCTGAATATAACGAACGTTCTTGTGGGTATCATGTCTTTACTATGAACAGCTGTTTTAGTATGAAATTTTATTCGTCTGTTAAATTAAATCTTTTCTTCTTAAGAAATACATTGAGATTTTGATGGCCTGTGAGGCAAAGCCCGAGGACTTTTATTACAGGAGTTGGTGAAAGGGGGTGTCTACACGAAAAATTCGTTATTTTGACACATCGTTTGTAAAGATCCGTCCATTATTAACGGAGGAGTAGTGTTTTGTTGAAATCGTCGTCACGTATTATATATAAGGATAGGCCTACAATAGCAACCTTGGAAACAAGTTTAGATAAATATATCGTAGGCTAGGCCTATGTGTGTTTGTATTATAAGTTTTAGCCTTAAATTTTTTCAGTTCTTTGACAAACGTGATTGATGTTAGGCTTTCGTTTAGGTACATATAAAATATGCAGAACCCTTCCACCACCTATGAACACCAGCCGCTAACTGCTACAACTGATATAGAAGTTTGGGTTTTATTTTATTTATTTTTTTTAATTTTTTTTTTTTTTATTTTTGCTTCCAACAGTCCAAATAAACCAATTTACAATTATTTTTTTATATAATGCTTACTCAATGTTCCTATAACTAATGGTCAAGCCAAACATGGAAAGGGGCTTAAGAATCTACTTATAGAGAGAACTTGACAACAAGAACAACAACTAAAATCTGAGCAATGTTGACTAACAATGATAAATCTTTGATATAATTGGATCTTTGATATAATTGGGTTTTGATTAAGTTATGTCTTAGTTAATGGTTAAATCAGTACCGTATCGTAACTTAATATCACTGATTAAATACGATTGAGTTGGATGTTTAAAGTTTTGCCAATATTTCAATGATTATTCCTACCCAATTGTTTTTTAGTTGGTATGGTGGAGAGAATCACCTAATATGGAACATGATTCCTGGTTCACCACCCGAATACAACACAGTAGTGGATTTATCACTGGGAAACGCTTTAGTAGCTGGAGCTGGATTTGATTCGTGGACTTATCGTGTGGGCTTTGACATTTCACTTCCTGTTTACAGTCCTTCAGCCTCAACACTTGATACTGACAAATCTGGTATCATGAAAAGGTAAGCTGCAGGTGAAATCTCTTAACTTATTAGCTGTAGTAAAACCTTTCCTATCTGCCTAGGGGTGGTAATACTTGTAACTCTTGACAACTTCTTGCAGACATTTTCAGTATTCTCGTTCCACAGTAGTCTTGAGTCAAGTTGAAAGTTTGACCGTCCCTGGCTGGGGCTACATGTCATAGTTTGAGTTTTGTCAGCATTGAGGCTTAGCCTATTAACTTAAAACCATTCCCTGGCCTTTTAAAAAAATTTCATTTGCCCTCAGACTTGCATCTCCTGGTGTTTTACCCTTTGAAAATTGTGGTGACACCTGCAAAGAGTTATCACTTAGCAAACTTAAGTCATTTATTGCAATGATAAACAGCACAGGACCCTTGACCGAGCCTTGTGGGACACCTTGGCTCACTGAAAGGGTGGAAGATGAGGCTCTTGGTATTGAGACTATCTGCAGACGATCTTGGATTTAGGAGCACAGAAAATTTAGAACTGGTCTTTAAACGCCATATTTCTTCAATTTTTGTAGTAAAACATTTTGAGAAACACATTCAAATGCCTTGCTTAAATTGTCAAGAATTAGAGATACTAAACCCTATTTTTATGCCTTCATTGTCTTCATGATATATTAAAGGCCAGACTTGACACAGCAGTCAATGTTGATTTCTGCTCTCTGAATCCATGTTGGGAGGGCGTCTCCAAATAGCTTGTTTCTTTCAAAATGGGATATACCTAGCCTACATTGCACATTCAGGAAAGAAACTCTCAAGTTGCTTTGACTATGTCTACATTTACCTTGTATGGACATGCTGCGGTTACCTTCAGTCTATTTAGCAGTCTGTTCTATCCCTTCTGTGGCCTGCTCATTCGCCTGAATGAAAAACGCTAAAGAATCACATTCTTTGGCCAAATTGATTCATTCATTTAAATAATCCTTCTTGGCAAAGTCCACACCAATTTTAAAACTGCCATTAGGCCTAGTTTCTTCGCTGGCCATCTTTTCCTCAGCGGTATTGATTCCTGATATCTTAGTGGACAATAACTCCATTATTGAATCAACACTTGTACCTTTTCTAACCCTTCTAAGGTAAAACCAAGCGTTCTTTTCCCCAGCAACAATGTTGACAGAGTCCTCACAATGTTGTTCAAAGGTGGTTTTGAGGAGTCCTCACAAGTTCCAACAATGATCTTTGACAAAGAGGTAAGCCCTGAGGTTGATAAAGATTTCATCACTTGATCATGTTTCATTCTTCCTGTCTCTGGCCTGTTCTTCTTGCTGCCAATGCTGTTTCCAGTAGTTCCTTGTTGCTGGTCCTGTTTAGGGGAGTGTGTGAGACCTTTTTCTTTTCTCAGGGGTATCCAACCATTATCAATATGAGGGAAGTCAGATTCTTGAAAAAGTTATGTATATCTTACATTCAGCATAATGTTAAATTCAATATGATGAAGCTAAACTAAATGATTAATTACTTGATAACTCGGACTCACACGTTCACGTTTGTGCAGGAAGTGGCTGGTGATATCCTCGCAAGTAAACATCCACCCAGAGTACAGTATGGAGTTACAAGGTCTGGCTGAGACCAAACCACAGCTGTTGGTGTTGGAGCCATGTCCTGGCCAGACCAATACATCGCTGCGGTGTGCTGGTCCCTCCAACACTGTCTACCACTATCCAGAGATACTTCAGGTGTGTATAATTAAGCGTCTAGTGAATCTGTAGTGAATTAGCGACAAGATTTCTCTAACAACAAAGCTAGCTTACAGACAGTTATATAAATATCAGGTTAAAAACATAGCCTATGTTAGGATGTAGTGTATCGTGGTTATTTCTTGTGTAATGACAGGATCGTTGATATACGTAAACAAAGTTTCTAGCATCATTGTACCAAAGTGAGCTAGGGGCAAGCCGTGGATGGATGTAGCCCTATAGCTGAGTGCTCATCGTAATCTTTAACAATCAAAATGTTGCCGGATCTATCCTAAAAAAGTCAATAGCAAATTGACCGTTTGAAACTGGACCCAACTGTCCCTGATCGTTGGGCTTTAAATAAATGATCATAGCTAATGAAACAGCTGATCTTTCAGTTGATCTCTCAATAACAAAAGCTACACAGATCATCTCACACCATTCTACACTCATCCGTCACTCATATTTGGGTTAAAATACACACCTAGGTGGCGTCCCCATCTTATTTGATAATGATTATGATGGATGAAACACAAGACTGCTACTAATAGTTCACTGATGAAAAGTTGAAGGTATAGCGTAATCTAGTCCTAATGTTTAGAAAGTAAGACTTCAGAACTCTTAACTTTGTTTCCGCCTAATTTCACTAACGTTATCAAGTCTTATAAAGAACAATTTTAGTTGAGTTCATCATATAATTTGTAAAACTGCTTCAGTAACGTTTGCATTTAAATAGAACACAATGCCTTTTTTTTAGCTAGTGGAACATTAAAACCTATGATGGAGTTTATTGTACATTGCGACAGAAATTCCTAAATGGCGCATATGGGACACAACTTCAAGCCGTCTACCTCACATGGTGATAGCAGTAACTAGAATGACATTTTTTATTGTTGTGTGAACAGGAAGGCAGTTTCTGCCTAGTGCTGCGTGGAGCTAGGCTAGGACAGCCTACACTGCTGGAGGCTCTAGCGGCTGGTTGTATACCTATAGTGGCAGCAGACACCATGGTCATGCCCTTCGCTGATGTCATTGACTGGAAAAGGTGAGTAACGAGCTTATAAAGCCATAAGTCATAGAGACAGAAAACTTTCGCATATCCGGGTTATACAGGGTTAGGCAAAAGTCTGGAAACCCTCCAGTTAACTTTTTAACGCGTTGCAGTAGGAAAATCTAACTCGGCACATATCTACAACCTAAGAAATTGCACTTTTCATCAAAGTTACAACTTTGCCCCAGTCCCAAAATGGTGTATTTAGGGGGCAGCCCCAAATTTTCAAATGTAAACACCTATCATGTGACCTCTCATGTTAAAGAGTTTATGAAGAGAAATTGAATGGCGCAAACCAGAGGTCAATATCGCACCCCTAATCAAAATGGCAGCCATTTTAATTATTTAAGATGAGCAAGCAAGATAAAGTCTGGACACCCCTAGTTAACTTTAAAATGTTTATATTTTAATACTGACCAAAAGGTGAATTATTTTTTTTTATAAAGGTATGCTGAGTTTAGTTTTCCTGCTATAACCTGTTAAAAAGCTAATAGGGGATATTTTAAAATGACTGCCATTTTGATTAGGGGTGCGATATTGACCTCTAGTTTGCACCATTTAATTTTTCTTGAGAAACCCTTTAAAATGAGGGGTCACATGATAGGTGTTTAAATTTGAATATTTTGGGCTGCCCCCTAAATACCCCATTTTGGGGACTGGGTACAAGTTCTAACTTTAATGAAAAAGTGAATTTTTTATGTTGTACACATGTGCCGAGTTTGGTTTTCCCACTGCCACACGTTATAAAGTTATCTGGGGGTGTCCAGACTTTATCTTGCTTGCTCATCTTAAATTGAAATGGCTGCCATTTTGATTAAGGATGCGATATTGACCTCTGGTTTGCGCCATTCAATTTTTCTTGATAACTCTTTAAAATGAGGGGTCGCATGATAGGTGTTTACATTTGAAAATTTGGGGCTGCCCCCAAAATACTGGAACAAAGTTGTATTTTTAATGAAAAAGTGCATTTTCTTATGTTGTACTGTAAATATTTGCCGAGTTTGGTTTTCCTACTACAACGCGTTAAAAAGTTAACTGGGGGGTTCCAGACTTTTGCCAAACCCTGTACAGTAGCATGTTGCATTGGGCATGTTTAATTTTAAACCTTTGGACATGTTCTCTAGCAGAAAATGGTGTAATACCTAGTTTTAGAATTTTTGGCTGTATTTTGCAACTTTGCAGCCACAATTTGTAGACTGAGATATTTTCAGCAATTTGGCACTGTCAAAGTTCTAAACATGCCAGATTAGCAAGTGTCATGTTTTGGTTTTACTTTTAAATGATTTTGTTTTAGTAATTTAATCATCCTTCAACGTATGTTAATTTTACTTCCCTGAATGTGTCAATTGTTTGATCCTAATCACTAAAATTGTATGTTATTTAGTAAAAAATTTAGGCCTAATTCCATATCCAAAAATTTCCCTTTTGTGAACTGTACTGAACCATTTCTTAAGTTCTTATTTTTATTTTATCAATCAAGAAAAGATACAATCTAAGAAATATAAGGTGCAATCGCAGTTTGTTGACTACACTTTATCTTTCCAACCAGAGCCGCTTTGTTCGTGGGCGAGGCAGATCTGAACACCATCGTAGACCTTGCTGCTGGAGTGTCACCTCGTCACAGGGAGGAGATGAGTGAACAAGGACTGTGGCTTTACAAGAAATACTTCTCTTCTGTTGAGGCACTAACACTGACAGTGCTCGACATAGTCAATGATAGAGTGTTTCCTCACCACGCCAAGGTGTATGAGGACTGGAACTTCCCCAACTATAAGGTATGTACTTGTGACATCTTTGAGTGTACAAGTCCAAAAGGCTTAAAGTCTTTAGAGCACAACGTAGGTTGCATGAAAAGTAAGGTTGTGCAGGCCAGACTTTTTTTACTTTGGGTCGAAAATTTGAGCCCTCAGGACTTGGACCAAGATTTGGTCAGGCCAAAATCAGGTTGTTTTGGAAAGATTGACGATCCCCCATATCACAAAAAGTTCAAAAGCTTCGTAATGTTTTCTGTGGTTTTGTCAAAATCAAGAACATCTTCTGCGGACATGGTGTAATCGGGAACATTATTTGCGGTCTCAGTAAAATCTTCTCGGTCATGTCATTATCATCTCTGCTAGGATCGCGGCAAACTGATCCATGAGACCAACTAATGGCCTAAAGATCACATCACCAAAGGGGTGTGCCCAATTTATGGTGTCTTCATTTTTTGCTACACATTGAGCAATAGTGATCATTAGGATTTATATTTCTTAGTGTCTTTCGGTACATTAAGGACATGTCCAATTAAAAACTGAAACTTCTCCGAGGACATTTTTGAAATTTTGTCAAGTAATCAAATACTTTATTTCAGTTATCAAACTATGTGTTTTAATGAAATGAATAAACTCTGTTTACAGAGGATTCCGCAGTCGCCGCTGTTTCTCCCGCTGACTGCACCTCGTGGCCCAGGGTTCACAGCCGTCATCCTCACCTACGATCGTGTAGAAAGTCTCTTCACCCTCATCAACAAACTGATCACTGTGCCAAGCCTCAGCAAGGTGATCGTTGTGTGGAATCACCAGAAAAAACACCCTCCTCCATGTAAGAATTGTTGGTATACCCCTTGTCTCAACTGAAAAAGGTTTTAACCATCGGAAGATAATGTAAGAATGAATTAAGGTTATGATGTTTTTGGTAAAGATGGCTTTAGGCCAGGTATTTAAAACAGTATGCTTACCTAACTGATTACATATTAACTATAATTTTTCAGTATTAGACTCTTTGTTCTTATAAAAAAAACCATTAATCATACATCACTAATCAGTACAATTCACTCTTGTATTGAACTGCCTAACTTGGTTGATATGATCCAAACACAGACCGAGACCTTTGAGGGTATAAAAGTGAACAAACCGAAAACATTATTATTAATTATTAACCAGATTTCAGTGCTATGACCATTCTAGACTATAGTTGTATAGTACTTTTATTACTCTATCTTACACGGCGTTCCATATTCACCTGCTGTAAAACCACTTGATATAAGGAGCAAAATCATATTTTTTCAGTACAATAAAAATGTGATATCGTATAACTATGCGTAGCAAGAATTCTAGCACATTTGAGGATTTGGGTGACAAAGGCATATAGGCTACAGTTTTTTACCAAACTTAACATGAGATATGTCTGATTAAGTCCTGTCATACCATCATTCCTTTATCTGCCACCAGTCCTTCTCTTAAAATATATTCTAAATTACATTGTTGCAAAAAAGACTATCTTTTCTCCATCTGTAGTCCATATTTTTTGTCATGGAGGAGTCTAAGGGCTACAATATGGATTGTTATTACTTTGTTGCCTGTAATGTTTTTTATCATTTTTAATTTTGAGTTTGCTTTTACCAAGACTTGTGTTCCAGCACATTTATGGCCCAAAGTGAACAAGCCTGTGAAGTTGATACGTACCAAAGAGAACAAGTTGTCCAACCGCTTCTACCCTTACGAGGAGATAGAGACAGAGGCCATTCTCACCATTGATGACGACATTATGATGTTAACGGCTGACGAACTTGAGTTCGGGTTTGAGGTATGAGGACTAATGGGTGAAATAAAATGATGGTCCTTTTACCTATTGGAGTCAATTAGGTAATCAACACTAGGTTGGATTATATAAATATGCAGTGAACTGTTCAGTTCAGATATGTTATCAGCAGTGGCGTAACTAGAACATGGCTTTGGGGGGGGGGATGGAGGAGGCCCAATACCGGGGGGCCTGGGGTGTATGGAATACCCCCCAGCCAAAGGGGGGGGGGGGTCCGGGGGTCCTCCAGAAAATTTTGAAAAATTCGAACTCCAAACTCGCTTTTTCAGGCATTGTAGAGGTGTAAAGAACGTTCAAAAGAACTCCAAAAATTTACCCAGTTGAGGCCGGTCTCTGACCGGTCAGTATCAGGAAATAGTAAGTAACTAAAAAATCAAAACCACAACACAACAAACGAACAAATTATCATTAAGTTGTTGTTGTACTGTAGCCTTCTGTGCTGCGCGTGAAGAGCCGTATCTACTGAATTTTTATTTCAAATAGATTTTGACAGGCTGAAAACTTAATGTATTATTGATCAGTATCAGTGGCGGCTCTAGGACCTTGTCTAGGGGGGGACTCCGGGGGGTTTGGGGGGTGTGGAGCACCCCCCAACCCGGAAAAATTTTTAAAATTTTAAAGCCGTTTGGTGACTTTTTAAAGCAATTTTAACGCCTAAAACTGTGTCCAATAATAGTCCAAAAACTCCCATTTCACCTGTTGTTTGTCATGCATGAGCAAATAGACATAAGTAGAATAAAGTAAAGTATATTTTTTTAATAGTTTTTACCAATTTATTTAATAGATCAGATTTATTATCCCAATAGAACTAGGCCTATATTAAATATGAATAGATATTGCAAAACATAACAATTAATCCTCTATTGTGGTTTCTATTTCATAATTCAACTTTTTAAACCTAGTTTTAATTTGTACTGCTCAATTTCGGAATTTTGGGGGAGGGGTTTGACTCTCTAACCCCCCTCCCTGCCTACGGCCTTGTAAAACGGGACTACACTGTATTGAAAATATAACTAACAATTGATAATTTAATAGTAAAAAATGCACGGCAATAATGAGTAGATAACCAAACGGTAAGGCCTGACAATGATTGAATTGTATAATTTAAACACCCACGGCAATAACGAATAGAAAACCAAACCATGAGGGTAAGGCTTGACTAATTGTATTTTATATTAAAACATCCACGGTAATATGAGTAGAAAACCATACCATGAGGATAAGGCCTAACTTTAATTGTACTGTTTGAATGTGAAATCCATCCTCCTTTCTTTCTGCCCGGCGAAGTGATCTATTACTTTTTCGTTGAAGTTTAAAGTTGACAACAGCTTTTTTTCGATAGAACACATAGCAAGCGCACTTAGTCTGTCTTGTTTCATGGTACTCCTGGTAAACGTTTTAATTCGTTTCAAAGTAGAGAAACAACGTTCACTTTCCGAAGTAGTCATAGGTATTGTGCTTATGATTTTTAAAAGTTTGATTGACTCTGGAAGCACATCTTTGAGGTTGTTGTCATAGACAAAGTTGAGTAGTCTTAATGACCCTGTGGCCGTTGAAAAATCATCCCTATTGTAAATAACATTTAACTCCTGTTTCAATTCAGTTTTATTTAGGCTAAATAGTTCCGCAGCAGCGTGTAACTCTTTTTCGGGAAACTTGGTTTTAAACTCCCCAAACAAACTTGGCTGAAACAGTTTTGCCGCGGACAAATGATTTACAAACGTAAAACGGTCATCAATTCCCGACGTAATTATGTCACACACTTCCTTTGCGACAACGCGTTTTTGATCGTCGTATCTTCTCCGCTTTTTGCTCGATTCGGGTTCACTATCTCTCGGTTGATCTAACATGGTCGAGTTTCTTACGCGATCTACCACAGTTTTGAAATCGCCTACAAACTTAAACGCCTTGACGCAATCAATTGTTGTTTGCTGCAGTTGGTTGTACAGAATGTCACTGTGGGGCAGTATTTGATTGAAAAAGTCCAGCCAGAAAATAAAGTCTTCGTCTTTTAGAATACTTCTTAGGCCAACAGCTTTATTTATTGTGGCATAGTCATTGGTGTCATCGTCGAGTATGTAACTTAAACATTCCTCCAACTCTCTTTGATAATTAAAAATTGTGCTTACAATTCTGGATTTAAAATTCCACCGAGTACCTGAGCTTTTTGGAATACGACGTTTTACTATCTCATCGAGAACTGCAGTTCTCTTTGTTGACTGGGAAAAGAATGATGAAAACCCCTCGATATTACTGAAGAATATCTTAACCTGCTTATTTTGTGTAGCACTGCGTTCAATGATTAAGTTTAATTGATGTGCGTAACAGTGGACAAAATTTGCATTCTTATATTTAGATTTTACACGCGCTTGTACTCCCGTGTGTTGGCCACTCATTACGGAAGCCCCATCGTAGCTCTGGGCAATGACTTTATCAGGAGTTTTGTCGAGGTTTAATTGCTCTAATACTTCAAAAATTGTTTCGCTAACTGATTCTGCATCATGGCCTTTTGGTCTAATAAAAGTGATAAATCGCTCGTGAATCGTGCCATTCAGCTCGTACCTAATAACAAATACTAGTTGGGATAAAGTGGCACAGTCTGTTGTTTCGTCGGCTTCAATAGCTACATAGTCGGTTTGTGTCAATTCGTCACGAATCATTTGCAGACAAACGTAATATATTGAGTCCAATAACTCGTTCTGTATGGTTTTAGACAGACCCAAAAACACTCGGTTATTTGTTTGATTTATGTGCTGTTGCAATGTTACATCCAGCTCCGCCATAAGGTTAACCAAACCACGAAATATGCCAGGATTTTTTGAATTTTCGCGTTCATCATGTCCTCGTAATGCTAATTCAAACGCTCCACAAAATTTAATTGCATCAATTAGCTTACTTAGAATGTATCGATTTTTCGAAACATCTTCATTTTGTTTTTGTATTTTTAACCTATATGCATTGTCCAATTGGCATCTAATATCAACTTTACCTAAAACAGCATATTCTATTGACGCATTTATGTGCTTTTCACTTGTTTTGTGTTTTTTTACTTTTTCCAGTAGATGTTTAAGGTCTGAAATCCCGTCTACAGTCCATGCTCTATCTTGAACCCCCATGACCAAACAAGTGTAGCAGAAAAATGAATTTTTAATTGAACAGCCACATAGCCAATCGGCATGATTGTACATATGTGGCGAAAATTTTCGTGTGAAGCTATTCTTATTCTTTGAACTGTTTTGAATTTGGTTTATGTTCATGAAAGGTCTAGGAGGTCCTAATTTTTTCAAAGAAATTCTGTGGTCAATATTTTTGATCCCTTCATTGATAATCAGGCTAACTTCATTAGTGACGTTAGCCGTCGACGACAACGAAATGCCGCCGTCCATTATTATTTAGATTTAGGCCTTCAACCCACGGCAAATTTACCCGTAATAACTTATTAAGACAATAATAAGTAACTATAACTAAAGTTGTCCGAGTCACTTTACCTATGGTTAGTTTACTTCGTTTTCGGGTTGATTAGGTTAGCCTATACTAAAACTACAGACGTAACTTATTGACTCAAAAATACCAACTAACTAACTCAATCAATTAAGTATAACTATTAATAATTTCTACTTAGCTCTTTCAATCTTCAAAAAACTACCGCTGCCTTCCTTAGGCCTCCATCACTATCACTAAACACTATTGATCACAAAACAACAGGTCGTTTGGCACTAAACTATAACTGAACTGTGGTCATGGACATGGAAAGAAGTGAGGTTAGTTTATGTTTATGGTAGTGACAGTGTGGATTATGGCTCCAGCGCTGCCAACATGGTTCTTCCTATCCTAATCGTGTGTGATGCAGAATTATCCAGTTTAGGGTGGCTGCCCTGATTTATGGATGCGCGCGCAGCTTTGGACTCTGCCCCAGAGTCCCTATTGTAAAGCATTGGAATGACGTCACGGCACCCTCAGCGCTGTTAGGTGTTTCTACCATAACACTACATGCATTGAGTTTGGGACGGAGGTTGCCGCCGTCCGCAATCCACATTATGAAAGCGACTATCGCAAAACAGTCATTACTGGATTCAAAATTTAAAACTATTTCATTTCATATTATTATCATATTGATTAAGTAGTCGTAAATAATTGTAATTTAATTTTAATTACGACATATTATTTTTTTATTACATAAATAAAAAAAATATTGATTTCTGTATTGTTGGGAGGGCGGCGTCCGAGAGTCCTTATGGGCTAGCCGCTACTGATCAGTATACCTACAGTGTTGAGACATTTGTTGAGACACTTAAGACACAATCAACAATGAAGATTGACAGTCAAAACCAATATTGTTAGAAAGCCCTTAAATTTCTTGTTATTTGTGTATGTCAGCTGTAAAGAGGATTTAAACGTAAAATAATATCCTTAGGCTACTGTTAAAACTTGATATTAATATAGTTGTGAAATTCGTGTTGCCTAATATAGTTGGGTTAGTTCGAGTAAAATAGTTGGATAATTCAGTGGCTCCCCCCAAATATTTTTTTCGTGCGATGCCTCTGACTGTAGGTAAAATTATTGGGCGGAAAGAGTGACCCTCCCTAGAAACCAGAAACCCCTACCCCACCCGCCCCTACACCACGTGTCGTCGCAAAGTAAGCAAGACGGAATGTTATTGTATGTTATCAGGAACTGTCATCACTTTCAGTATGCTCAGTTTTTGTTACCATACGCTTTCTAAACAAATCTGTTATTAAGCTTTGCTATGCTGATGCTTTCCTCTTAGACATTGTGAACACATCATCACTGAATAACAAGTAACACGCAGAACACAGGCGACAAGCACAGGGAAACGCGCCAGACCCAGAACAGACTGAGCGGGAACTTACAGCGCATGAGCGGCAGTGTTGCCGACCTAATATGATGACTTTCCACGTAATTGCCACTGGAAATCCCAGATTTTATTCGCAAAGATAATGAAACTACCCGCAACAATTCCTGATCCACCCTCTGTGAACAATGTTCATTATGGAGTAGGTTATCCAGTTTTATTTTTGCCTTTCGGGTGGGGGGGGGGGGGGGTTCTATCCCCCTCATCCCCCCCCCGTAGTTACGCCACTGGTTATCAGGTCCATAATTTCTATTAGTTTTGGAGAGGCTGTAAATACCATACATACTGTACCATACATAGCTATAAATACACTACCCTCAATAAATAAATGAGGATATTAACTTGATCTGTCCACATCGTGCACTGTGTAATATTTTTTGTTCACAGGTGTGGAGAGAGTTCCCAGACAGGATAGTTGGATTCCCTTCCCGCACCCATGTGTGGGACAACTCTACCCAAAGGTGGAAGTATGAGTCTGAGTGGACAAACCAGATCTCCATGGTGCTCACTGGTGTGGCCTTCCACCATAAGGTAACCAAGCTATTCAGATCACACACTCTATTCTACACTCATCCTCCATTCATACTCTGCTTAAAATACACTCCAAATCCAAAGTGTGTGCGGCAATCTTAAAGAGTTGAATTTAATAGCTAAACTGTTGATAGTTAAAATTTGTATCCTAACATGTTGGCTGTGTGATCATTTTGCTAAACTGTAAATGAGAGATTACTAACAGAAATTTGCTCAAAATGTTTGGCTTTGTTCTTTTTTTTAAGCTCTTTTCAAGATTGGTTTTTAAAAGTTTGTTTTTGGTTTATTCTAAGACATTGTGTAACGAGTTATTTTCCTAGACCCGGCTTTTGGCCTAGTGGTTTCCCTGACCTTATCGCAGACCCTGGAACTTTTCCCAGCCATTGTAGGCTGAGCTATCCCCGGCAAACGGTTGCGACTGCACTTACTTTTAATATTTTCCCAGTGCAGAAAATCGCGTCGCAATTGCTATTAGATATTAGATTCCTTTGTACTCCGCCATGCCATCTTTACCCAAACCACAAGGGTTCTCCATCTTAACCTTTAACAAAAATCAAGCTTGGCCAAATGTGTCCAATTGGAGTTATTGATTAATATTTTAACCGACTGATTTTTGAACTGTGTCCAGTACTGGAGCTACCTGTACACGACTGCCATGCCGGGAGACATCAAGGAGTGGGTGGACAGCCACATGAACTGTGAGGATATCGCCATGAACTTCCTGGTGGCCAACATCACCAACAAGGCTCCCATCAAGGTAAGCTTTGTTGACAAAAAAAATACTGTAGCTAACATACAAGGGCTGTCTGTATAGTAGGAATCTAAATTAAAGTCCCATGTTTGCAGGTAGAGTGGACCCGTTGTAATGCTGCTTGTCAAAACAACGCTATTGTTAGGAGCTCGGCGATGCAGGCGGGCCGGGAATACCGCCCTCCCCTCGCTGTTCCTAGAAAATCCGTGCCCTACTACAATTCGCATAAATAGAACCATAAGACTTGGAGCATTAGGCGAAGGCTCATTTTGTTCGTCTGAGAAAGACGAATAAATACAACTTTGAGTGAACGCTCTACGATTTCCCGTTATCAGGTCGAGGAGTTATCAAACGGATTTTCCCAATGTGCCCGGCCAGAGCAGGTTCATTCATCGAGACGGAATCGAAACAAATACAAGACGGATGAACATCCCCATCTGGCCATGCAAAATCCGTTAACATAGTGTACACATTTATATGACCACCCCCGATTCCCCTCCACCCCTTATACTTATTTTCTATATCTATAAACATCTGTCATCCAGCGATAGAATTAAAATAGTGGTTGACACCCTAGACCACCGGAATCTAATCTTAGGATAGATTCATACTTGGCGGGAGCATGGATTTCCCTATGTATAGTTACAAAACCTGGAAGGATTTTGTGTAAAAAAATCTTGCACCTGGGCCGAATCATTGTGATATTACTCTATAATGTTTCTTTATTATTTTTTTTTTTAATCAGTTAATTTTAAGAACTAAACTAAAAATGTAATCCTTGTTTATTAAATAACCTGCTGTTTCCCGCAGGTAACTCCTCGCAAGAAGTTTAAGTGTCCGGAATGTGTCAACACTGAGATGCTAAGCTTGGACCTGAGTCACATGGTCGAGCGCTCCGAGTGCATCAACCGCTTCACCTCCATCTACGGCTACATGCCACTGCATACCGTCGAGTTCCGAGCGGACCCGGTACTCTACAAGGACTCGTTCCCAGAGAAGCTCAAGCGATTCAACGATATAGGCAGTTTATAAACTATAGAGATTTACTATTGAAATACAGGTTTGAAAGTTCACTACCTATTTTTGTAAGATATCCATGACTTTTTTTAGTGCCATTACTGTATCCTTACTCATCTCTAGTGCTTGATTTGTAAAAAATGAGGTGCCAAACTGTAACCTATTTAATGTGGTTAGTACCTATTTATTACAATATTTTATCTTTCCAAAAGAGAGGTACTGGAACACCGTTCTGTCACGTTCAGCCGCAAATCGAGCACTGCTCATCTCCATCTACATACATTTTATTAGTAAACCACCAGTTTTTCAAGACTAGATGGAAATCAATTCAGCCTACTCATAGAAATTATTATCATGAACCACTGTTATCATGAAATTCAAAGCAATCCCTAATGTGCCACTTACAATCAAATTAATTTTATAGGTTTGTTGTGGCATACACAATTTTTATGTGTAAGCCTACATCTCTATTGTGTGCTTGAAAAAAAAAAATACCAAAGCCAAACAAAATATTGAAAAATATAATAGTCTGAAGCGCAGGAATCCTGGAATAATATGATTTTATAATGTACCTAATTTTATTGACCACTTTTTTAATATACCTAAGCAATTATGTTTAGAACATGTTATGTGTTTTGTGTTAGTTGCCATTGTATGCAAAAATCAAAGAGAATAATTTTAAAAAGTATTTGTGTTTGTATTGTCTGTTTGATTAGAACTGTCTCTATCATGATTTTATTATTGTTTTATTAATTTTTTATTTTGCTAAAAGCACTATTTTTTTTTTAATTAAATAATTATTTTTGTTTCGCTTGCATATCAAATGCCATATTTAAAGTGAACTTCAAATGACATTTAGTTAGTAAGGGATTAGTAGGTTAGTTAGTCTGTGATATATATATTTTTAACTATAACTTTATATGACAAACTGTTTAGTTTTATGTATTATCTGCATCTGCAAAACTTATTTACTAGTGCTACAAATGTAAAGTTTGATTATTTGTTGTCCGTAATTAATTGAAAGCTGATGACATACTTTTTTGCATTTAGATTGGAGTGAATGTTGATATTCTACAATTAGTCAACTAATTTATCTGTTTGTAACTCATGTAAGTATGATTACAGTATGTTTGTAAGTATGATTGGGTTATCGTGCAAATAACTCAAACAATTTTGTATTACTACCAGAGTACCAGACTAAACATTGTGATTTTTGTTGCATATTAATTATTTATAAGCATCTTACCTTTTGTCGAGGAAGCGAGCGCGGGACATCAGTCCCTGAGGTCCAGGGTTCAAATCCTGCCAAATCGCCAATGGATGTTTTCTAAGTGATAATACCGCAACCCCTAGGTCTAGCCTGAAGTAATTCCCGGGCTTGTTGTGGGACTTCAATCCCTACATTAGGTATTCTGGTATTCAGTGAAAGCAAAAGAAAATACTTTAAACTATATCCAGTTGAGCCAAAAAAGTTATTTTTTGGTGTACCTCTTTAACCAAAGTATGTTTTTGTTTAACATATAAATTTGTTTATGTTGTATAAATTTTGAAATGTATATTAGTTAGTAAAATGTAGGCCTACAATGTGTATAGATGAATGTGTATAATATTTGTATGGATATACATAAAATATTGTTTGTATGTATAAAAAAGTAAAATATTTGCAGACCTGTCAATCTTTCTTTAATCCTTTGTTTAAGTTTTTCCTCATATAATGCTTTGCTAACAACTGAACTTGCCCGTGTAGCCAGTTTACTAAGCAGGCCTATTCTGCAGAGAATAATTCTCACTGACAGAGATTGGCAAGTTTTATGAGTGACGGTATAATCACTCATTTATCAGATTACCAGAACACAATTGCCCCTGAATATAAATCCAAGGTGGTTGTGACTCATCCAATGCGTTATTTAGATTTTTCAAAATCACACCAAGTTTAAAGTTTTATTTTATTCCCTTCAATTTTTACGATTGTTGGTTTGATCCTTGACTGTTAATACAACTAGAAATTCCATCCCCATGTTAAACTTTTCACCTAATTTTTAACCAAAATCGTCGTATTTGATGTGAGCCACCCACAGATTGTGCTTATCTAAATTAGACTACTAAATATTCTGTCGAATACATGAACATTTTTACCAAGACAAACTAATGCAATGACTTATTGTGAGCTATAGCAACTGTTATGACCCATCAATGTGATTAGCAATTTAAAATAACATACTGGTAGAATATTTTAGACACTAGCGCATTCTGTAACTGGCTAAAAAAACTATGTTCTTTTTTAATAAAAACTTGACGACAGCTGGTCCATATGGATGATGTTATGTCTACTTCAGTATACAACAGTCAATGGTTTGATGCTAAGCAAGCTAGATAATATTCCGAACCCAGATGCAATTTTTCATCATGGGGCTCTTATGAATTATGAAACCATCCAACCAATGTTTGTTGAATGTTAACCAGACTAAGGTTTGGTCTGGTTCTTTTAATAAAAATGTAAAAAGATCACAAATGAAGTAATTCAAATTTAGAGCTACTAAGATGGTATTTTTTACTCAAATATGGAAGATGAGTCAATGGTACGTAGCTTTGTTATTAGCTAAGAACAGCTGTTTCTTGAGCCAGAACGATTTTACTTTCTAAGATTTTGTAGGATCCTCCCTTAAGCCGGGTTTTCCTAGACGCGGAAGAGGAGGGCGGAAAAGCGATTAACATGGCATTCCGCTCCACTTCTAGGAAAACAGTAACATTAAATTACCTAAGACAAGAGGAGTCCGCTCTCCGCGTTCCTCTCTCCGTGCCTAGGAAAACCCAGCAATAAGCTAGATGTGTGCCAATATGCAGGCTACGCATCGCAACACACTGTAGAACACTGTGCCGCCATATTTCCTTACGATGTTGCATGAGCTGGGGCACTCACGTGGGCCGGCATATCACGGTTTGTAGCACAGACACAGATTTTACGCCACACGCTACCACAGAGAAATAAGGTACAGAGGGAACTTGCTTATGGATGAACGTGCACTTTCAGCATCTATAGTATGTTGTGCGGGAAGTGATGAGCAAGGAAGAGCCTGAGCAGTGAGCTCTGAACAGAAATTCCTATCACACAAGGCTCAGGGTCTTCTTCCACTTGAGGCGAGTGAGTTGGACCCGTGTCTTCAGTGTTGGACTTTGCCCTGGACACCAGCAAAAAGTTTTAGACACCACTAACGTGTACCATTGAATGTGATGTCCTCTGTACCATTCCTTACTTTCTCTGTGATGTCACGCAACTCCGGTACAAGGTGGCAAAAACAAGCGACCAAAACAATATAAAATATCAAGGTATTAACTAACAAATTCATTACAAAGTAAAATAACTTTATCTCTAATATAATACCTTCTGAGAGGTCTCTAATAACATGTTAAGTTATGTTAGTTTGGTTTGCTTTCAATTATGCATTATTGAGTTGATTAGTGAATTATCTGCAGTGATACACTAACAGTTAACACTGAGCTGCAGATATTTTAGCCAGGTTCAATGAGCCACCAGAGCTGGCTAAAAAATTGCTGGAAAGGACGACGGCCCTATGAAGGGACATTCAGTTTCTTTTTGTTTTTAATTTACTTCGACTTTTATCTCGAAGTAGTTCGACTTTATTCTAGAAGTACTTCGATATTTCTAGTCTAATTTCAACACACACAACTTTCTCTCTGTTTCTGTCAGTGTCTTAAGTGTCCACTCACTTATGCAAATGTCATGCTTCAATAAAAACAGTAGAAAAGTATTTCAGGCTGTTGAAGGCATAAATTAAAATATCGTTGAATCAGTTGATTAATGATCAACTGATATATTCCAACACATACTCCATGATGTGATGTGTGCTAAAAAACACTTTCTATCTGTCAATTCTGGTCAAAAATATGTCTATAGAAGCACCCCTACATCAACAGAGTTGTGGCAGTTGCCGTAAAATTTTAACAAACGACGGTAAATAGATAGTCTACGATAGCCCTGAAGGGAGATTCAGTTTGTGTGTTGAAATTAGACTATAAATATCGAACTACTTTGAGAATAAAGTTGAAGTACTTCGAGAAAAAAGTCAAAGTACCTTACTTTGAAAATAAAAGTCTAACTACTTCGAGAATACCGTAACGTCTAAGTACTTCGAGAATAAAGTTTAAATACTTTGAGATAAAAGTCAAAGTAAATTAAAAACAAAAAGAAACTGAATGTCCCTTAGGGCCTTTGTAGGGAAGTTAATTACTTCCATACTTTGACCTGCCTTTAAAAAATAATAAATTTGTTGAAAACATTGTTAAGGTTCTTTATAGTTAATTATAGTATTATTATGCGATTTTTTGTAATACTGGTACTGGTATGGATGGGATCACAGCATGATATACCGGTACATATTTTTTTCTAGAATACATGTTATACTAATTTGTATTTGCATTAAATATAGTAAACAGTGCCTACTTAATTTGTTACTTACCTACTATTTTTGTTTAAAATTGCAAAAGGTTTTGATATTAAAAAAATCTCTATATGAGGAAGGTCAATAAACACGGAAGCAATTTACGACTGTCAACAATGATGTTTACATAAAAAGGATGTATCTCAGTTTGCCATAATTGGTGAAGTTTACCTAATTTGGCAACACCGTCTTCTAAATATGGATAAGAGGAGGGGAGCGGTGTCTTTATGTCGTGATATCCCTCCGCAGTGTTGTATTTTATGAGTTGTGAAATGTCATGGGACAAAAACACTTTGATTGTTAACTAAAACAAACAAACACCATGTTTCTTAACATTATTATGTGTAGTTCAGTCATAATACGAAAAATATATTGGTTTTTAGCGCAGAACTATTTTCCCCCTCTAGCGCACAGCTGAGATGTCGTGCCGAGGCACGCAGGTCAAATTACGAACAGTTGCCGTGTGTGATGATTGTGAATCTCAGTTGTGTTTGAGTATGATGAGTATCGAAAGTTGAGTGAATTCGTGTTTATTTCGGTGATGTTGTTAAAGTGCTAGTGTTGTGAAGTGATGGATGCCCCATCAAGTGGGGGAAGAGATTCCCGGTTTAGCATGGGCTACAATATGTCATTGCTAAGTGGTGAAACAGCACCTGAAATTTATACGAGTTCAGTGCACAGTAGACCTTCAACCTCAATAACCTCAGGATTGTCTAGGTCTTCTTTATCGTTATCTAGTGGTTGTAGTGCGGGTTTACAAAGAGGAATTAAAAGAACGTCTTCTGACGTGTGTTTTGATCCCGATGTGTCGAGTGGTAGATCGGGCATGTCTGGAATGACAGGTGATTGTGGTTCGGATATAGTTGACGACCATGGATTTTCCTCTGCTCCCCAAAAGGGTTCACCGCCGTCTAATGGCAAAAAGACAAAAGGACGTGTTAAAATTAAAATGGAATATATAGATAACAAATTGAGGAGATATACAACTTTTTCTAAAAGAAAAACTGGAATAATGAAAAAGGTAAGAAAACAAACCTAACCTCAACATACTACCTCTTACTCTAAACATAACCTAAGCCTAGCCTAGGGTAGGCCTCTAGACCAAATCAATTTGAATTAGTTTTAGACCAAACTAAGTAGGGCTGCACTTTACTTTAGGTCCTACACTCATTCGAATGAAAATATCAATCGATATATCGATTAATCGATTATTTAATTCGATATATCGTTTGGTTAGTTAGGTAAGGTTAACCTAACCTAACTAACCAAACGATATATCGAATGAAACAATAGAATAATCCATATTTTTATTCGAACGAGTGTAGGACCTAAAGTAAAGTGCAGCTCTAAGTAGATGTATTAACCAACTAAGTTAGGCCTACTTATGTATCAGCAGTTAAGTTTACCAAACTGTACATACTTAGGCGGTTCGGCTATTGAATAAGTTAGTGACAAAGGGTACACTTCCGTATCTCTTGTCAAATCAACCAAATTTATTTCATACGGAAACACCATTATTACACCACCATTATTAAGTTATCACACCATTATTCGAATGAAAGATTATTCAATATGGCGATAATTTAATTTGATATATAGGCTACATTAGATTAAATAATCGATATATCGATCATCTTAAGCAGCCTAAACTTCTGCTCTTTCTAACTTTTGATATCCGACTCCATTGTGTTAAACTTATGGGTTGTTATAATCTATAGCCTATTGGTTAACTTAGCCTAAGTAATTAGCCTAAGTTAAATTACTGTACTTAGTCAAAGTTTTTTTATCAAGCTAAATTATCTTTGTTGTTCGATAATCGGACAGAGTCTGAGCCTATCAAAGTTGCAATGTGTTTTCTTTCATTAACTTAATTCCATTCAGATTCAGCACAGATTTTCTTCAGCAATAATAGGCTAAACCTTATAAATATACGATTATCGAGCTCATTTAACTTATGTAAACTGTTCCTAAGTACACTGTATTTCTGCAGAGCACCTGCGATCCTATAAGTATTAGGCCTATCGGTTTAAATATCAATAGGCTATCTAACTTGTAGTTTATAGATTTATGGATTTTTATTATTATAAGAATATTTTATGACTTTTTTCTTTCATTCCATTGTTTGCATAAAATTTAATTTTACCTTATGATGCGATGATAGGCTATGATAATTTTTACCGGTCAGTGATCCTGCGATGTCGACTAGGTATATAGGCTAACTACTAAGTTAAGTTTAATCCGTCTGGATATCAATACCTTAATATAGGCCTGTAAGTATAGCATTGAATTTCCTAGTTTACTTGTGATCTGTTTACGTTTCTATTGGTGTTAACTTAAACTTAGATGTTTAATAAATAAAACTGTTTCCTGTTAAAGGGAACTTATTATTATCGTTGGTTTTTTTCCTAACTTATGTTATGGCCTACATTGATATTTTATTTTTGGGTATTTATTCCGTATAGGTGCCTCGAAGCGAATTTTTAATTTTGATATCTTACTTTATAGTTTTTTACCTCCTGAATCCAAATATACCATTATTTTTCACCGCTGATTAATATTTCTCAAGATATCGCCATAAAAACATACTTAACATTACAATCAACAAGATAGGATGGATAACATTTCAAGTGATTCTGTAGTCAAATAACTTAATGTTCTCTATAACAGGAATTTCGTCACATTATGGAGATTAGATGGACTGGTGGACTAATTACATGTAGTTCTTATTCAGGCATGTCAGGGTGGTAGGTCGTGCTTTATGTGAATTGGTGACTGCATTAAGTCCTTTGAAGGTAGGTTAGATTAGGTAAGTTAAAGTTTAGGTTATAATGTATCAAGTTGTTAGTTTATGTCGCCTGCAGACTGTTTTTGTAAAATTAAAATCCAGAAAAAACACTTCAAATTACTATTTAAAAAATGCTTATTTTTGTCACCCTGACATGCCTTTTCTGACATCAAAAGGAGTTTGCTTACACATTCTAGAGGTTTGGTTAGGTTAGGTTATGTTAGAATAGCACTGTTTTATTATGTAATTTCTAAACGGCGAAATATAAATCAATAAATCATTAATAAGGATAAAATACCGGTAACAATAATATATTATTAACTTATTGGTCTTAGAAAGTGAAAAGTGTAACTTAATCAGGCGATTTTCATATTGCAGAATCAGAGTTTGCTAATTGTCACTTCCATTTGCTTCCATTTGCTTTGTCACTTCCATTTGCTTGACTATGATTGAAAACAATCAGCTGGTTGGTTTACTTAACCCATAGTTCATTCCACTTGTAAATGTCATCCATCCTACCTTGTGTATTGTAATGTTGTATATTATTACCGCGATATCTTGAGAAATATTCATCAGCTGTGAAAAATGATGGTATATTTGGATTCAGGAGGTAAAAAACTATAGGTAAAGTAAGATATCAAAATTAAAAATTTGTTTGGAGGCACCTATACGGAATAATTACTGTACCTATTTTTGGATCTGAAGATTAGGCCTAGCCTATATTGATATTAACAATTTGAAACATATTAGCTGACAACTATGATAAATTGATAATTGATAAAACTGATAATTGTTCATTATCAATAAACAATTACAAAAATAGCCTATTTTACCTACCTATTGAAATTACATGCTCTGGACTAACCTCACCTATGTATTTAATAACCAAATTTGCTGTGTAATGTTTCAAAATTCTGGTTGATTTCCCCAAATACTTTCGGTTAAGTTAAAAAGCCCCAAACGAAATGTTGAAAAATGGCACTTGCTATAAGTTATAGCAAGTTTGGTTAGTTATGTTAGGTTAGTTTGTAACAGTTTCATTTCTTAATCCAAGTTACCGGTACATAAACTTACATTATTTTTGCTTTTAACAAAATCAGTTGTCAATTTGTAGGCCTATTTTAAATACGTTTTAAGATAAATATACTAGATGGAATATGGATCACGAAGGAAAACAAAAATATCGATACCGTAGCCTATATTGGAAAAAATCATCGATAATAAACTTAATGATTGTTCCATTTAACAGGAAAGTGGGTACCGTACCCCTAAAATGTATAGTTATTCGACTTTGAATTTTCCTTTAAAAGATGTATACAAAGAGAGATACCTAACTTATGCAACTTTTAAACAAGTGACTAGAAGCGATTCAACTTCGTTAGCAAAATTTGCTTTGGGTATTGCTGTTTACAAACTATAAATACCGTCAGGCGTATGGGCCTATTCAAGTAACGTAGGGAGTGGAAAAGTAAACATGTCAGGGAAGAGAGTTGGTTTGGAAAAGTCGTATCAGGCCAAGTATTCCATTGTTTTAAGGGCATAACTTAACAAGGTGTCTTTTGAATGAATTAGAATATAATGACTGAAAAATCCCACTCCTTTACTCTTTACTAACGTTTTTTTTATTCCTTACAGTACTTTTAGTTTCACTTTGGTTTGGCCAACAACGTCCTTAGTTTGTCGTCTGTTTCATTGGACCTAGTCCTTCAATTCGCGTCTGCCGGCCATTTCGAAGTTAGGCCTATCCGTGTTCACTATCAAAGCCGAACTGAGTTTAGCAGACAGAGCGTTTTGTTTACGTTATTCATTATTTTTAGTGGATGTGACAATCGGGATGCAAACGTTATGCTTTGTTGTACCATCTTAGCGAATTTCCCTATAGGGAAGTAGGCCTAGCTATTACTGTAGGTGGCACAGTAAGACCTAGGTTCTGGACCAATTTACTTTTTTATTTTGATGTCCCCAGAGGCCACAAACACCATTCGTTAAAATTGTTATATATTGGTATGTGTTGAACATGAACGTGATAACTTGAGTAATTTTTGTCCAATTTTAATGAAATTTGGTTTGAAGGTGTAGGCCTAAGGCGGAATAAGCTAGGACGATTTCGCGAACCAGTATGATCGGTCGATGTGAACGGGGTTTTATGGGGTAAAAATGGGGTTTTCTCATTTTTGATCTTCAAAACACAAAATTTCCCAATTACCCTCTTGACATTTTTTTAAAGAGATAAGAAAACAAATAAATCAGTATATCAAAGTGATTTTGTACAATTATTAGATGCGGAGAAAATTTAAAAAAAGTGTGATTTTAAAATTCTTATGTTATTCTTATGGAGAATGTTGTACTTTGCTTGTTTATGGGTATATTTTCATCAAACTTGGCAAATTGATTTATTTTATACTAAGCTATTAGTATTTTACAAAAAAAAAACACACTTTTTACCCTCCCTGTAGGCAGCAAACCTAGGTACCTACTCATTAAACCTAATGTTATCAAAATAGATTACAGTCCGTCAATAGGTACATTTCCTTTACAGAAAGTAAGAATACACCTAAATAATTATGCTTAAAACATAGGCCTATATTTACACTTACTTTTATCTAAGTTATACTAAATTTGGTACTGGTAACTCGTTAAGTTATGTACAATGGGGAAGTAAATTAATTGTTACCTTTGATGGTAGTACTGTAGTAGGGCCTAAAACAATTCACTTTACTATTTAAAAACTTTTAACTGTTCCAATGCTAGCTCTTGACTATTTTTTGTAAAATTAAAATATATAGGCTGGCGGCTTTCTTAAACCTTGCATTTGCCCGTCCATTTGTTAAATCTAATGTTATTTCAATAGATTTAATTGAAAATCAGATAGGCTAAATAGAAATTCACTTAGTCTGCAGGTTTGCTGTGGTGTGGGTATTTAAGTAAAATATTAGTAGCTTAGTATAAAATAAATAAATTTGCAAAGTTTGATCAAGATAAAGAAACAAGCAAACTACAATAGTTTACTCATTCTCTCTAAGAATAACTCGGGAATTTTATGTTTAGCCTACAACTTTTTGAATTTTCTTCGTATTTAATAACGTACAAAAACACTTTATTAGCTTATAATAAAATATTGGTTTTTTTTAAGATCTTCAAAATACTTTAGAGAGAAATTAAAAAATTTTATGTTTTGGGTCATGACAATGGGAAAACCCAATTTCACCCCATATAACCCCATTCCTATGGTCTAA